AATGTTCGAATTAGGGACGGGAGATATTTTCAGACAAATCGAGACACATTTAATCGAGATATGGTTTAAATTCGAAAATTTTGACCGGAAAACTCCGGAAAAATTGCTCAAAAAATAAACATGTTTCAATCTACTTGAAATCAAGTTTCTAGACGAATTTTATCCAGCTGAGTGCATTTTTGGCATCGGTTGTTTTTTTTTGCTTAAAATTTTCACTATTTTAAGCAAAATCCGTCTTTAACCAAAATTCAAAAAACCAAATTGTGAGTTTGACGGTCCATAACTTTTGAATGGACAAAAGCAGCCTATTCTGGATTTTAACATTTTGTTTCCTAGAGTTTCCTGGGCATTGAAGTGTATTTTCAGGTAGATATCTATGTCCATTTAGAATCTACGTAGACATTCATCGAACGGTGTCATTTTCGGGAGACTTGAATATAAAAAAATTAAAAAAAAAATATATCAGGAGCCCTTCTACATTTTCCTTGGCACAAGCTTCTTATTCAGAAGGTTCGAATTAGGGAAAGTTGTCATTTTCAGACAAATCAAGGTACGTTTAATCGAGATATGGCCTAAATTCAAAAATTGGACCGGAAAAAGTGCTTAAAAAATAAACATGTTCCAAACTACTTGAAATTAAGTTTCGAAACTAATTTTGTCTAACTGAGTGCGGTTTTGGCATCGGTTGCTCAAAATTTTCACTATTTTAAGCGGAAATCCTTCAACCAAAATTCATAAAACCAAATTCTGAGTTTGACGGTCCATAACTTTTGAACGGAAAGAGAGGGCCTATTATGGTTTTTAACATTCTCTTTCCTACAGTTTTCTGGACATTGAGGTGTATTTTCAGCTACGTATCTCGGTCCGTTCAGAATCTACGTACACATTCATCGAACGGTGTCATTTTCGGGAGACTCAAATATTAAAAAATTAAAAAAAAAAAATCAGGGGCCTTTCTACCATTTTTTTGGCTCCAGATTCTTATTCAAAAGGTTCGAATTAGAGACAGGAGTAATTTTCAAACAAATCGAAGTAGGTTTAACCAAGATAGGTTAATGTGGCCCAAATTCGAACATTCTGACCGGAATAGCTCCGGAAAAATTGCTCAAAAAATATACACCTTTCAATTTGCGTGAAATTAAGTTTTTAGATTAATTTTACCCAGCTAAGTGCGTTTTTGGCATCAGTTGTTCAAAATTTTCAGTATTTTCAAGGAAATCCTTGTTGAACCAAAAGTCAAAAAACAAATTGTGGGTTGACTATCCATAATTTTTGAACGGACAGAGGGAACGTATTCTGGTTTTTAACGTTCTATTTCTTATAGTTTTCTGGGCATTAAAGTGTATTTTCAGCTACGTATCTACGCTCGTTTAAATTCTGCGTACACTTTACTCGGACGGTGTCAACTTCGGGAGACTCAAATATTAAAAAATTAAAAAAGAAAAAAAATCAGGAGCCCTTCTACAATTTTTTTGACCCCAAATTCTTACCCAGAAGGTCCAAATTAGGGACACGAGTAATTTTTAGAAAAATCGAGCTACGATTAACCAAAATATGGCCTAAATTGTAAAAATTTGACCGGAAAAACTCCAAAAAAAAAAATGTTCAAAAAATAAATATGTTTTCATCTGCGTGAAATTAAGTTTCTAAAGTACTTTTACCGAGCTGAGTGCGTTTTTGGCATTTTGAACGAAATCCTTCTTTAACCAAAACTCAAAAACCAAATTCCAACTTTGACGTTCCTTAACTTTTAAACGGAAAAACAGAGGCCATTATGGTTTTTAACATCTCTTTCCTACAGTTTTCTGGATATTGAGGTTTATTTTCAGCTAGGTTTCTATGCCCGTGTAGATTTTGTGTACACATTTTTCGGACGGTATCATTTTCGGGAGACTCAAATTTTAAAAAATCTAAAAAAAAATAGGAATCCTTACACATTTTCGGTTCGAATTACGGACAGGAGTAATTTTCAGACAAATCGAAAAAAAACAAAATGGGATCATATGTATGAACTTCACAACGTTGATACCGCATGTGATAAGTTTTATGAAATTCTTAATAACTTATTTGAAATTGCTGTTCCGAAATACAAGTGCAGTAAAAATAAACGTTCTTATCCTCCATGGTTTGATACGGAAATCATTAGTTGCTTACGTAGTAAATCAATTTATCTTAAAAAATTGAAAAAATATGGCACTAACCACTACCGTAACATGTTTAATCAATATCGCTCTAGAACGAAAACACTGATAAATAAGAGATTTCGCCTATACATTAATAACATGCAAGCTACATTGTCAACTGATCCAAAGAAATTTTGGAGCTTCATTCAACAAAAAAAGGGTCGCAGCCGAATTCCTGGAATTATGCACTACAAGGATACCACACTACAAACACCAACTGATATTGTTAATGGATTTAGTCACTTCTTTAAATCAGTCTATACGTCTGCTAGTACAATACCTCCTGATAATATTACAGCAGATATTGACCACGATATTACTGTGGCTATATCTAATATCACTAGTGATGAAGTTTATCAAGCACTTAAACGATCCAAGAACAGTTTTACATCTGGAGCAGATGGACTTCCAAGTTTTCTTTCAAGAGACTGTGCTACTGTACTGACTGAACCCTTAAGACATCTGTTTAATCTTATTATTAGTAGTGAACAATTGCCATCAATTTGGAAGAAATCAGTTATATGTCCTGTCCATAAAAAAGGAGCTCTATCAAAGATAGAAAATTACCGTCCGATAGCGCTACTCTGCAACTTCGTGAAAGTTTTCGAGTCTATCTTACATAATACTTAGAATATATACAGCCATCAAACATACCATCTCACCTGAACAACATGGCTTCATGCAAAATCGGTCCGCCATAACAAATTTATTAATTTATTATGCATTACTCAAGACCTCGCTGAGACGATTGATGACAATGGACAGATGGATGTGATAAGTATATACTGACATTCAGAAGGCGTTTGATACAATTAATTATCAGCTGCTCCTTAACAAAATGCGCCTCTTGGGTTTTTCTGATTCATTATTAGGCCTATTTCAATCATATTTAATGAATCGTCAGCATTGTGTGAGATATCGCAATTGTATATCTAACTCATTCGTTCCAACGTCTGGAGTGCCGCAGGGTTCGAATCTTGGCCCTTTGTTGTTTCTAATATTTATCAATGACCTGCCGGCAAATATTTCATGCAATAAACTGTTGTTTGCTGATGACTTAAAGTTGTATCATAGAATTTACTCTGTTAATGACTGCCTAGCTCTACAACAGAATGCAAATGTTCTTTCTTTCTGGTGTCGGACAAATCTATTACAACTAAGCGAACCCAAATGTTACGCTATGTCATATACTAAGCAGAAATGTCCTATTATTTACTTCTATAAAATTAATGATTACACTATCAGTCGAACGGATTCCTTTAAGGACTTAGGTGTAACATTTGATAATCAACTTACATTTATACCACATGTGAATGATGTAGTTGAAAGATCACTGAAGACTTTAGGATTTATTCATCGTTCCTGTAAAGATTTCACCAAGATTCAACCATTAATAATGTTATTTGTTGCTCTTGTGCGCTCTAAATTAGAATATGGCGCTTTAATATGGTCACCTATATATAACATACATATCGATCACTTGGAATCAGTACAAAGACGCTTCCTAAAATTTATTTGCTATAAATTAGATGGAGTCTATCCTGAAAGGGGCATCAGTGAAATTAATTTGTTAACTAGATTCCTTCTTAATTCGCTACGAGTACGCAGGTTAACGCAGAGTATTACTTTTTTATTTAAGCTCCTACATAACAAAATCGACTGTACTCATATAATTAGCAAAATTTGCTACACTGTTCCAAGAATTAATGCACGATATAAAATCTGTTTTCATCTGGATACTTGTAGAACTAATGCACTAGCTAGATCGCCTATTTTTGTCATGTGTAATACATTTAATAGTATATCTCATTTGTGTGATATTAATTTTGATAACGTTAATGTTATAAAACAAAAAATTTTTGAGGTTTATGGAATTTAATTATTTTATTTTATTTGTGTAAAAGGTAGGTTTTTAAAATGGGATTTAATATTAAGTTATTTTCTGTAATTGGGTGATAACACCTGTAGAAAATAAATATCATTATTATTATTATTATTATTATTATTAAATCGAGATAGGTTAAATTCGAAAATTTTGATCGGATAGCTCCGGAAAAAATACTCGAAAAATAAACATGTTTCAGTCGGCCTGAAATTAAGTTTCTACACTAGTTTTGTCCAGCGGAGTGCGTTTTTGGCATCGGTTATCGAAAATTTTCACCGTTTTAAGCAAAATCCGTTAAACAAATCTCAAAAAAAAATCAGGAGCTAATTTAAAGGTGGCGGCAAATTTGAAGAAATGTATAGTTCCAGTAGTACTTTAACATTTATTTTTCAGTAGGGCCATTTTAAAAAAACTCTGTAGTCATGTTTCCTTGGTAATTCCCAGTTCATTGAATACCCAACTGCAGTTTTCCGTTTCTGTATTTTTATCAGTTGAAAATATCCGAACCGATTGCTTTGAAATTGTATGTAAAATTGTTTCATGTTTTTAGGCAATAACGGTAAATAATTTTTTCGAGCATAGCTAACCTTCGCGGTTTTATTTCTGCGTTTTTAGAACGGTATGCTGGAGGTTTGTTTTTAGTGTGGCATTATTGTTAAATTTTTCCACTAACTTAATGTAACTAGTTTATTTAAAACAAAATTTAAATATTTTTAGATTATTATCAAGCATTGAAATTCAAGTTTAATGTTAAAAAATAATATGTTGGCAACACTAACGTGTTAAATAATAAATTTGATGGCCTACTATACTTTATTCAATCATATGGTATTACAAAGCATTAATTGTAATTTTCATGCCCTCCAAAAAATATATGACGTCATTTTAAAAACTACCAATCACATTTTTAAAGTTGTAAAGCAAATACTTACGAATGGCTTTTATACCCTCAATCAAACCACCTTTTCGAATCGCCGCAGGTCCATCAGCAACACCAACTTTGTTTTGCCCCTCTTCCAGCGGCACCCCCACGACCCCAATTTTAGTACTGTAATTTTTTTGCACCCCAAGAATCACATTCCTAACAGTTCTAACCCACATTATTACAACTGTATCAAACTACACAAACAACCACAAACTTTACTCTCTCCTCGCCTTATCACAGAAAAATATTTAACAAGCCATAGGTCAGCACAAACAAATTGACAAATCAATCTGCGTTTATTAACAGCAAAATAATTTCAATATACTCGTTTATATACAAAAAACAAAACAACCACCGCTTTACTTAGGACCCAACATATTCTCCGGCTTCACCCACTCATGGAACTGCTCTTCCGTCAGAATTCCCAGTTTGATGGCGGTTTCCTTCAGCGTGCTGTTCTCCTTGTGGGCAGTTTTCGCGATTTGCGCGGCCTTATCGTACCCGATGTGGGGGTTCAGTGCCGTTACTAACATTAAGCTCTCGTGCAACAGCTTGTCGACTCTTTCTTTGTTGACCTGGATGCCGTCCACGCATTTTTCCGAGAAACATTTGCTGGCGTCGCCCAACAGGCGGATCGACCGCAACACGTTGGAGACCATCATGGGTTTGAAGACGTTCAGCTCGAAGTGGCCGTTGGCGCCGCCGATGGTGACAGCCACGTGGTTGCCCATCACCTGGGCCGCCACCATGGTGATGGCCTCGCACTGGGTGGGGTTGACTTTGCCGGGCATGATGGAGCTGCCGGGCTCGTTTTCGGGGAGGGAAAGTTCGCCGAGGCCGCAGCGGGGGCCCGAACCTAAGAACCTGAAAAAAGTGGAAGCTGAAGTTAAAAAATTTGAAATGCAACCAACAATACACATCAGATTCCTCTAAAATTTCGCACATTATTTTGTTGAAATGAGTTGAAAAATTATACCGTTTATTTTTACAGAAAAAAAAACATTTATGTGCGAAATAATATTTAATTTCTATTTTTATTAATTTTTCATTGTCATTTTGATCTTTATTATTTCTCAATTTATTATCTAGGTGCCGGTTTAAAAATAAACTGTAACTATGCCGTCAGCGATAACACTGGGTGCGTATTTTTATACTATTGACAATTTTCCTTCTACCATAAACTTGCAACAATTCACGCTAGTATTTGTTACACAACATTATCAACAATGTAAACTATCTTATCTTTAGAAAGGTATCACTGAGAAAATTGCCATTTACATAACGTCTCTTTAGCTTCACAGCAAGATGACTTGCTGAATTCCATGTATAATTAAATATTTAAAATAACTGGTATTATTATCAAACAGATGAATTAATTATCAGTAGGACGGAAACTGTATGCCTGTTAATTTTTAAACCTTGACTGTAGAAGTGTTTATAAAAGATAACGCGAAAAAATTGGTCGAAGGTTATTTCGACAGAATAACAAATCCCATTCGAAAAATTAAAAAAAAAAAAAGGCGAATTTTGTTTTCTACGAACCTGTATACAGTAAAAACTAGTGGCGTAAATAACGCTCCTGTAGTTTTGTAGTTGATTTGACTTTTTCACTTTTACGATTTTTCATTTCGTTTGTTTCTTCAGATTTTCGATTTGAGTTTCTCAAGGTTTCAATTTTCAATTTTTCAGTTGTTCGATCTGCAATTTTTCGTTTCGGTTTGTTATTTTCTTTATTTTTCCATTATTCGATTTTTCAATGTTTCTGTTTTATATTTTTTCGCTTCTTCAATTTCCATTTTTTCAGTTTTTCGTATTTTGAAATTTTCGACTTGCAATTTTTCAATTTTTAATTTATCGTTTTTCGATTTTCCACCTTTTTATTTCGGTTTTTGATTTTCTTTATTTTCTCAATTTTTCCGTTTTTAATGCCCTAATTTTATAATCGTTCTTTTTTTTTTAATACGAAAATTTTCAATTTTTGGATTCTTCAATTTTTCGATTAGCAATTTTTCGTTTTTTCAATTATTGGTTTGCAATTTTCCTAGTTTTCATTTTAAAAACGTAATAATTATAACTTTTAAAGTTTTTCACTTTTTTAATTTTACGATTTCAAAATTTTTACATTTTACAATTATTGGATTTTAAAACTTTCAAACAATCTTTGAATTTTTTTTTTGTTTCTTCAGATTTTCCATTTGCAATTTTTTGCATTTTCAAGTTCAAAAATTTTCAGTTTTTCCAACTTTGCAACTTTTGATTTTTTTAATTTTTAGATGTTGCAATTTTTCTTTTCGGTTTTTTATTTTCTTTATTTTTTCACTTATACGATTCTTCAACGTTTCGATTTTATAATTTTTTGTTTTGCAACTCTTCGAGTTTTCATTTTTGATTGTTCTTTTTTTTCGATTTTCCAACTTTTGGATGTTTTAATTTTTAGATTTTGCAATTTTTAATTTCGGTTTTTTCAATTGTTCGTTTTTTTATAATTGTTCTTTTTTTCAATGTGAAATTTTTCAATTTTAGATTTTTCAGTTTTTTGATTTTTCAATTATTGGTTTGCAGTTTTTTTAGTTTTCATTTTGAACATGCAATAATTATAATAGTTTTTCATTTATTCCATTTCTCAATCTTTCAATTTTTAATTTTTTTGTTTCTTCAGATTTTCGATTTGCAATTTTTCGGGTTTTCAAGTCGAAAAACTTTCAGTTTTTCAATTTTTCAACGTTTGATTTTTTCAATTTTTCGTTTCTTCAATTTTTTGATTTTTTTATTTTTCGTTCGTTCCAATTTCGATTTGCAATTTTACGTTTCGGTTTTTTGTTTTTTTCATTTTTACAATTTTTCGATTTTTCAATGTTCCGATTTTATAATTTTTTGTTTTTTTCAGTTTCAATTTTTTCAACTTTACGACAGGCAATTGTTCCGAGTTTTCATATTTAATTTTTCCAGTTTTTCGATTTTCTATATTTTTTCAATTTTTCGTTTTTTTTTTCAATGTGAAATTTTTCAATTATTGGTTTGCAATTATTTTAGTTTTCATTTTAACCATGTATGTAAATTATAATTTTTAAAGTTTTTCACTTTTTCAATTTTACGATTTCAGAATTTTTCACATTTTACAATTATTGGATTTTAAAACTTTTTCGTTTATTCGATTTCTCAATCCTTCTGTTTTTATTTTTTTTTTTGTTTCGTCAGATTTTCGACTTGCAATTTTTTGAGTTAATCGAGTTTAAATTTTACAGTTTTCCAATTACCAACTTTTGAATTTTTCAATTTTACGACGGTTTTTTATTTTTTTTTATTTTTCACAATTTTTAGGTTTAAAATTTTTCGAGTTTTCAATATTAAATTTTTAAATTTTCTTATTTCTTCAAATTTTCGATTAGCAATTTTTCGTTTTGTTTTTTTATTATCATCACTTTTACAATTTTTCGATTTTCCAACTTTAAGATCTTTTCAAATTTTATTTTCCAATTTTTCGTTTCGATTTTTTATTCTCTTTATTTTTTCAATTTCATAATTTTTCGGTTTTCGATTTCCCAGCACTTGGATTTTTCAATTTTTGGTTTCTTCATTTTTTTTTACAATTTTTGTAGTTTTCATTTTAAATATGTATGTAGTAATAATTATAATTTTAAAATGTTTTCACTTTTTCAATTTTATGAGTTTAGAACTTTTCCATTTCATTTTTCATTTCCATTATTGGATTTTAAAATTTTTTCAATTTTTCGATATTCAATTTTTTAATTTTTCGATGTTTCAATGTTAGTTTTTCGATTTTATAACGTCAACGATTTTATAATTTCCCGATTTTCCAATTTTTCAAGTCTTCAATTTTTCGTTTCGGTTTTTTATTGTCTTTATTTTTTCGATTTAATAATTTTTCTTTTTCAATATGGAAATTTTTCAGTTTTTAGATTTTTTTATTTGCAATTTTTCGGTTTTAGTTTTTCGTTTTTTCAATTTTAGATTTTTCAGTTTCTCTATTTTTCAATTTTTCGTTTTTTTTTTAATTTTTGATTTACAATTTTTCAAGTTCTCATTTTAAATATGTAATAATAATTTTAATTAAAAAAAAAAAAAAATACTTTCAATTTTACGTTTCGGTTTTTTATTTTCTTTATTTCCTCAAGTTTTGTATTTGAAATTTCTCGAGTTTGAATTCTAAATTTTTCAAATTTTCTTATTTCTTCAAATTCTCAATTAGCAATTTATTGTTTTGGTTTTTTATTTTCTTCATTTTTACAATTCTTCGTTTCTTTAATTTTACGACATGCAACTCTTCGAGTTTTCAATTTTTATTTTCCAATTTTTCGTTTCATTTTTTATTGTCTTTATTTTTTCACTTTTATAATTTTTCTTTTTTCAATGTGAAATTTTTCAGTTTTTGGATTTTTTGATTTGCAAATTTTCGGTTTTCGATTTTTCAGCATTTAGATTTTTTAATTTTTCGTTTCTTCAATTTTTGATTTACAATTTTTCTAGTTTCATTTATATATTACATATGTATGTAATAATATAATTTTAAAATGTTTTCACTTTTTCAATTTTACGACTACATATTTCATTTTTCATTTCCATTATAGGATTTTAAATTTTTTTTGATTTTTCAATTGGTCGATATTTATTTTTTCAACTTTTCGATCTTTGAATGTTACAGTTTTTCGATTTTATAATGTTAAAGATTTTATAATTTTTCGATTTCCCAATTTTCCAATTTTATTCGTTTCTTGTTCCCAATTTTCCGTCTTCAATTTTTCGTTTCGGTTTTTTATTGTCTTTATTTTTTGTGTCTTCAGATTTTCGATTTGCAATTTTTCGAGTTTTCAATTTTTAATTTTACATTTTTTTTATTCTTTAATATTTCATTTCTTTGAAATTCGATTTTCAATTTTTCGATTTTTCGATTTTTCAATGTTCCGATTTTATATGTATTTTTTTATTTCAATTTCTTCAATTTTACGACATGTAACTGTTCGAGTTTTCATTTTTAATTTTCCAGTTTTTCGATTTTGAAATTTTTTATTTCGGTTTTCAATTTTCTGTATTTTTTTCAATTTTAGATTTTTCAGTTTCTCTATTTTTCAATTTTTCTTTTTTTTAATTTTTGATTTACAATTTTTCAAGTTTTCATTTTAAATATGTAATTATAATTATAATTAAAAAAAATTGTTTCAATTTTACGTTTCGGTTTTTTATTTATTCAATTTTTGCTTTTAAAATTTCTCTAGTTTTCAATTATTCTAAATTTTTCAAATTTTCTTATTTCTTCAAATTTTCGATTAGCAATTTTTCGTTTCATTAATTTTACGACTTCCAACTCTTCGAGTTTTCATTTTCGAGTTTTCTGATTTTCCAACTTTTGGATCTTTCAATGGTTAGATTTGCAATTCACGAGTTTTCAACTTTTATTTTCCAATTTTTCGTTTCATTTTTTATTGTCTTTATTTTTATAATTTTTCTTTTTCAATGTGAAATTTTTCAGTTTTTGGATTTTTTCTATTTGCAATTCTTCGGTTTTCGATTTACAATTTTTCTAGTTTTCATTTTAAATATGTATGTAATAATATAATTTTAAAATGTTTTCACTTTTTCAATTTTACGACTTCGGAATTTTTCTATTTCATTTTTCGTTTCCATTTAACTTTCTGTAGTTTTTTTTCAATGTGAAATTTTTCAGTTTTAGATTTTTCAGTTTCTTGATTTTTCAATTATCATTATTTTCAGAATTTTTACATTTCGATTTGTCAATCCTTCAGTTTTTTTTTTGTTTCTCCAGCTTTTCGATTGGCAATTTTTCGAGTTAATCAAGTTTAATTTTCACAGTTTTTCAATTTACCAGCTTTTGCATTTTTCAATTTTACGTTCCGGTTTTTTATTTTCTTTATTTTTTCATTGTTTGTATTTAAAATTTCCTTATTTCTTCAAATTTTCGAATATCAATTTTTAGTTTTGGTTTTTTATTTTTGTCATTTTCACAATTTTTCGTTTCTTTAATTTTACGACTCTTCCGAGTTTTCATTTTTGAGTTTTTCGGTTTTCCAACTTTTGGATCTTTCAATTTTTAGATTTGCAATTCACGAGTTTTCAATTTTTATTTTCCAACTTTTCGTTTCGATTTTTTATTGTCTTTATTTTTTCAATTTTATAATTTTTCTTTTTTCAATGTGAAATTTTTTGGTTTTTGGATTTTTTCGATTTTCGATTTTTCAGGTTTTAGATTTTTGAATTTTTCGTTTTTTCTATTTTAGATTTTTCAGTTTGTCTATTTTTCAATTTTTCGTTTCTTTAATTTTTGATTTACAATTTTTCTAGTTTTCATTTTAAATATGTAATTATAACTATAATGTTAAAAAATTTCACTTTTTCAATTTTATGACTCTAGAATTTTTCCATTTCATTTTTCATTCCATTTATTTTTTAAAACTTTTTCGATTTTACAATTTCTTGATATTTAATTTTACAATTTTTCGATTTTTAGTTCAATGTTTCAATATTTCGTTTTTCACTTTTTCGATTTTTCAATTTTTTGAATCAAAGAAATGGAAAAATCGTCAAACTGAAAAATCAAAGATGAAAAAGTATAAAATGAAAATTTTGAAAAATCTAAAAATTGGGAATCAAGAACTCGAAAAATCGAAAAGTGCAAAATCGAAAAAACCAAATATGTATTGTAAAATCGAAATATTGAAAATTACAGAAGTCGGAAAATCGGATAATTGGAAATCCAAAAATTACAAAATTGGAACTTGGAAAATCGAAGAACTGAAAAATCAAAGATGAAAATTTTTAAAATTGGATAAACGAAAAATTATAACATAGAGAAAATGAAAATTAAAAAACCGGGAAAATGAAAAATAAAAAAGAACTTGATATTCCTAATGTAGATACAAAATTTGACAACAACCGGTTCAGTAGTTTAAGAGGTTATGAATCCAATTGAAACAGACGACAGATAGACAGACACACGACAGGTCACTTTTTTCGTATTCTAGAGATCATAAAAGTTGAAAAAACATGAAAGTAGCTAGTTGCCCGCTCAAGGTGTAATAAAAGGTATATCTTACCTAATATCATTAGCAATCTTCATAATCGAGCACGCGATCACGTTCAAAGCTCCCGATACTTCAACCATCGCGTCATGGGCAGCCAGAGCCTCAAACTTATTCGGAGCTGATGTAAAAGGCAGCCCCGTTAGTTTAGCAATTTCTGCAGCACACTTCTCCGCAAACCCTATTCTCGTATTGAGTCCAGTCCCTACAGCTGTACCCCCAATCGCCAAATGATACAACCTCGGCAACGTATCATTAATCCTATCAATACCAAAACACACTTGTTGGACATAACCACTAAACTCCTGCCCCAAAGTCAGCGGCACAGCATCTTGCAAATGCGTGCGTCCAATCTTAATAATGTCTTTAAATTCGTCCGCCTTTTTATCGAGAGCAGCGGCCAACGTTTTAAGTCCGGGTAAAAGAGTATTTTGGATTTCTACAGCCACGGCGATGTGCATCGCCGCGGGATATGTGTCATTACTACTTTGGCTCTTATTGACGTGGTCATTAGGGTGCACTGGAGTTTTGGAGCCGAGCTGTCCTCCAAGAAGCTCAATCGCTCGATTACTTATGACTTCGTTTGTGTTCATGTTGGTTTGCGTTCCTGAGCCCGTCTGCCAAATAACTAGAGGGAAGTGGTCACAATACAGCTTCCCTGATATGACTTCATCGCATGCTTGTGAGATAGCGTCGGCTATCTTCGGGTCCAAACCGAATTCTTTGTTGACGATGGCTGCCGCTTTTTTCAAGACACCCATCGCTGTGATGACTGGGTACTACAATTAATTTTTTTAATCTTAATAGAGCGTTTTCGTGAAGGGTACATACCGGCATCCTTTCGAACTCTCCGCCAATGGGAAAGTTCATTACAGATCTTAACGTCTGGGCCCCATAGTACTTGTCAGCTGGAACTTTGAGTTCGCCGAAAGTGTCTTTTTCAATTCTAAAATCAGACTGACACGAACATTTACACTTTGGGTTTAGTTGGACTGTCATCGTGGACGGCAATTTTGGGACGCAAGTGATAATAAATTTGAAATTGTGACAATTTTAACCATGGCAATAAACTGATGACATAACAGGGGTTCGGAAACTTACCATTAGGGCAATTTGGGGTTTTTGGGATTTCCGGCACAAATTCAACGCGGCTTTTATGCCAGCAGGCATGCGACTGCCGTAAAGCCGAGATAGCGCCATCCTTCGATAAGTCTTCCGCCCCTGACCTCTCCAGTGAACGCAGGAGACAACTTTCAGTTTGACACTTCGGAGAACTGTGCGTGTGGTTGGCAACGGGAGTGTTACTTGGCAACAGTTTTGATTCAAATTTTTGCGGGAAGTCAATCATTGCAAATTTTTTTTGGTTTTTCTTAGAATAAATGTATGTTGTTAAAAGTCTTAAAATATAAGTTGATGTTGAGTAGAAGCTAACTGTTGATCTTTTTCTTAATAATGGACTGATTAAGTCACGACATGTCTTGTGACTGGTTCGCCTTGGACGAATTATTGATTGGCTGAAACTGGTACAGAAGAGTTAATAACAGTATTACGAGTATATTGATATGATTTTGTGGTCAAATTTTACAAAGAACACTTCTCGATTTCGCACAAACTGTTTGCACAGAACTCTTCTACAGGACCCCCTGATTACGATCCTTACCTTCAAAAGTTGTGGAAATGCTTCCATGTGTCAGAAAAAAATATTTAGTGTTCGCCCTATGGTTTGCACCCTATTAGTTGCGCCGCATGTAGGCAACCAACAACACACACAGTTGAACTCGCACGAATTCCAATAACTAAATGATCCACGGAGCAAGAAGTGCCACGTTTAGGGGTATGTTTGTAATGGCGTGCAGGGCGCGAAGCGCCCTGCCTCCACTAAAAACCCGATATTACACCTACCCATGTTGTTGACTATAAGAAGTTAGGCTATGTTCGAAACGACTTCCCATTGACGAGTGTGCAAATGGGAAATTTAAAAATTTTTTTGTGGCAAAAGTAAGCATTTCCACAACATTTGAAGGTGAGGAACGTGATCAGGGGGTCCTGTAGAAGAGTTCTGTGCAAACAGTTTGTACGAAATCGAGAAGTGCTCTTTGTAAAATTTTACCGATTTTGTTTATTACGTAAAAATAACAACTTAAATTGATGCTTAAACATCTGTATATTTAACGTGTTTAATTTAGCTACTTAATGTAACTAAAATAGCAACCAAGTCATGATGTCATTACATATAATTATAGGGAAATTGAGTAAAAGGTGCTTTTAATTTTTACATATTGTTTCATGTCATTTCACCAGTAACAAATTTAAACTTGTATGTAGCCTGTGTGTTTAAAAGGTTGTAATGTTGGTTGCATAAGAATCGATTTTTTTCAAACTCCAGTGTCGTCTCACTTTACAGGATCGAAGGGGCAATTATACCCTTGATTCACGCTGCATTAACCCTTTCAAGGTCACACATTTGTTTTTATCAGTGCGACTGTGACTTCTCTTTTTCTCCCCCTATGTACAATACGTGACCAACAAGGATTGATTTAGTAACAACGTCAGGATGGCGTCAGACATTTTGTCACTAAAGGTATCTCATCTGTCAAATTCACTCTCATCTTAACAGGTACTAGCCCCGCCCACCTACTATTTATTTTCTTAGAGGTAGTATGTATAAAAAAAAAGTTATGATTAGCGCTTTCTTTACTTTTTTCACATCCTAGGTTCTATTATTTTCCACTCCCAGTCGACAGAAGAACATGATTAGCCCCACCCACCCACCCTGCCTCATTTTCAGTGATTGATTTTATCCGATCTGCATGAAATGAATGATGTTATGCTGAACAGAAATAAAATTAGTCGTAGAATAAGAGAGGGCTGGGTCTAATACTTGCTAAGATAAGACTGATTTTGGCAAATCACATACCTTCCGAGAAACTAAAGGGTGGGTGGGCGGGGCTAGTATTTTGTAAGATAAGACTGATTTTGGCACTTCTGACATTTTCGACCATTTTTCAACTATATCTGAAAATTAGTTGAAGACATTTTCTTGCAAATTTCCATATCCAGAAGCCATTTTTTCGGATTCATTTCTTCGGAAATTCCTACCGATTTTCCAAAATCGCTAATTGAAATACAGCAATTTTTACAGTTTCGTCAAAATAGCTCGCTATAAAAATTTTTTAGACAGTTCTTTGAGGAAATTGGTATCATTTTAAAAGATCTATATGATGACAACAATTTTTTTTTTGCAAATAACTAGATTTTGGATTAAATGGAGAAATTTTGAGATATTTTACGAAATAACTTTTTTATTATTTATCTTAAAATATTGGTTGCTGTTGATTTTTTGTAGTAAAAAAATCAATCTTTCCATTTATGAAAAAATATACCTAGTGTTTCATTAAAAAATTAAGTTCCGGTTCTCTTAGAGGGTATCTGATTTGTCAAAATCACCCTTATCTTAACAGACACTAGCCTCGCCCACCCACCCTCTATTTTCTTAGCGGGTATGTGATTTGCCAAAATCGATCTTATTTTAGCAGGTACTAGCCCCCCCCCCCACCCACTCTTTATTTTCTTAGAGATATACGTATAACAAAAAAAGTTACGATTAGCGCTTTTTTTACCTTTTTCGCATCCTAGATTCTATTATTTTCCACTCCCACTCGACAGAAGAACATAATTAGCCCCACCTTCCCACCCTGTCTCCTTTTCAGTGATTGATTTTATCCGATCTGAATGAAATGAATGATCTTATACTGAACTGAAACAAAATTAGTCGTAGAATAAGAAGGGGTTGGGTTTAGTATTTGCTAAGATAAGACTGATTTTGGAAATTCACATACCCTCCAAAAAAGTAAAGGGTGGGTGGGCGGGGCTAGTATTTGATATGATAAGGCTGATTTTGGCACTTTTGACATTTTCGACCATTTTTCAACTACACCTGAAAATTAGTTGAAGACATTTTCTTGTAGATTTCGCTATCCAGAAATCATTTTCAGTTTCGGTTCTTCGGAAATTCCTATCGATTTTCCAAAATCGCTAATTGAAATACAGCAATTTTGACAGTTTCGTCAAAATAGCTCGCTATAAAAATTTTATAGATGGTTCTTCGAGGAAATTGGTATAATTTTAAAAGATCTATGTGATGACAATTTTTTTTTTCAAATATCTAGATTTTGGATTAAATGGAGAAATTTTGAGATATTTTACTAAATAACTTTTTTATTATTGATTTTAAAATATTGGTTGCTGTTGATTTTTTGTAGTAAAAAAATACTTAGTGTTTCATTAAAAAAAAAACAAGTTCCGGTTCTCTTGGAGGGTATCTCATTTGTCAAAATCACTCTTATCTTAATAGGCACTAGCCTCGCCCACCCACCCTCTATTTTCTTAGCGGGTATATGATTTGCCAAAATCGATCTTATTTTAGCAGCTTCTAGCCCCACCCACCTACTCTTTATTTTATTAGAGGTAGTATGTATAACAAAAAAGTTACGATTACCTCTATTAAGACCCACCACTGACCCGGAAATGACCGGCATTCAGGCAAGACTTCTATCATTACGGGTACTAAGACCAAGTAATGATATGCATTGATTAGATTAACAGAACAACTTTCGAGATTCTAGAATTACAGCATACAAATTAGTCTGCTATTATTCTCTAATCTCATCCCATCCCCAAAAGTCTAGCGTAACTACCGACCATTTATCCGCGCATCACTTGAAAATTGACCTACACTACTCTGACCTACTGGTGCTAACCTAATCTGACTAACATGATCAGACTGTTCAAGAAACTTACGAACAATATGACATGTTCCTAACAAAACAGCTTTTTGAATTTTGATAATTATTGAATCATTCAAATGCAAATACTTTAAATTCTCAACTAAGCTATTTGGAACTACACCTACATTAGAGATAACTAGAGGTACAATTGAAATTTTTTTAAGATTCAACATGGATTTCATTTCTATCGATAACTGTAGATATTTTGAAATCTTGGTGTGGTATGTTTGAATAATGTTGTTTGTGTTGGGAACAGCAATGTCAATGAGAATGGCTTCGTTCGTGTGTTTCTTGATAAGTATGATGTCTGGTCTGTTAGCTGTAATGTTTAAGTCTGTAAGTATTGTGCGATCCCAGTATAATTTGTATTTGTTATTTTCAAGGAACGGAGATGGAATGTAAGTGTATTACGGTGTCGTATCTTCGATTAAGTTCATAAGTGTTGCTAATTCTTTTTGTTTACTTTTTCACATCCTAGATTCTATTATTGTCCACTCCCACTCTACAGAAGAACACGATTAGCCCCGCCCTCCCACCCTGTCTTATTTTCAGTGATTGATTTTATCCGATCTGAATGAAATGAATGATCTTATGCTGAACAGAAATAAAATTAGTAGTAGAATGAGAGGGGGTGGTCTAGTACTTGCTAAGATGAGACTGATTTTGGCAAATGACATACCTTCCAAGAAAGTAAGGGGTGGGTGGGCGGGAATACTTTTTGATGAGATGAAACTGATTTTGGCACTCCTGACATTTTCGACCATTTTTCAACTACATGTGAAAATTAGTTGAAGACATTTTCTTGTAGATTTCGCCATCCAGAAATCATTTTCGGTTTCGGTTCTTCGGAAATTCCTACCGATTTTCCAAAATCGCTAACTGAAATACAGCAATTTTTACAGTTTCGTCAAAATAGCTCGCTATAAAAATTTTGTAGACAGTTCCTTGAGGAAATTGGTATCATTTTGAAAGATCTATGTGATGACAACAATTTTTTTTTCAAATAACTAAATTTTGAATTAAATGGAGAAATTTTGAGATATTTTACTGACTAACTTTTTTATTATTGATTTTAAAATATTGGTCACTATTGATTTTTTGTAGTAAAAAGATCAATCTTTCCATTTATGAAAAAATATACCTAGTGTTTCATTAAAAAAAAAACATGTCCCGGTTCTCTTAGAGGGTATCTCATTTGTCAAAATCACTCTTATCTTAACAGACACTAGCCCCGCCCACCCACCCTCTATTTTCTTAGCGGGTATGTGATTTGTCAAAATCGATCTTATTTTAGCAGCTACTAGCCACAGCCACCCACTCTTTCTTTTCTTAGAGGTAGTATGTATGAAAGTTACGATTAGCGCTTTTTTTTACTTTTTCCACATCCTAGATTCCATATTTTCCACTCCCACTCGACAGAAGAACATGATTAGCCCCGCCCTCCCACCCTGTCTTATTTTCAGTGATTGATTTTATTCGATCTGAATGAGATAAATGATCTGCTGAACAAAAATAAAATAAGTCGTAGAATGAGAAGGGGGGGGGGGGGTCTAGTATTTGCTAAGATAAGGCTGATTTTGGCAAATGGCATATCCTCCAAGAAAGTAGAGGGTGGGTGGGCGGGGCTAGTATTTGATAAGATAAGACTGATTTAGGCACTTTTGACATTATAGACCATTACTCAACTATATCTGAAAATTAGTTGAAGACATTTTCTTGCAAATTTCCATATCCAGAAGTCATTTTTTCGGCTTCGTTTCTTCGGAAATTCCTACCGATTTTCCAAAATCACTAATTGAAATAGAGCAATAGTTAGTTTTGTCAAAATAGCGCGCTATAAAAATTTTGTAGATGCTTCTTTGAGGAAATTGGTATTATTTTAAAAGATCTATGTGATGACAATTTTTTTTTTCAAATAACTAGATTTTTAATTAAATGGAGAAATTTTGAGATATTTTACTAAATAACTTTTTTATTATTGATTTTAAAATATTGGTTGCTGTTGATTTTTTGTAGTAAAAAAATCAATCTTTCCATTTATGAAAAAATATATCTAGTGTTTCATTAAAAAAAAATAAGTTCCGGTTCTCTTAGATGGTATCTCATTTGTCAAAATCACTCTTATCTTAACAGGCACTAGCCCCGCCCACCCACCCTCTATTTTCTTAGCGGGTATATTATTTGCCAAAATCGATCTTATTTTAGCAGCTAATAGGGCCGCCCACCCAATCTTTCTTCTCTTAAAGGTAGTATGTATAAAAAAAATACGATTACCGCTTTTTTTACCTTTTTCACATCCTAGATTCTATTATTAGTTTCCACTCCCACTCGACAGAAGAACATGATTAGCCCCACCCTCCCACCCTATCTCCTTTTCAGTGATTGATTTTATCCAATTTGCATGAAATTAATGGTCTCATGCTGAACAAAAATAAAATTAGTCGTAGATGAGAGGGGGGAGGGGGGTCTAGTATTTGCTATGACAAGACTGATTTTGGCAAATGGCATACTGTATAAGAAAAGGGAGGGTGGGTGGGCGGGGCTAGTATTTGATAAGATAAGACTGATTTTAGCACTTCTGACGTTTTCGGTCTATTTTCAACTATATCTGAAAATTAGTTGAAGATTTTTCTTGTAAATTTCGATATCCAGAAGTTATTTTCGGCTTCGTTTCTTCGGAAATTCCTACCGATTTTCCAAAATCGCTAATTGAAGTACAGCAATTTTTACAGTTTCGTCAAAATAGCTCGCTATAAAAATTCTGTAGACAGTTCTTTGAGGAAATTGCTATCATTTTAAAAGATCTATGTGATGACAACAATTTGTTTTCAAATAACTAAGGTAGATTTTGAATTAAATGGAGAAATTTTGAAATATTTTACTAAATAACTTTTTCATTATTGATTTTAAAATATTGGTTGCTGTTGATTTTTTGTAGTAAAAAAATCTGTCTTTCCATTTATGAAAAAATATACCTAGTGTTTCATTAAAAAAAAATAGTTCCAGTTCTCTTAGAGGGTATCTCATTTGTCAAAATTACTCTTATCTTAACAGGCACTAGCCCCGCCCACCCACCCTCTATTTTCTTAGCGGGTATGTGATTTGGCAAATTCGATCTTATTTTAGCAGCTTCTAGCCCCACTCAATTTCTTTTATTAGAGATAGTATGCATAACAAAAAAGTTACGGTTAGCTCTTTTTGTTTACCTTTTTCACATCCTAGATTCTATCATTGTTCATTCCCACTCGACAGAAGAACACGATTAGCCCCTCCCACCCTGTCTTATTTTCAGTGATTGATTTTATCCGATCTGAATGAAATTAATGATCTTATGCTGAACAGAAATAAAATTAGTGGTAGAATGAGAGGGGGTGGTCTAGTACTTGATAAGATGAGACTGATTTTGGTAAATCACATACTTTCCAAGAAAGTAGGGGGTGGGTGGGCGGGGCTACTTTTTGATAAGATGAAACTGATTTTGGCACCTCTGACATTTTCGACCCTTTTTCAACCACATCTGAAAATTAGTTGAAGACATTTTCTGGTAGATTTCGATATCCAGAAGTCATTTTTGGCTTCGTTTCTTCGGAAATTCCTACCGATTTTCCAAAATCGCTAATTGAAATAGAGCAATGTTTACAGTTTTGTCAAAATAGTCCGCTATAAAAATTTTGTAGATGGTTCTTCGAGGAAATTGGTATGATTTTAAAAGATCTATGTGATCGCAACATTTTTTTTCAAGCAACTAGATTTTGAATTAAATGGAAAAATTTTAAGATATTTTACTAAATAACTTTTTTATTATTGATTTTAAAATATCAGTTGCTGTTGATTTTTTGTAGTAAAAAAATCAATCTTTCCATTTATGAAAAAATATACCTAGTGTTTCATTAAAAAAAAGTTCCGGTTCTCTCAGAGGGTATGTCATTTGTCAAAATCACTCTTATCTTAACAGGCACTGGCCCCGCCCACCTACTCTCTATTTTCTTAGCGGGTATGTGATTTGCCAAAATCGATCTTATTTTAGCAGCTACTAGCCCCGCCCACCCAATCTTTCTTTTCTTAGAGGTAGTATGTATGACAAATTTTAATTTTTTCATCCTAGATTCTATTATTGTCACTCCCACTCGACAGAAGAACACGTTTAGCCCCGCCCTCCCACCCTGTCCTATTTTCAGTGACTGATTTTATCCGATCTGAATGAAATGAATGATCTTATGCTGAACAGAAATAAAATTAGTAGTAGAATGAGAGGAGGTGGTCTAGTACTTGCTAAGATAAGACTGATTTTGGCAAATGACATACCTTCCAAGAAAGTAGGGGGTGGATGGGCGGGGCTATTATTTGATAAGATAAGACTGATTTTGGCACTTGACATTTTCGACCATTTTTCAACTAGATCTGAAAATTAGTTGAAGACATTTTCTTGCAAATTTCGATATCCAGAAGTCATTTTCGGCTTTGTTTGTTCGGAAATTCCTACCGATTTTCCAAAATCGCTAATTGAAATATAGCAATTTTTACAGTTTCGTCAAAATAGCTCGCTATAAAAATTTTGTAGACAGTTCTTTGAGGAAATTGCTATCATTTTAAAAGATCTATGTGATGACAACAATTTTTTTTTAAATAACTAGATTTTGAATTAAATGGAGAAATTTTGAAATATTTTACTAAATAACTTTTTTATTATTGATTTTAAAATATTGGTTGCTGTTGATTTTTGTAGTAAAAAATCAATCTTTCCATTAAAAAAAAAAGTTTCTACCGGTTCTATCGGAAGTGATGATAAAAATATGTGATTACCATCACATAGATCTTTTAAAATGTTACAAATTTACTCAAAGAACTGTAGGTTTATCTTTAAGAATAAAAAAGTTACAGGGGTTGTATCAAAGTGTCCAAAAATATCTTACTTGAACTACACATTAAACGTAACAGATGATGTTATTAGTAAAAACCAAAGGTGATAATACAATACTAATCATTGTTATTTTTTCATCATTTTGTAGATGTTTTTGGAATTACGTAATGGGGTTTTAACGAGGTTATATTATTAAATATATTTGAATCATATATATAACCAACGGGAAAAAGTGGCCTCCCAGCAATAATAACAAGCTTTCTTCCGATGTATAAATGATCACTTGGAACTGCTTTTTTATACATCGGAAGAATGTCATGTAGAAATTTGCTTTGATGTGAATGAGTTCGTCGCCTCAAAACAGTTGACTAAAATTACTGATTCAGCCACAGTCGAACAGCAACCGATGGATTCGATTATCTACTATACTTCCTTAGATTACGCTCGGGAAGTAATAATATAGGACCGAGAAAGACCTCGACCCTAGAATTCTTCCCAGACGTTGAAATTTTTTCATTTGTTAAGAAAAACGTCTAGTACAATTCAGTACAATCGACTCTGTGAGATGTCAACCTGAGTTTAAGTAAGATTAAAGTTACTGGTTAAACTCGCGACCATTTACTCTCGCTATGAATTTCCACAACGAAACGGTTCTATTAACAGTTGGCAAAACCTTCGCCAAAAACTACCCCTACGTTAAACTAGACGATCAAAGTGTAGTTCTCACGACGCATATGATTCTTTCGCATTCGAAGGAATACGAACGAATTAGAATTTTAATGTACAATGTTGCTGACGTAATTTCCGCATGTTTTGATATAAACAACACGAACTCTCTGGTGTACATCGAAACTGAGTTCCATGGAGAAGCCCGACGCCATTGTCCAAAGTCCCTATTTTCTTAGTGGGGTTGAAGTCAGATTTGAGCGACGCTGAGGACAAACTTGGAGCTGTTGAGTACGTGGAATGTTCAACGAAGACAATGAACATCGAGGGCGTTTTTGTCAAAGCGGTGGCGGGTGCGGTTTCTCGGCCACGGCGGAAAACCAAAAAGAGAAAAGTTTTATTTTGTAAAAGTAACGAATAAAGTCTAGAAATTGACAAAATAAATGAATTATTTTTTAATGAAGTGTATAACATTTATATGGTATGTATTTACCAGGCAATTAATATTTTGAAGTGACGTCATCACAGTGTTGGTGGGGATGATTAGGCACATTTTGAATATCTTTTTACCGTCTAGACAATGTATTATGAAATGTAATATATGAACGTATTTAAAAATCGTATTTGTAACTTGGTTTTATTAATCAGTACACAATTTAACACAATATCAATAGTTCGACTTTTCTAAAAGAAAATAATTACACATGTTAACACTAACGTTATCTACTTCTCAGGTACAATCTCTCCGATCCACTTCAAATATGCATCATTCCCTTTCTCAATAGGTAGTGAGATTACTTCACAAACAGAATAAGGATGATTAGATTTAACATACTCAGTTAAAGCATCAACTTTTGACGTTCTTGTTTTGATCATCATTAGAACTTCTGAATCTTCATTTATTTTATCCTCCCACTCATATATTGAAGTAATTTTTGGGATAACATTTACACAGGCAGCAAGTTTTTGTTTGACTAGTCCATGAGCTATTTCTTTGGCAACTTTTTCATTTGGTGTTGTGACATACGCAACAGAATGAGTACCAGGAACATAAGCACTGTTTTGTGGTATTTCTGACATATTTTGAGCTAGCGTTGAGAATCTTCTAGTTCTAAAAAATATTCAAAATGTAAAAAGAACAAACTGAAATGACCTAACCTTGTAAATATTTTATGTATAAAAATTTAGTGACTAATGTATTTAAATGGGGACTTTGAAGTAAGAGTATTTTCATAATTGACAAAACATTTTGGTATTAGTGTAAAATTTAGGTTACCTACTGTGACATTCCCAAAAAAATTGAAGTCCATGCATAAATAAACAAATTATACCACTACTTACGCTAATATTAGAGTAGATAATAGCAATCTTTGTGCAAAATACATTCGCCGATTTTTTAAAAATAATTACAATAATTGAATGGAACGTTTTATGCTGTGGTTTTATTTTAAGACGGAGTACCATAGAATTGGCCAGTAAAGTAAGGTTAGAATTTAGAATGCGCGGCAGTTCATAATTCAAAAATTCTACTATGGGTTTCTTATGGGAGCTTGATTTTACAGACAAAATACGCCGCATAGGTAGAAATCTTAACTAGTTCATGCTACAAGCGATAAAGACTGTACAATTATCTTCCTGTTACTAAAGGTTTAACTATATAAAAAGCTTCTGTTAAAGATATATTGCAAATTAAAAACAACGCTATCCATCGAAGTAACGTACATCGTTTCTAACGTCTTGCGCATGAGTGAAACGGAAAATCCAGAAACACTTGGGAAAGAAAAAGAACGCGAATATTTTGCGGTACTAGTGACGTTTAGATCGTGAAAATCCCCAAAATATGACAGTTGATTTCGTATTTTCATCACAACAAACAATCATAATCACAATTTTTGGATGATATATTAGTTCTGTGATATTGATTCACATTAGGTTGTATGTATCTGTGGACTGGTTTTTTTGTATTTGTTATTAATAATGACAGAAAGACATGTGTTAACAATAGGGGCAATTGCCATTTTTTTTGTTGGAGAAAATTCTTTACAGTCAAATAATGTAGCGAAAGTCAATTGGTATACTGAATTAAATGTGCTTGAAGAGTTTATTCGAGCTAGAATGCGAGAAGATTATGGTAAGTTAATGTATATTGATAAATTCTGTGTCAAGTAAAATTATGACGTATTTTGTTTTATTATGCATAGATATTCCTTAAGAGAGGCAACATGTGAAACCCCAAGAGGTGCATTTGTATATCATCATATGGCTACACCTGCCCTATACGGACGTTATAATGTATTGTGGACCAATAATTTGCGTGCTTGAGACGTACATCTGAAGAAAAGTGAATCAGCTGAGGTCCGAGCTGTTGTCTCTGAAAATTCTTTTAATCCCCAAGTCAGCCTAAAAACAGCTAATGTTGAGGTACAACTTCATGAAAGCTTAGGACAAACTGATAGGAGCGAAGCACTGCTTTTGCTATTGGGCCCTGAACTAGAAAGATCTGAAGAAAATCTACTTCACAGTGTCGAAGAACTATTAGTGTCCGAGGACTATTTTAATGGCCCATCAAGAAAACAGTTTGTGGGTCAGTTTTTCACCAAAAGTGAATCAGATTTTGCATTAGGAAGTGCAATTTTTTATTGTAAAATACTTTTTTTTTGTTTTGAAATAAATTGTTCTTTAAATTGTGATTTTTTTTTTTTAATGGGTGTTTCAGACCCAATTCGTACTAAAATGAGAGTGATTTTTACTTGTACATGAAAGGTTTAATCAGGAATGCTAAGTTTTTCCTTTTCTAGCAAAAATGTGTGAAAAGAAAAAAGCTTGGGATTGATGATGATTCTTAAATCAAAATTTGGCAATTGATTGAAAACATTTGCAAATATGAGATCTCCTTTATGTATTATTTTAAATTCACAGCCGTATCTGTAGCATCTGAAAATCAAAGCCATTTATGTGGAGGGGGAAGTCAATGGCAGTATGAACCACTGTACGACATACGTTCGAGGCAAATGTAGTGGTAAAAGTTGAATTTAAATATTTATTAAATACTACCGGTTCCGTTCATGTTTGGTATCAAGATCAACAGTAAAAATATCAGTCTTAATGGTACAGGTAGTGGGATATATAAGAAAATTACTTTAATGGTACAATTTAAGCGTTAAAGTGACGCCTCGATTTCACCCATAAGGATTACACGGGGAACTGAAATACGGGTCTCGTGTTATGAACTGAGTTCAAATTTCGCGCGTCATTCACTTTACTGGTCAATACCCATGATACAAGAAAATGTTTTCTTGTATCATGAGAATACCCTCACTGCCAAGGTCTTTCTGGATTACGTCATCAAAAATATATCTTAGAAAAATTGCTTACAGTTATCAAAATATGTAATCAACTACAAAAATGTATTGAAAATGATAAAAGGTGAATCAACATAATTTAATGTATGTAAGTAGAGTAGCGGTAGAATAAGAGAGAAAAGTTTCTTCAAAACAACACCATTATTTAACGTAATTTATTTATGAAAATAAATGAAGTTAAATAATGGTGTTTCTTTTCAAGAAGGTTTTTGTTATGCAACAAGATATACGTAGTGTCAAACGGTGATAATAATAAAGTAAAACATGTTTTCAATAAAATTATAGCTAATGTTCAAATTATGTACTTCCTATTTATCATTAGACAAGAATAAAGTCGAACTTATTCTCTTATTAAATTAAAGAAAAGAGTGTGATTATCTTAACAATCCATTTCTTTTTCTTTTTAAGTCAAATTATCCCGGCATGTATATATCAAATGTTGAACAAGTACATGCAAACCGATAAAAGTTTAGCACTGAGAACATTTCAGAATTTATCATATAAAAATAGCTTAGAATACAGACATTTAATTTCGAAAATCCAAAAATTTTGAAAATCTGCTAGGGGGTGCATTTCTTAAGAATTTTACAATTAATTTGAGGTCAATATTTACAAAAATCTGACAGATTTGATTCTATAGGTATATAAGAAAAACAACAAAAAAAAATCATCAAGAATATATATGGCAGCGAATTAGAGCAAGTTTGACTTCATTTCTGCAAGATGCAGTCTTGTTGACATAATAGTGAAATCTGGAAGCCAATTTCACAGCGCCAAGCTATTCCTATCCGGTTTTTTGCGCTTCACTGTACATTTGCTAATAATCAAAGAGTCGAGGTCTAGGCCATAACTAACCTTAACGTTGCTGAAAGATAATTAAGTTTCGCTATTGCTATTACATAAAATTCTTCTCGATGAAATCACGTTCCCCACCTAGAACCTTCTGATGTTGAAAAGTGCTTGTTTCGGTTCGTTACATCCCATTGTCATAGGCCGAATAGCATCATTAGTAAACACAGAATAAACCGAACTTGTATATTTAAGCCGATAGGTTATTTACATGTTGCACATGAATGAGCCGAATAATAAAGTACAAAGACCCTATTATTGGCACAATTATAATAATGTCGAAAGCAATATACTGTATTTACATTTGTCGTAAATACCGTCGGTAAACACTGAATTGGGGTTACAGCACAAATCTGCTTTTGTTGCTTTTGTCTGCATTTTTTATGGACTTGTTTTTGATTTGCCGACGTAATGATTTAGAACCGTAATTAATTTGCCGTTCATCATAAAAACTTTCTTCTGGAACTACATGACCTACGGTATTTGTCTCTTCGTCCAGATGATGTTAATCCGATCATTCCAACCCTTCGTACTCGCGTACTTCATCAGTTTATTTTCCGACGACATCGAAACCGACCAAAACCAGATGTATATTTACGGTTCGGTTCTAATGATTCAGTCAATTTTGCTTGTAGTTTCTATCCATCACATCGAGTGTGGACAAGCCTCAGTCGGAATGCGGATACGCATCTCCGTTTCTTCACTGATTTACAGAAAAGTATGCAAAAAGCTCTCTCCTGCACGTTTAAAATATATTTTTGTAGATGTTAAGACTCAGCAAAAAATCTTTAGGGGAAACTGCTGCTGGTCAGGTCGTTAATTTGTTGTCAAATGACGTCAATCGATTCGATTTTGTTACCCTAGCTCTGCACTACTTGTGGATTGCACCGCTTCAAATTGTGCTCGTAACTTACTTAATTTGGATCGAAATGGGGGTTTCCACTTTGGCGGGGGTGCTCTTCATTCTATGCCTGACTCTACCGGTACAAGGTAAGTAAATTCAAAAGACCAGTTTTTGATTGGCCGAGTTCCAAGCGCTCGCAGTTAACTTTTATTTCGGTTGCTGAAAGTCACCTACCTATACCTATAGTCTTCGTACGTTACAGCTTACTTGGCCAAATTCACCTCGCGTTTCCGGTTAGCCGTAGCCCAAAGAACAGATCGAAGAGTACGTTTAATGAACGAGGTAATTTCTGGAATTCAGATAATCAAGATGTACGCATGGGAAAAACCATTCGAACAAATTATCAAAATGGCGCGCAAAAACGAAATCAACGCTATAACAAAGGCATCGTACTTAAAAGGAATATTCTTAAGCTGCATGGTTTTCATAGAACGAGCAACACTTTTTCTCACAGTGACTTGTTTTTTCTTATTAGGGAATCCCATAACAGCAGATAAGGTTTTCTCAATTGCACAGTACTTCAACGTTTTCCAAATGGCAATGGCGATTTGCATTCCCATGGCTGTGACTTTCGGTGCCGAATCTTTGATATCAATTCAGAGATTGCGTGAGTTCCTTTTATTAGAAGAGAAATCGGAATCAGCGGTTGAGCTTAGAACCAATGAAAACGTAACTTTCACGAATGTTAATGCTTTCTGGACCTCCGACAAAACAACTATAAGCGACTTCAGTTTGTGTGTGCCGAGTGGGAGTTTGTGTGCCATCGTGGGACCCGTCGGTGCCGGTAAATCTTCGATTCTTCAGATGCTCCTAGGGGAACTACCGCCAACAACGGGGTCGATCCATGTAGGAGGCACCATATCGTACGCATCCCAGGAGTCTTGGTTGTTTGCGTCAAGCGTGCGCAATATCTTCAAATCCGGCTCTAAATTTGAGATAACAAACTACAGACCTGTTGCAATTATTCCAAACTTTGCAAAGTTATTTCAAATCATATTGTTTGATAACGTTTATAGCCATATATTACAGCAGTTAACCGATCACCAACACGGTTTTGTACGAGGTAAATCAACATGTACGAATTTATGCAATTTTACACAATTTGTCTCAGATTCTTTAAACTGCACACAACAGGTAGATACAGTATACATGGACCTATCCAAAGCTTTTGATGTTGTAAACCACCCAATTCTATTGAAAAAGTTACATAATTTCGGATTATGCGATAGTTTAGTTAATCTTTTTAAATCGATATTAAGTGGCCAAAAGCAATATGTTGAATATTCAGGTTACAGGTCACCAGTGTATGAATGCCATTCTGGTGTTTGTCAAGGATCCAATTTAGGACCTTTATTATTCATTATTTATATTAATGATGTGGTAAAATGTCTAAACTTTGATTGTCGTATTTTTTTGTATGCAGATGACATTAAATTAGCAAAAATAATTGATAATCTCCAGGATTGTGAAAAGTTGCAGAAAGTTCTTGATGCAATAATTCGTTGGTGTCAAATACACAAGTTAGACATAAATATTAACAAGTGCTGTATTGTGTCATATAACAGGAAAACTAATGTTATAGAATATAATTATAATATTGGAGGAGTAGAGATTAAGAGATGTACTGAATATAGAGATTTAGGTATCATTATGGACTCTAGACTGTCGTTCGTACCTCACATTAATAATATTAACTGTAAAGCTCTGAAGATGTTAGGTTTCGTCATACGCACTACAAAAGATTTCAAAAATACGGATTGCATGTTTTTATTGTACTTCGCTTATGTTCGCTCTATTTTGGAGTACTGTACGTTAGTATGGGATCCATATTATAATATACATATTTCCGCATTAGAAAATATCCAAAGAAGATTTTGTAAGTACGTATACTTTAGGAAACATGGGATATATCCAGTCCGTAATTACCCACAGAAACTACTGCTAGCTGAATTCGATTTAATACCCCTTGTAGATCGACGGAAGTACTTCTCTTTAACCTTTTTATATAAATTATTACATGGCATTATTCAGGACAGTAACCTTCTTTCTCAGATTAACTTTTGTGTACCTAGACTTAATAATCGTCAACCACTTGTATTTTCTAATCAGGTATCACGTACCAATCAACACTTGCATTCCCCTATACTAAATATGACTAGGTTATATAACGTTAATGCTGCGCACTTGGACGTATTTGTTGAAAACTTTCGTTTTTTTTGTTGTACGTGTAAAAATCTATGTTACAATTATACACCACAATTAGCATGAACGTCTACTTACTAATAACTTGTATGTTTTTTTTTTTGTGTATTGTGAAATTATTCAAATGTTATTATGTACTATTTTGCCCTATATGAGCTTGCTCGTTGGGCTGTAATAAATTATTATTATTATTATTATTATTATTATTATTAATAACATCTTGTTTGGTCAAAAGTACGACAGGGCTCTTTACCGAAAGATAGTCAAAGTATGTGCTTTAGAGAAAGACTTTCAACAGTTTCCTCAAGGTGACAGAACTGTGGTGGGCGAAAAAGGGGTTTCTTTGAGTGGAGGACAAAGAGCTCGAGTCAACCTAGCGAGGGCTGTTTACAGACAAGCCGATATTTACTTACTGGACGATCCCTTATCTGCAGTTGATACACACGTCGGTAAACACCTCTTTGAAGAATGCGTTCTTAGATACTTAAAAGATAAAACTAGAATTTTGGTGACTCATCAGTTGCAGTATTTGAAACAAGCGGATTATATTGTGGTCATAAACGAAGTAGAAAAAAGTATTTGTTATTGCTGGTGATTTACGAGTTGTTGTAGGGGCGGATCGAGGCTCAGGGAACTTTCAGCGAGTTGATCAACAGCGATGTGGATTTTACTAAACTGTTGGTTTCTGAAGACGAGGAGAGCGAACAGGTGGAAGTTAAAGCCGTTAGAGACAGAGCAGCGTCGATCGTTTCACACAAAGCAAGTATCAGTATCAAAAATCTTCTATATTTATATTTCGTGTTGTAGAGTATTGCAAGTGAAAAGAGCGAAATAGTCGAAAAAGTGGAAAATATGGAAGAAATGAGCGCTTCGGATGGCACCCCGTTCAAAGACTACATTAAAGCGTCTGGAAGCTGTTGTAAAATATTCGGTCTGATTTCTCTTTTGATTTTGGCTCAAGCTTGTTGTAACGGTGCCGACTTGTGGCTTACACTTTGGTAATGAACTAATTTCGATCAAGACTGCAAAAATAAACTTCAAGATTGCAGGACGCAGCAGGAATCAATAAGAAACTCCAACATCTCCGTCACCAATTCGTCGAACGACTGGTTGGACGCGGTCACAGATACTCTTATTTCCGGCGACGAAATCATCCGCCTAATCAAATCAGAAGTCTTCATCTACTTCTACTTGGTGGTTATAATTCTAGCGATTATTCTCACCTTGTCGCGATCCTTTGCCTTCTTTAAAATGGCGATGAACGCCTCGAAAAACTTACACAACCAAATAAATGTTCCACTCGCTTCTGCAAGCTCCAATGCGATTTTTCGACACGAACCCCAGCGGTCGAGTCCTGAACCGTTTTTCCAAAGATATGGGTGCCGCCGATGAATTTCTGCCACGCGTTTTAATCGACGCCATCCAAATACTTCTCGTGATGTCAGGAATTCTGATCATGATCGTCATCGCTAACTACTACATGTTAGTTCCGATAGTGATCATCGGGTTCTTATTTTTTAAAGTTCGTGGATGGTACTTGGCCACCGCTAGAGATGTCAAACATCTGGAAGGCATGAGTAAGCATTTTCTTGCTGAAAAAACAAGTAAGTAACTGTCGTCTTAGCAAAATCTAGCGTTTTTTCGCACCTCAATTCAACTTTCAACGGAATCACAACAATCAGAGCGTCAAAAGCTGAACAGGTTTTGATGAGGGAGTTTGATTTGCACCAGGACACGCACACGTCGGCTTGGTTTTTGACGATATCCACAAGAGTCGCTTTTGGCTTGTGGCTGGACTTGCTGAGCGTGACTTTCATTACGATCGTGATCTTCAGCTTTATACTCCTCACGTATTGTAAGTGGAAGGGGAAGTGACGGCGTGATTGGTCGCCACCAATCCACTGACCAATAAACGCATATAATTGCAGATTCCTACGTGAGCGGCAGCTTTGTCGGGTTGGCCATCTCTCAGTCGCTGATTCTATCGGGAATGCTGCAATACGGAATGCGACAAACAGCCGAAGTGGTAAATCAACTCACGAGTGTGGAAAGAGTGATGCAGTACAGTAGACTAGACAATGAGCATGCAAACGCTAGGGCTATAGAAACTGTGAAACAATCGTGGCCAAGTAGAGGTTTAGTCGAGTTTAGAGATCTTTCGCTGAGATATGCAGAGTCCGATCCTCCGGTTTTGAGAAATTTGAACTTTGATATAACTCCTGGCAGTAAAATTGGTATTGTTGGTAGAACGGGAGCTGGGAAGTCGTCGCTTATTTCCGCCCTCTTCCGCCTGGCTCCCATCGAAGGCGGAATTTTTATAGATGGAGTGAACACTCAGTCGATTCCCTTGGGTCAATTAAGAAAGTGCATTTCCATCATACCTCAAGAACCTGTACTGTTTTCGGCCACTCTGCGTTATAACTTGGACCCATTTCAGGAGTTTGACGACCGTAAATTGTGGGATGTATTAGAACAAGTAACGTCAATTTCATTGCTTACAAATTTTGTACTGTAGGTACTTGTAACTAAATAAAATTAGTATAAGTACGTAATTTCAGGTTGAATTGAAAGAGAGTGTACGGGATCTCGACATAATCGTCTCCGAAGGCGGCAGTAATTTCAGTCTAGGCCAGAGGCAGCTCTTATGTCTGGCCAGAGCGACTCTGAGAAACAACAAAATTCTAGTTTTGGACGAAGCGACTGCTAACGTCGATCCAAGGTAAAGATTGCTTCTCCTAGCAAAATCTAGAATGTACTTTTTAGAACCGATTCTTTAATCCAACACACCATCCGAAAACGGTTTCGGAATTGTACCGTTTTAACGATTGCACATCGCCTCAACACCATCATGGATTCCGACGGAGTTCTGGTGATGAATGCGGGACGCATGGTCGAGTTCAACCATCCGCATGTCTTGTTACAAGAGGAAGACGGGTATTTTTCGAAAATGGTGGCGGAAACGGGGCCTGCGATGGCCTTGCAGTTAAAACAGATCGCAGAAGAATTTTACAGCGTAAATGTAATTAAAAGTGAAGTCTGATGTAATGTTAGTTGACTCTAACATCAAGCGTAATTAAAGAAAATAGTAAAGTCTAACTGTATTTGATTTGTTATGAAAATCATTCACCCCATTTAGGTAATCGAGTACACAGAACGTCGAGATAAGGAGTTTTAATGACCGCGCTTCAGTTAGGTATGTACGATTTGGACAAATCAATATTTAACAAAGATAGTTCAAAGTTAAGTACAAAGACGTAGAGACGCAGACGGTGATCGTTGTCCACGATGGACAGAGGCGTTCGTCTGAAAATTCGCAACCCCAAGAGCGACGCCAGTTTGCTATCGAAACTATTTTTCGCGTGAGTACACTTGTTTTGCAAAACTGTTCTTCCAAAGTGGGTTTTCAGATGGATAATTAAAATGTATCGCAAAATTTTGAAAAACAATTTGGAAGTGCCTGACTTATACAAAACGTTCGATTCGGACTGTTCGCAACAACTGGCGGATAAGCTTGAACAAAATTGGACGAAAGAAGTCACAAGGGCTAAAATGAAGAACAAGCAACCGAAACTGGTCAGAGCTATTGTGGCAACGTTCTTTTGGGACTATATGGTTTATGGGGGCGTCCTCTTCGTTCAGCATGTCATACTCAGGTACAACCTTTTATTGTATTAATGACTCTATTTTCTTTAAGGCGATTTATGCCAAATCAGCAGCGGCTGTTTCAAATAAGGAGAAAAAGTTAATAAAATACATTCGCAGATCTTTACAACCAGTGATATTAGCGTACTTAATAACACTTTTTGAGAAAAGTACGAATGAACGCAACGCCATGTACTTTGCCACCACAGCTTTGGTCGGCGTGACACTTTTAATCATATTCACGATGCACCACGCAGTTTTTGGTCAAGCCGCCATCGGAATGAGGGTACGAGTGGCGATTTCTGCCGTCATTTACCGCAAAGTGAGTATAGAGTAAGTACAGGCATTAATCGTGTCTTCACTTTCTCTTTTCATAGACGCTGAAATTAACCAGACAATCCTTAAACCACACTTCTACTGGACAAATAATAAATTTACTGTCCAACGACGTCACCCGTTTCGACCTGGTGGTTCTAGCACTCCACTACTTGTGGATTCTACCTTTTCAAGTTTCTGTCATCACTTTGCTTTGTTGGATGCAAGTCGGTGCCTGCGCTTTCGTTGGTGTCGCCGCCATCGCACTCCTTTCCCTCCCTGTACAAGGATACTTGGGGAAACTCACATCAACCTTTCGTGTTAAAGTAGCCGAGAAGTGCGACCATAGAGTGACACTAATGAGTGAAATCATCTCAGGAATACAAGTCATTAAAATGTACGCCTGGGAAAAAGCTTTCCAGAACCTCGTCAACGTAGCAAGATCCCACGAAATGGAAGCCCTCACGATTGCCTCATACTTGCGCGGGATTTATCTAAGCTTCATCGTATTCGTGGAACGAACTGCGCTCTTTCTAACTCTAACAATGTACGTCTTCACCGGAAACGTGCTTCTAGCGGAACAAGTCTTCTCGATTTCCAATTTCTTCAACTTGCTTCAGTTAACAATGTCGGTCTTTTTTCCGCTATCTATAAGCTTCGGGGCCGAAACTCTGGTGGCTATTCAAAGAATTGAGCAATTCTTGATGACGGAGGAGGTCGAGACGTCTACCATCAAACTCGATAGCAGCGTCGGGGTGTCTCTAACCGACGTACACTCCTCGGTTCTTAACAACATCACGTGTCACATCAAAAAAGGCTCTTTATGTGCAGTAGTTGGACCTGTAGGTGGCGGTAAAACTTCTTTACTACATCTGCTTCTAAACGAGCTTAAATCTCTACACGGGTGTGTCAAGATTCAAGGTGCTGTATCTTTTGCGCCGCAAGAACCGTGGCTGTTTGCATCCACCATCCGTGAGAACATACTCTTCGGGAACAAATACGATAGGAAATTGTATCAAAAGGTTGTAAAAGTTTGCGCTTTGCGAAGGGACTTTCGTCAGTTTCCGCTAGCAGATAAGACGCTGGTGGGTGAAAGAGGGGCCTCGTTGAGTGGCGGACAAAGGGCTCGGATTAACTTAGCACGAGCTGTGTACAGGGACGCAGAGGTGTACCTTTTGGACGATCCCTTATCGGCTGTCGATAGTCACGTGAGTAAACACTTGTTCGAGGAATGCTTAGTCAAGTACTTGCACGGGAAGACGAGGATTTTGGTAACTCATCAAAGGCAGTACTTGAAGAAAGCCGACGTCATCGTCTTGATTAACAAGGGGAAGGTGGAGGTGAAAGGGTCGTACAGAGAGCTGGCGAAGAGCGATTTATATTTTACGAGGGAAAGTTTCGAGGATGATGAGAAAGTGGACGACGTAGAAGAAGTGGTTATGTTGAGTGATGTAAGTAGTAAGAGCAAAACGGTACATATACAAAAATAGTTTTTTTTGTAGAATTCTTTTCAAGATTCGAGTCAGATTAAGAGTGACTTCGGTGACGAGGAAGAGAATGGGATGACCGAGGGGACTTTATCCTTACGCCAATACATAACGGCCTCTAGGAGTCTTTGCTTAACTCTTTTAGTGATCGTGACGTTGCTTCTGTGTCAAATTTTTTGTAGCGCCACTGACTATTGGGTGACTTTTTGGACGCAACAGGAGACTCTAAGAAGTCAGAATTTTTCAAGGAATAAAACTGGGTCCAGTGAAAGGACAAACGTTAGTAGAAAAATTCCTTTAGACGGAATAACCATTGACAAATTTACGGCCGTTTATATTTACTCGGGATTAATTCTCTTCACCATCATCATCACATTTGTGCGTTCGTCTCTCTTCTTTAAACTGACCATGATCATATCGAAAAACTTACACACCCAAATGGTCAACAATCTTTTAACGGCCCACATGAGTTTCTTTACCACTAATCCAGCAGGCAGAATTCTAAACCGATTTTCTAAAGACATGGGAGCGGTCGATGAAATATTGCCACGAACGCTACTAGAAGCCATTCAGGTAAGTTTAATCAAACTCGATTAGATGTGTCAGCGTCGACTTTTCAGATTATATTGGTCATGTGTGGAATCTTGGTTATGGTAATTGTCTCGAATTATTACATGATTCCTGTAATAATCATCTTGGGTTTTACGTTCATGAAAATTCGGTCATGGTTTGTTACGGTGACTAAGCGCATCAAGCACTTGGAAGGAATAAGTACGCGGCAGATAATAAAAGAGGGCTTTAAGTGATGTTTCATTTGCAGCCAAATCACCGGTTTTTTCGCATCTCAATTCATCTATGCAAGGAATCGTGACAATTAGGGCTTTCAATGCACAAGACAAGTTACGAAAGGAGTTCGATCACTATCAGGTGATTGTTGCTGATGCTTGATTTTTTTTTAAATTTAGATTGCAGGATGTGCACACGTCTGCTTGGTTTTTGCTGATAACCACAACCTCGTCGTTTGGATTATGGTTGGATTTGGTGTGTCTTGTGTTTATTGCTTGCACTTCCTTTAGCTTTATTATCCTCAATCACTGTAGGCTTTTCAAAATTAAAATTTTAGAATTCCTGTTTTTGTTTTTTTTTTAGATGGTCAGATTAGTGGCAGTTTGGTGGGTTTGGCCATTTCACAATCCTTGGTTCTCACTGGGATGCTACAATACGGTGTACGACAAAGCGCAGAAGTTGTCAATCAGTTAACCTCCGTCGAACGAATTCTTCAGTACAACGAAATCGAGAAAGAGGGACCACTATTAACCCCTCCAGGTTTGTATTTTTCCGCTCCCGAGTCCTTACAGTCTTCGTCTCATTATTACCATTTCTAGAAAATGCTCCACCTTCAAACTGGCCCGCGCATGGCTTCATCCTCGTCGATCGCCTATCCCTTCAATACTCACCCACAAAACCGCCCGTTCTCAAAAACCTGAACATCGAAATCCAGGCCGGCGAAAAAATCGGGATCGTGGGAAGAACGGGAGCCGGGAAATCGTCTCTAATAGCCGCCCTGTTCCGACTAACGGAACCCTCTGGTACCATTTACATAGACGGCGTTAACACTCAGACGCTAGGTGTGCGCGATCTGCGTCGGTGCTTGTCCATCATCCCTCAAGAGCCAATTCTGTTTTCGTCAACCGTGCGTCAAAATATCGACCCCTTCGGAGAATACAGCGACAGACAAATATGGAACGTGCTCGAGGAAGTGGAGTTGAAAAATATCGTGTCTTGTTTGGACGCACCTGTCGCTCGCAACGGGTCGAACTTCAGCGTGGGCCAAAGGCAGTTGGTGTGTCTGGCGAGGGCCATGCTCAGGAACAACAAAATACTGGTAATGGACGAGGCAACGGCCAACACCGACGATAAGTGAGTTTTGACAGACGCCATTAATTTGAAAATTAATTGACGATTCTAGGACTGACGCTCTCATACAGAGGATGATCCGCAAAAAATTCGATTCGTGCACAGTTCTAACCGTGGCTCACAGATTACACACCGTCATCGACTCCGACAGGGTAATGGTGATGGAAAACGGCGAAATCGTTGAATACGATCACCCGTACTTGTTGCTGCAGAAGCCCGAAAGTACCTTTTACAAGATGGTTTTAGAAACCGGGCTGGAAACCAGCACTTGGTTGGAGGAACTCGCGCTGGAAGCCTTCCTCGAAAGGCGAACGCACTAAACTTCTCATACTCATCTAACTATTTAAGGCAGTAAAAAACATCTCTATTAAATCCGTTATTTAAATAATAAAAAATTAAAATAATTGCACTACATCTACTCTTACACTAAATGAGATAAATCGTCAATACTCGTGGGCGGTTGCATTTGCTCGGGTTTTTTCGTGGGAGCTTGTTGGTATCTACTTTTCGAGACGACGGAAATGGGAGATTGGCCCGCCTGTGCGGCGTGCGTGATTCCCAGTTTCTGGGTGGTTACCATTTTCTGTTGGTTCAGCGTGTTCGTATTTGACACGAACTTGACAACGGTGTTTTGTTGAGGTTGCGGTGACGGCTGACATCCGGGCGTTGGTGGCCGTTGCGTCACAAAGAGAATTTTTTGGTTGTTAATTTGGTTGGTTACTCTCCCGGTCTGGTTCATCATGATGGTTCGCTGGGGACCGGCGGTGTTCTGCACGAGTTGCGGGTGCTAAATTAACATCAACGACATTTTTCTCCATTAGTAACGGCGAAAACGTTCCATATTTTCATAAATTAAGTTTATCGATCAATTTTCGTCAAAGTTTGTGTCGTAAAATTTTATAGCGCACTCGAAGCGGGTTACGTTGTTTGCGGTTTGGCGAAAATTAATGTCAAATTAATGTAAGATTGTAGCGCGATCAGTACCCCTAGCGCCCTCTGTCACGCCCACGCACCACCACTACCCTGCCGCAGCACCCCGGTACTCGCTCGCTCCCTTACCAGAGGGCGGTGCGCCCTTTCACTCCCACGCGACGCATTTCTAGCCGCCTTTACATAGGACCCGAGCGGCCAGATTCGGCAAGTTTTTCCATCTGCGAACTTCACAGCTCATTTGCGTATCACCTTGCGTCCGAGGGGTCTTGGAGGTCCAAATCGAGTAGTAAGTCGGCTTGAGTATCAGCGGCGTATCCGAGGGGTCCCGCAGGTCCGGCCGTGGAAAAACGCTCCGGGTGTTCGCGAGTGTACGAGTTATCAGGACTGTTCGTCCGCGGAGTGACCATTTTTAAGGACTCGTGTAACCAGTCTATGTCTATGCAGTGTATATACTATGTTTTGTTGAATAAAGTTTTTACGGAATAAACCACGTGTTATAAAAAGTGGCGCCCAACTTAGTGGCACGAAGAAGGCGTCTGTTATAAAAAGTGACGCCCAACGAAGCGGCCCGAAACCGACCACAATTTCGCGAAAAACGAAGATTCCGACGCGAAGAAGTCCGCGAACCAACATCGGGATGACGATTCAAATGTCCGCAGAACAATTCAACGAACTGATAAACGGCATCAGGGATGTCGCGAGGCCCCGAGAAGCCGATCTGCACCCATCTTCAGGGACGAGACACTTCAGCCATTGCCCGGCCCGGTTCAACGGCTCCCGCAACGCCTCGAGTGTAGAGGAATTTATTACAACCGCGAGCCTGTACAAGAGGTTGGAGAAAATTAGTGACGAAGACGCCCTAGAAACTCTACCGATCCTGCTACGCGAGGAAGCGCTGACGTGGTGGAACGGAGTAAGGAATTCCGTCAACACATGGCCAGCCGCAGTCCAACTAATCAGGGACGCCTTCGCCCCGAGAGCCCCGAACCACCGCCTGTTCAAGGAGATATTCAACGAACCTCAGGGGGACGAGGTCTCCACCGACGCGTACATCACGCGCCAACGCGAACGGCTGTCGCGGATGTCCCGGCAGCTGGACGAACAGTGGCAGATGGATATCCTCTACGGACTGCTGCGACGTAGACTTAGAGACCGCATCGCCCGTACGGAAGTGGACACCTTCGCAGATCTCCTCCACAAGGCCCGCGCCGTCGAAGAGAGCGAGCGAGAAGGGAAAAACTCGCACGCGAAACCAAATGGTAAGGGCCCCAAAGCAGACGAAAACCGAAGTCGCGGCCCCAGACTCCGCTGTGACGTCTGCAGAGCTTTTGGCCACGACACAACCGCTTGCCGCCGGAGACCACGAGGACCTGCCCCAGCTCCCGGACCGGCAACCCGGACGCCCGCTGAGCCAGTGCGTTGTTACGATTGCAACGCCCCGGGGGTGTTTAGAAGAAATTGCCCCACCTGTAACACGACCGACGCCAGCCAACCCGCACGCAACATGGCATTCTGTGCGCTGAGGTCCGGCACGATCCAACCACGGTCCCGCCCGGCAATCCACATAAAAATCGCCGGAGAAGAAGGCACCGGCTACCTCGATACGGCCGCGTGCAATAGCGTGGCCAGCGCTACATTGTACCGCCACCTGATAAAAACGGGACACAAAGCAAGGACGGAAAACGTGATCGCCACCCTTGCAGACGGCACGAGCAAGCACCTGCAGGTGCCGGCCGTCACGACCAAGGTAGGCGTACAAGGACGACACGTAGAAACCACCTTCATCGTGTTGTCCGACTCTTGCAACACCCGCACCCTGCTGGGCGCGGACTTCATAGAGGACGCGAGAATCATCCCCGACTTGGCGAGACGACGGTTCTATTTTGGCGGCGACATCACGCGGACCTACCCGTTCGTCGACGTCGACGGAGCCGAGGCGCCCGCCAGAAAAGGAGTTCCCACGACCATAAAAGAAGTTCGAATCACACAATCGGAACCCATGGAAGCGGGAGACATCGAAGAAGGCTACGGGCCCCCGCCACCAGCACCGCCGAAACGCGATACCTCCAAGGGACTGGTAACCCCCCACGGCATATGGACCACGTATCAGGCTCCGTACGCGACGGAACACATGTGGGAAGACGCGGAGACCGCGATGACGACGGGCGAAATGGACGAATACGAAATGGGCCTCTTCCCCGACGGGCCCCGGCGACTGTTCATAACATCTCTGCACCTGCAAGCCAACGAAGGCACCGGGTTCACCGAACCGACCCGCGCGAAGTTTGACGACTTGGTGGATGACTTCGCCGACGCTTTTGAGGCGCACGGCCCGCCTACCCCATACGCCGAGCATCGCATCGACACAGGCGACCACGCCCCGATCGCGGTGCCTCCTTATCAGCTGAACGCCACGAAAAAGCAATTGCTCAAGGAGGAAGTGGAGAAGATGATCCAGGCTCAAGTAATAGAGGAATGCGATAGCCCTTGGGCAGCCCCCATCGTCCTCATCCCTAAGAAAGACGGCTCCGTGCGACCGTGCGTCGACTATCGGAAGCTGAACGCCGTCACTCGCCCAGACGCCTACCCACTGCCGAGGCTAGACGATCTCCTGCACTCCGTCGGCCCCATTGGTTGCATGAGCACCCTTGACCTCCAGGCCGGATACTGGCAGATCCAAATGCGACCAGAGGACCGGGACAAGACAGCTTTTATCTGCCCCTTCGGGTTGTTTCGCTTCCGGCGACTGCCCTTCGGCTTACGGAACGCTCCAGCGTCGTTCCAGCGCCTCATGGACCGGTTCAAGTCTGGGTTACCTAACCTTACGCTGTTGGCCTACTTGGACGACCTAATCGTCATCTCCGCTGACGAAGAAAGCCACCTGGAGCACCTGAGGGAGGTCTTCGAAAGGCTCCGCACGTTCAAACTCCGGGTCAACCGAGAGAAATGCCAATTTGGATGTCACGAGGTACGATATCTAGGGCACGTCTTGTCTCCCGCCGGAATCGCAGCGGACCCCAATAAGGTACACGCAGTTACGCAGATGTCGGCGCCCCGAAACGTCAAACAACTGCAATCCTTCATCCAAACGTGTTCATGGTTCAGGCGATTCATCACCGCCTTCGCCACGGTCGCTAAACCCCTCTGCTCCCTCCTAAAGAAAGATGCCACATGGCAATGGAACTCCGCCCACCAAGAAGCGTTCGAGGAACTGAAGCAGCGATTGGCCGACGCCCCCATCCTGCGACAAGCCAACCCCGAAGAACCGTTTGTCTTGCGCACGGACGCAAGCGCTTACGCCCTAGGAGCGGCTCTACTCCAGGGGGAGGGCCCGGAGGAGCGCCCGATCGAGTACGCAAGCCGCCTGCTCACGAACCACGAGCAGAATTACACCACCACGGAGCGCGAAGCCCTCGCCATTGTCTGGGCCGTGCGAAGATTCCGTGGGTATCTAGAAGAATCCTCAACCGTGGTCATCACCGACCATCAGCCCCTCCGATGGCTGATGACATTAAAGACACCGACCGGACGTCTAGCGAGGTGGGCACTGCAGCTGCAGCCGTACCACCTGACCATCGAATATACGCCCGGTAAGGCCAACGTAGTAGCAGACATGTTGTCACGACCCCACCTACCCGAGGTGGCCATCGACTCCGTAGAAGTGGACCTCCCCACACGTAAAGCCAACGAACTACGAAGCGAGCAGCGCAAGGACGAAGAAATTAGGAAGATTATGGACGACCTGGTCCACGCCCAAGCCGAGATTTCCCAGCAGTGGACCTCTCGCGGCTACCTACTCAACCAAGGGGTTCTTTACCGATACTCTCAAGATGGAGAGAGTGAGGAGGCTCAGCTAGTAGTCCCCAAACACGAACGACCCCGAGTACTGGCCGAGTACCACGACTCACCCACCGCCGGCCACTATGGCGTCGAAAGAACATACTATCGGATCAAGCGAAGATACTATTGGACGGGTATGCGACGACGAGGCCGCCCCAGAAAGATCCAGCAGGACCAATAGGCGGGGACGCACCCTATGGTCCTGAGGGGGAGACTGTAGCGCGATCAGTACCCCTAGCGCCCTCTGTCACGCCCACGCACCACCACTACCCTGCCGCAGCACCCCGGTACTCGCTCGCTCCCTTACCAGAGGGCGGTGCGCCCTTTCACTCCCACGCGACGCATTTCTAGCCGCCTTTACATAGGACCCGAGCGGCCAGATTCGGCAAGTTTTTCCATCTGCGAACTTCACAGCTCATTTGCGTATCACCTTGCGTCCGAGGGGTCTTGGAGGTCCAAATCGAGTAGTAAGTCGGCTTGAGTATCAGCGGCGTATCCGAGGGGTCCCGCAGGTCCGGCCGTGGAAAAACGCTCCGGGTGTTCGCGAGTGTACGAGTTATCAGGACTGTTCGTCCGCGGAGTGACCATTTTTAAGGACTCGTGTAACCAGTCTATGTCTATGCAGTGTATATACTATGTTTTGTTGAATAAAGTTTTTACGGAATAAACCACGTGTTATAAGATCATGTAACTCAAACGCTTCTATTTATGAAGCTGCGATAAAATTGTCTAGTGTTACAATTAATTTGTAGTTTCTGAGGTTGTCAGTAATACAAAGAGCTAGTTTTATTGTTACACTTACCTGTTGTAGTATTTGAGACGGCTGACCGACAGTCCTCGTAATAGTGGCACTAACGTTAGTTAAAGAAGTTGAAATATTACAAGCCGCCGTCGTCGACGGCGTCGGCTGCGTACGCGCTTTTAAAACAGCAGCATGTAATGCAGGTCCTAAATATCCATACTCTTGTTTATATTCTTCAACATAGTCTGGCGAGTTCTTGATATTTTTTAAAACCGGCGCCACTACTTTAATCAATAACTGTTTAATGTGTTCCGATGCAATTTTTTCAATGTTTGAAGTAATAGAACCTTGAAGGTGTGTCTCAATTCTAGCGCCTATCAACTTCAATTTCGGTAAAACAAAAATCCTGATAACTTCCGCTCCCAACTCTGATAAACCTTCCAGAGCACCGTAAAGTGAAGAGAGAGGAACTTTATCGCCTTGATTTAGTGCATTTGTAAACATTCTGGTGATCCTAGTCTGAATGTTGTTGTGCTGGTGTTGAAATTTTTGCAGATTTGTGACATGAGCCGTGACGCGAAATCGCGAAGCGCCCAGTGATTATCGAGTTCTGGACGCATACACAGTTGTTTGGAAACGATGCAAGTGGTTACTGATAGAATCAGTTCATGTAACTGCAGTAAAAATGAATTAGCAAATAAGTACTAAAACAAAAGTAAAATATACATATTTTTCGAGATACAGCGACTGATTATCCAACAAGGCTTTCACCATCCGCATTAAATAAATGAGAAGGGCCAGATTATTCTGAACGACATTGACTCTAACCCCTTCGATAATGAAAGTACACATTCTTGGCAGCATTTCATGTAAGCCTGGATCCGAAGCCAAACTCTGTAGTGCCTCCTACAAAACACCGTTAGCCAACACAGTCCCTAAAAACGTTTTTCGCCTTACAGCTCTCCTCGCTTCATCAGAACCAACACAAGCTTCAGTGATTTCTTTATAATACAATTGTTGTTCCACAGACAATTCGTGTGTCGCTAACTGCTTGATCTGCACCGTTTCCACATTCCTCAAAGAATACCCTCACTTTCAATTTGTTTTTACCTCGAGGAGACAAAATCGTTGGTACCGCAGATTGATGCAGCCTTTGTGTACCTTGCACATAATCTTCAGCCCGAAAATGTTGGTAGCAAATGTACCCTCTCCGATAAATTTGGTCATTTGTTAAACCCTCGAATTTTGGGTTATTGGAGGCTTTAACCCATGCCATAAACCTATCTAGACCCCGTTTCGGATGTGGAAACCTAAATATAGGGGCCATCCTGTTCCCACATTTATAAATTGCACAAGTTTTGTGCGTTTTTTGTGCTTCCATTCTTTTTTCTACAAAAATTTGTTATAATAATGCTATAAACAATGAACATAAAGTGAAAACATTTGTATACTTACATTTTTTTGTACACTACACAACGCAACAGCTACAAAATGCACTTAGCAACACGATAAAAATAAAACTAGCATATAAAAATTCACAAACAATGTTTTCCCCTTCACTTTATAAAAAAATTCACCAGCAGAATTCACTTTCAAATTTTGCGCCGCTTTTAGTTCCTAAGCCTGGTGCTAGAGGCGCTCTTAGTGAACAAAACGCAAGTATTAGAGACCGTGTTCTAAGGGAGGGTATTCTATGAATAAAACTGTGGTGTTTCTTTGGTGGTGTGGGGGTGTTAGGGGAAAGTAGTGTCGTGTGCAGGGATGTGAATTCTAAAATTTTGAAAATCCGCGCGAAGCAGCGTTTACAGGTTTCTTTTCATGCGACCCCTGGTGAGTGGGTAAAAAAATACGTAATGAAAGGTACAAGCGCAGCCTATACCACATTAGCTTCTATTGTAGTGTTTTCTATGCGGAGTACGAAGTTGACAGAACAATCAGATACAGACCACAGCATAGATATCAATCAGTAGAGACGGCTCGCCGTTTTTCGTGACCCGTTTTCGTGGGTGGTCGTTCGCATTATGACCGACTGAGGGCGCCCAACTGACGTCTAAAATATTTGAAATTTGGCAGTTTTTTTACAATATTTTTGCCAGTTTTGCTAGTTTAAGACTGATTTTCCGGTAGAATTGTACAAATAGTATAAAAATGAAATTTTCACAATAAAAGGTAAAATCTTTGTCCGATGAATTTTCATACCGGATCCCTGTTGTGCGCCTTATTCTCTCCCTCGTGTTTGGAATTCTTGGAAAAGATAGTAAACATAACACATTTTTTGTTTAAAAAGTCGTCGCAAACGAACAACAACGGTGGTTATGAATAAAATAAAAACTGTAACAAATCATCGTGTTTATAAATTAAATATGGACTTTTCTTTTTTCTTATTGCGATTCACGATTATACGATTTGAGCAAACTAGACAGTTTGCAATAAATTGCGTACACGAATCAATTTTTGAAATTGTAAATGAAGTGATATTTTTAAATTGGGTGGCGACATCTAGGAATAGTTTAGGCAACGACCACCCATGACGGCTTAAAATTCGGGTCAGAAAGAACAAAGGCGCCGACACGAGCTGTCTCTACTGATTGTTATCTATGCTGTGATACAGACTCTATTATGTAGGCAACACATATTACATATGTTGAAAATGCTTCCTTAAACAACGATTCTCTAGTGTCTCTATATGGGGGCACAACATCCCTTCAAAACAAGAACATCTGTGGTGACCTAATTTTAGCCCAAATACTCCTAATAAGTCCCTAATGTAGATAATTTGAAACACACTTACTAAGATGTACCGACCTATCTATTCTATGACCATGCTATGGATCATGTTGCCAACGCACAACGTGACTTTGACGTTTCCTTAAATTCTCGCGTTTTGAATGGAAATTATTTTTCTTTTAATCAAAGAAGGATTCCGATGCTTTTAAAAAACTCTTTTTTCATGAATTAGGACTTATTTATTTTAAATATAACAAAAAAGAAAAATTTTGACGGCCAGCCAGTCATTTTGAGGTTAGTACAATGTGATCAATTTTATTTTCAAAATTAATAACTACGCAATGACAGGTGAGAACTAAAACACCATTCCTTGAAATGGCTCGAAGAAACAACGATCAAGCCTTTGAAGACCACTACGATCATCTTCATCGTGCAGCGGAAGAGGGAAATCTTGAGAAAGTTCAGGACCTTATTGAGCGACAGGGGGTAAATATTGATACAGTGTCTGCAGTGCTTGAGAAAACTGCTCTGTTCATATCGTCCGAAAATGGGTATCTGGACCTCGTTAAATATTTAGTAAATAAAGGGGCTGCTATAAATATCACAAATACAGATGGCCAGTCTCCTTTATGGGTTGCAGTATACAATGGTCATGTAGATGTGGTGCGGTATCTCGTTGAAAACAACGCAGACGTTACGACTACGTCACACGCTGGTCAGGATGTTGTAAGTGCAGCTTTAAGAGGAGGACATGAAGATACTTTTATGTATCTTGATCAGCTTGGCATTAATGTGGATAAAAGAGAGGAGGGAGGTAAATTATTGCAGAACGCTGTACATGGTGGCAATTTAAATTTGGTAAAGTATCTAGTAGACGGATACAATATTAATGTCAACGCTGGTACCGTAACTGGTACCCCTTTACATACAGCTGCAGAAAAGGGATATTTAGATATTGTGAGGTATCTAATTGAAAAGGGTGCCTTGGTTAATATGCCTGTACAACATAACGTTACTGCTTTGTATGCAGCATGTAAAGCAGGGCACTTAGATGTTGTTAAATGTCTTGTTGACCATGAAGCTGATATGCACATAGCTGCAAAAGAGGGGCAAATGAAAATCGGTAAATTCGTGCTAGGAAGGGAACATATTATGACATCTCTAGCTTTTGCAAAAGCACATAAAAAAACAGACTTAGTCCAGTTTTTGTCAAGCAAGATTGATTCTAATTCAGGTGGTGTTAAAAATGAAATAAGCGAGAAAATTCACCGTTTCTCAAGTAACCCAAGTCATTGGAACAGCAGACTTCTCGCAAAAGTAATCAGGAAAGGAAACATTGATGTGGTCAAAACTTTAATCGCGAGAGGAATTAATATAAACGATCGCATTTTAAACGGCAACACGTTACTTCTGGAAGCAGCAAAACACAGAAAATGTGAGCTTGTACGCTTCCTGGTCGACAATGGTGCCGATATTAACCAAACGACGCAAGGAAGCTATATGCCCTTGCATTTTGCGTGCTCAAAAGGGCATTTGAATGTCGTCAAATGCCTCGTTGAGAAAGGCGCAGATGTTAATTTTGTTTTTCCTCCAACTCAAAGATTTCCTTTAAATTATGCGGTACACAACAACAGAAATGAAATTGTCGAGTATCTTTTACGTCATAACGCCGATGTGAATCAGATAGTTCAAACCACTAGAAACACATGTTTGCATGTTGCAGTTACCAATAAAAATATTAAACTTGTAAAAATTTTGGTAGACTATGGCGCAAAAGTTAATATTCGTAATAGTGAGGGACTAACACCTCTAGAAATCGCCGAGATGGGCAGACAGGCCGATGTTGTAAAATTGTTGCAGAGTTTATCAGGGATTCGTAAGCGGAGTCATGATGACGACGTACTGGAGAGTACGAAAAGATTTAAAATTGAAGATGGTACTGCTGCTGATGTTGTTGTACAGTCTGCCGAAAATCTTTGTGAGGAAACTAAAACAGATTGTGACCTTATTCCTCAAACCATGAAGGACGTTTTGAATTCTACGTGTAACGAAAACCGAGTGAGTGTCATTCGGAATGAGATTAGATGTGGTAATATTAACATTGTAAAGTATTTGCTTTCAAAAGGAACTCACGTGGATGAACGGGTGTTAAATGGCAATACTTTGCTACTTGAAGGGGTAAGAAGTGGCCAGTTTGACATAGTCAAGCTATTAGTTGAAGAAGGAGCAGATTTAAATAAAATCGGTAGTGATATGCCCTTACATGTAGCGTGTGCAAAAGGATACTTGGAAATTGTAAAATTTCTCGTGGAACATGGCGCAGATGTAAATCTTAATTCGTCAACAACCAAACGTACCCCATTGCACAATGCCGCATTTTATAAGCAAATAGAAATCGCCCAGTATCTTCTGAATCATGGTGCCGATATTAATAAACCAACTGTACGAAGCAAGGACACGCCTTTACACGTAGCAGCCCAGAAAGGAAACGCAGAAATGGTTAAGTTTTTGGTTCTTAATAACGCAGACTATTGTGCTGTTAATAAGAAGGCATTAACACCACTAAAAGTTGCTGATCGCAACAATAAACCGTCAGTTGTGCGATTTTTAAAGAATTTGCCCAGATCTTTTAAGACACCAGATAGGTTTGTGAAAGACCAAGCTTCTATCATTGCGAGTCTTCTCAGAGGTGAAAACAATCCAGACACCAATGCTGCCTTAAAAAAAGAAATTTGGAAGGGCAATATCGCCCTAGTTAAAAATTTAGTTGCACGAGGTTTCGGCGTTAATACGCACATGCGCAATAGTCAGTCCATGTTATCAGAAGCGGCACGAAGTGGGCAGCTCGAAATTGCAAAGTTTTTAGTGGAAAAGGGGGCCAGTATTGATGCACAGTGCCGCGTGACTCCTTTATATGGAGCATGTAAAGAAGGCGATTTTGAGATGGTAAAATATCTCGTCGATAAAGGTGCTAATGTTAATTTCATGTCTGCGAGAAGTGAAGGCCCTCCACTGCTTTCAGCGGTCGTTGGCAATCATAAGTCATTAGTTGAGTACCTTATAAGTCACAATGCCGATGTGAATCAGCGACAAGTAGACGGGAATACCCCTCTACATCACGCGGCGCAGAAAGGGCTACTCGACATGATTAAAATTTTAGTAGAGAATGGTGGAGCAGTGGACGTTGTTAATAAAATGGGATTAACGCCGCTGCAGTTGGCTGAGAAAAATTACCAGTCTGATGTAACACTGATGCTCTTGAAGGGTCAAGATACGTCTCTACACAAAGCGATACAAGGTGGCCACTTAGAAACTGCGCGATTTTTAATAGGAACGGCAGCAGACGTCAATAATTTGAATGAATTCGGCGATACACCTCTGACTCTCGCCATACAAGAAGGATACACCGAGTGTGTCAACCTATTACTAAATCATAGCGCCGAGGTTAACACCAAAGGTGCTTATAACCCATTGTGGGAGGCCGTGAGACTCGGCGATCTTGACATAATCAAGAGTCTGGTGGCTAAAGGTGCCAACGTCAACGAGCGGCAAAATGGTGAAACCCTCCTTCATAAAACCGCTAGAAGCGGCCAATACGAAATCGTCGAGTTTTTAGTGACAAATCAAGCCGTCGTCAACGTCGTGAACCAAGAAGGCTTGACTCCTCTGTACTTCGCGTCCAAAGAAGGCCACTACAAGATCGTCAGTTTTCTCTTGAAAGTAGGAGCCGACGTTAACTTATCCGATCCCAACGCGTTTACACCTCTTCATGGAGCAGTCAGTGTCAACCATCTCAGAATAGTGCGGCTTTTACTCGAGAATAAAAGCAACGTGAACAAGCAATTTACACATGGTGATAGCGTGTTGCACTTGGTTGCAGAAACTGGTAACCATTTAATTTTCGAAACTCTAGTGAAAGCGGAAAATGTGAATGTCAATATTATTAACGCGAAAGGATTGACGCCTTTGTATGTCGCATCGAATCGAGGGCATCTGAAAATTGTTGAAATGCTAATAAGTAGTAACGCTGTTGTCAGTCTGGGGAAATGTATGACTTTTGCACCTTTACATGGCGCAGCAGCGGGTGGATTTGTGGAAGTGGTTAGGTTTCTTGTGGAGAAGGGAGCCAATGTACGGGAAGCTTCCGCCACTGGCGATACAGCTCTTCATAAGGCGGCCCAAGGTGGTCACTTAGATGTTGTGAAGTATCTTGTGCAGAAAAGAATTGATGTAATGGCTGTCAATCATGGTGGGAAGACCGCGATGGGTGTAGCCGCACAGGAGGGACACATGCAAGTTGTAAACTTCTTCATTATGTATAATAAAGCCGAAACTGTACTCGTGGAGTGATTGAAAGTTTTGTGATAAAATGTGACGATGTAGAAAAATGTTTTTTAATTTTGTTACAATATTATAAAAATGTATTTACGTTTGGTACTTGCTATGTGCATAAAACATATTTTTAATATTATGGTTATTATATTGTTTGGACACAGCTACTGGTAAGACATCTCTAGGGTATTAGGTACTTTTACCGCATTGGTACTCAGCTGGCGATAGAGCCGGAGCTGAAAACGCTGGCGGGGGATAATTGTATCCCGTCTACTATGAGGTACCTTTGGGAGCTCGGGAAAAAGGAAAATAGTTAACACGTAGTTGTCTGATGAGTACCGTGAGCCATGGAGCTTTTTTAACAGACCTGAGGCCAAGTGTACACGAAACAACTTTATAGTTTTTCACACTTTATAGGCCAACTATGTGCTTGACAGACATAATGTCTACCAAATGCCGAACTGAGGTTAAGATGCAATGCATTGTACGGTTTTATCAAACCCTTCCAACTTAAAACTGGTACATGTTTATCAATTATCACGTTATATCAAAGTTTCTGGATGTTTTTACCTAAGTATTACATTGTAACATACCTCTTAATTTCTCACTGGAGATTGATGATAGTTCATACAGGGTATTACACGAATGAGTACGAGTACGTTGTAACAATGGTACGAGCCTGACTGAATTGGAAATGCAACCCACAATACATCGTCCAAGCTTACATGGATATTTTTTTAAGTTTTATCAATTCTTTTTTCAAAAATAGACATAGTGGGCAATTTTGACTTTTGTTGACTAAAAACGTCAATTGATTTGAAATTTCAAAAAGATTTTTATTAACATCAAGAAATTGCAAAGAGCTGATCGTTGTCCGTAATCTGCGGGCTTTAATTCTTGCACTAAGTCAGGTCAGGTCAGGTAGGGATGAAATTTGTTGACTTTCAAGATACTGTTGACAGAGGCTACACTAACACACACTGTGGCTGATGCCACTGTTTTTTGAATCACGTGAGGGTCATTTTCTACCATTCCTAAGACAGCAAACCCATTTTCGGGGCCGGTAGCTGTTCTCGGCCTTAGTTTTTTAATTGGTTGTCAACTCTTCCGTAACGACATTTCCAGCTTTTTAAAGATTTTGTTGGTAGATGCTTTTGTCTGCAGATAAGGTTCCACATACATTCCAGCTGCCAAAGAAGTGTTCTTTTTACATTCCCCATAAATGATAGATCCGTTTTATCGTTATCTGAATACATTTCAAATGCTGACAATCAGTGACAAATTTCTAACGCCCGGATAACTATGTTTAGCGCTATTTGAAATTTAAAAAAGACATCCAAGCAAGTTTTGAATTTGTATTTTGGGTTGCATTTTTAATTCTTGCAGGCTCGTACTCATTCGTGTAATGCCCTGTATATAGCACTTAAACTAAATGTTGGTCCATTTTGAGAAAAAAGATTTTGAAAGTTGCGGAGAATGATGCTGATTCCAAAAATATAGCGTGTGGATGGTCACGGAGGAACATTTTCGAAAGAATCGGTACGAAATGCGAATTTTAAATTTTTTTAAAAATGTCGATATTTCAGCGGTCGATTTCGGAAAAACGGTTGCAGTTATCAAAGAAACGAGGGCGGAAGTGAGTTCTAGAGCTCGAAATCTACAAGAAAATGTATTCAGTTAAGTTTCGAAAATCTCAAAAATTCGGCGAAAATTTGAAGAAGAGGGGACCATTGAAAAAAATTTACTTTTAAAAAAGTTGTCTAAAAATTGTGAAAACATTCAGGGACGTAGATCTCAACATGCTGATTCCAAAAATATAACGTGTCAATGGTCACGGAGCAACATTTTCGAAGGAATCAGCACCAAATGCGAATTTTATAAATTTTTTAAAAATTTCGATATTTCAGCGGTCGATTCCGGAAAAACGGTTGCATTTATCAAAGAAACGAGGGCGGAAGTGAGTTCTAGAGCTTGAAATCTACAAGAAAATGTATTTAGTTTCGAAAATGTCAAAATTTGGCCAAAATTTAAAAAAAATTCATTTTTAAAAAAGTTGTCTAAAAATTGTGAAAAAATTCAGAAATGTAGATCTCGACATGCTGATTCCAAAAATATATGTTTAAAGAAGACCGAGTTTGGCAAATGGCATACAATGTAAGAAGAGAGGAGGCGGACGTGGCTTGTACCTCCCAAGACTGATTTTGGCAAATGACATATTCTCTGGGAAAATAGAGGGCGAGCGAGCGGGGCTAGAAAATGATTTCCACTAATTTTCGAAAATAGTTGAGTGGTCAAAAGTGCCAAAATTAGTTTTATCTTATCAAATACTTGCCCCGCCCACCCACCCTCTATTTTCTTGGAAGGAATGTGATTTGCCAAAATCAGTCTTATCTTAGCAAATACCTAGCTAATATAAGATATGACTGATTTTGGCATATGACATACCCTCTAAGAAAAGAAAGGGTGGGTGGGCGGGGCTAGTAGCTTGGTAAGATAATACTGAATTTGGAAAATGAAATATCCTCTAAGAAAAGAGAGGGCGGGTGGGCGGGGCTAATATCTGTTTAAACAAGACCGATTTTGGCAGATGGTATTCCCTGCAAGAAAATTGAGGGTGGGTAAGCGGGGATAGTACCCGCTAAGATAAGACTGATTTTGGCATATGATATTCCCTCTAAGAAAAGAGAGGGTGGGTGGGCGGGGCTAGTACCCTGGTAAGATAATACTGAATTTGGCAAATGAAATATCCTCTAAGAAAAGAGAGGGCGGGTGGGCGGGGCTAATATCTGTTTAAATAAGACCGATTTTGACAAATGGCATACCCTGTGAAAAAAGAGAGGGTGGGCGGGTGTCGCTTGTACCTGCTAAGACTGATTTTGGCAAATGACATAGTCTCTAAGAAAATAGAGGGCGGGCAGGTGGGGCTAGAAAATTATTTCCACTAATTTCCGAAAATAGTTGAGTGATCAAAAGTGCCAAAATTAGTTTTATCTTATCAAATACTTGCCCCGCCCACCCACCCTCTATTTTCTTGGAGGGAATGTGATTTGCCAAAATCAGTTTTATCTTATCAAATACTAGCCCCGCCCACCCACTCTCTATTTTCTTGGAAGGCATGTGATTTGCCAAAATCAGTCTTATCTTATCAAATACCTAGCTAGGATATGACTGATTTTGGCATATGACATACCCTCTAAGAAAAGAGAGGGAGGGTGGGCGGGGCTAGTAGCTTGATAAGATAATACTGAATTTGGCAAATGAAATATCCTCTAAGAAAAGAGAGGGCGGATGGGCGGGGCTAATATCTGTTTAAATAAGACCGATTTTGGCAAATGGCATACCCTGTAAGAAAAGAGAGGGTGGGCGGGCGTGGCTTGTACCTGCTAAGACTGATTTTGGCAAATGACATATTCTCTAAGAAAATAGAAGGCGGGCGGGCGGGGCTAGAAAATGATTTCCACTAATTTTCGAAAAAAGTTGAAAGGTCAGAAGTGTCAAAACTAGTTTTATCTTATCAAATACTAGAAACGCCCACCCACCCTCTATTTTTTTGGAAGGCATGTTATTTGCCAAAATCAGTCTTATCTTAGCAAATACTAGCTAGTTAATGGCAAATGAGATACCCTCTAAGAAAAAAGGGGGTGGGTGGGCGGGGCTAGTAGCTGTTACAATAAGACTGATTTTAGAAAAATGACGTATCCTCTAAGAAATGTAATTAATTATTATAAGAAAAGACACAAGAGGCTTCAAAGCACTTTCAAATTCTTTCCAAACACCTCAAGATTTAAATTTTTCAAAAAAAAAAAAAAATGTAGGTTCCAAAAATTACTCAAAAGCAGGTTAGGTCAAAATTATCCAAAAATAGAACACCAATGTTCCCCAAAATTGTTTTAAATAATTTATAAAAAATCTCCATGGGTTCCCAAAATAATATACCATGGGTACCCAAACACTGCGGCTCTCAAGACCTTTTCAAATTCGTACCCTCTAAGAAAGAGAGGGTGGGTGGGCGGGGCTAGTAGTTGCTAAGATAAGACTGAATTTGGCAAATGAAATATTCTCTAAGAAAAGAGAGGGCGGGTGGGCGGGGCTAATACCTGTTTAAATAAGACCGATTTTGGCAGATGGCATTCCCTGCAAGAAAAGTGAGGGTGGGTGGGCGGGGCTAGTACCTGCTAAGATAAGACTGATTTTGGCAAATGATATATCCTCTAAGAAATTGAATTAAATTATTATAAGAAAAGACACTAGAACATCCAAAGCACTTTCAAATTCTTTCCAAATAGGAATAACTAGAACCTCAAGATTGTTTTAAATTTTTCAAAAAAAAAACTGGGTCCCAAAATTAACTCAAAAACAGGTCAGGTCAGAATTTTCCAAAAATTGAACATCAGTCTCCCGAATTAAAAAAAAATACTGCGGCACTCAAGACTTTTTCAAATTTGTAAAAAGTGAAACACTAAAAGCCCAAAAGATTTTTTCACGTTCATCCAACAACGAAACACCAGACTCCTTTAAATTTATCCGAAAGTAAAACACCAGAGGACCTAAAATTAACTGCGAACATTTTAAACGCAGAGTTTTGAAAACTGACAATTTTTGATACGTCAAATCATCAACTATTTACTTATTACTCGATTTTTGCTGATTTGTACCTTCGCCTTCAAATGTAATTTTATCAAATGAGATCCCTCTAAGAAAAGAGAGGGTGGGTGGGCGGGGCTGGTACCTGCTAAGGTAAGATTGATTTTGGCAAATGAGGTACCCTCTAAGAAAAGAGAAGGCGCGTGGGCGGTGCTAGTACCTGCTAAGAGTTGATTTGGCAAATGACATACCCTCTAAGAAAAGAGACGGCGGGTGGGCGGGGCTAGTGTTTGCTAAGGCAAAACTGATTTTGGCAAATGAAATACCTCCAAGAACAGAGAGGGCGCGTGGGCGGGGCTAGTACCTGAGACCGATTTTGGCACCCCCTCCACCTTTTTTAATGAGTATGTCATTTTCCACATCAGTCATATCTTACGAAATATTAGCGGAGCAACATTTTCGAAAGAATCGGTACGAAATGCAAATTTTAATTTTTTTTTTAATTTTGATATTTCAGCGGTCGATTCTAGAAAAACAGTAGCAGTTATCAAAGAAACGAGGCCGGAAGTGAGTTCTAGAGCTCGAAATCTACAAGAAAATATATTTAGTTAAGTTTCGAAAATATCAAAAATTGACCGAAAAAAAATTGGGGGGACCATTGAAAAAAATTCACTTTTAAAAAAGTTGTCTAAAAATTGTGAAAAAATTCAGGGACGTAGATCTCGACATGCTGATTCCAAAAATATAGCGTGTTGATGGTCACGGAGAAACATTTTCGAAGGAATCAGTACGAAATGCGAATTTTTGACAATTTCAAAAATTTCGATATTTCAACGTTCGATTTCGGAAAAACGGTTGCAGTTATCAGAGAAACGAGAAAATGTGTTCAGATAAGTTTCGAAAATGTCAAAAATTGGCCGAAATTTGAAGAAGGGGGGACCATTAAAAAATTTTACTAATAGATATATCTATTTTATTTTTGTTTTTGTTTTTCTTAATATATTTTTTTTTTCACAAGAAATTTAAAACTTGTTTGAAATGGTAAAGTTTTGCAGGGAAATATGGATTTTCTAATTATGCTCTGCCCCTTGGTGTGACAACGAATGGAAAGTTCATCATAATTGAGGTCGGAACGGGAATAGGTGGGGGTTAATTTTTTTACGGCTGCCTTTTTTACTTGATAATTATAATTATCAAGTAAAAAATCAGTCTTATCTTGGCAAATATTGGCCCCGCCCACCCACCCTGTTTTTTTTACGAGGTATGTTATTTGGCAATATCAGCCTTATCTGGACAAACACTATCCCCGTTCACCCATCTTTTATTTTCTTAGAGGGCTAGTATCTGCTGAGATAAGACTGATTTTGGCAAATAACATACCTTCCAAGGAAAGTGCGGGTGGGTGGGCGGGGCTAGTATCTGCTAAGATAAGACTGGCCTTGGCAAATGAGATACCCTGTAAGAAAAGAGAGGGCAGGTGGGCGGGACTAGTACCTGCTAAAATAAGACCGAGATTGGCAAATAAAATACCTTCCAACGAAAGAGAGGGTGGGTGGGCGGGGCTAGTACCTGCTAAGATAACACCGATTTTGGCAAATGACATACCCGTTAAGAAAATAGGGCATATGATTTGGCAAAATAAGTCTTATCTAGGCAAATATTGGCCCCGCCCGCCCACCCTTTATTTTCTTATGAGGTATACAGATAATATACCCGGACACTTTGATATAAAAAAGTTACGAGTACTTATAAAAAAAATTATTGCAGAAAAAACAACATAAAATTCTTTAGTTAAAAGTATCACCACTTAAATCTAGTTGTCGAAGTAACCCGGACAGAAATATAAAAGTCCGGCCGGACCTCCCCGGACAGTCGAAAAACCAGACATTTCCGGGAAAATCCGGACATATGGTAACCCTAATTATCTGCCAATGTCAGCCTTATCTGGGCAACCACTATCCCCGCACACCTGCCCTTTATTTTCTTAGAAAGCTAGTACCTGCTAAAAGAAGACTGATTTTGGCAAATAACATACCTTCCAAGGAACGTGAGGGTGGGTGGGCGGGGCTAGTATCTGCTAAGATAAGAGTGATTTTGGCAAATTAGATACCCTGTAAGAAAAGAGAGGGCGGGAACCTGCTAAAATAAGACCGATGTTGGCAAATAACATACCTTCCAAGGAAAGAGAGGGTGGGTGGGAGGGGCTAGCCTGTTAAGATCAAGCTGATTATCGCAAATAACCTTCTCTCTAAGAAAATCAATGACGTGTGGACGGGGCTGGCACTTATTAAATAAGGCTGATTTTGCCACATGACATACCCTCTGATGAATGGAGGGTGGAGGGTATATGATTTGGCAAAATCAGTCTTATCTTGGCAAATATATTCAGCTATTGAGGCTATTTTCAACTGAAATACCTTTCCAATCATCAATTAAATTCAATGTTACGAATCAATGTAAAATTTAAACATTATAAATTGAAAAAAAAAAGACAAGAAAAAGAGAAATCTGAATTAAAGTAACTGGACAATGGTAAACAATTGGTCCAAGAGTCAGCTTCTTTGAAAAATTGTGAAAAAAATCTTTTCTGATAACCTTTATACCGGGTGTCTGGAAAATGGCAGATTAACCTTGCGCTACGCTCCTAACAATTCGATGCCTGAGAACTTGTTTGATCCACAGACCGGAGCGCGTTCAGGCCAATATCGACTCTAAGCGTTCAGAATTTCTGCGGGAAATGGATATTATCTAGATCCTTTTATTTATAAACAAAATGTCACATCTCAAATGTTTGTTTTTTTTTTTTGTTTAATACTAAGAATTAATTCTTTCATTGTCTTTGATACTAACAAAACGTCCTAAATTAGCTATACTAGTGGAACCGTAATCATGCAATAGATTTTTTTCTGGAAAGTGCATTTATTTTTATGTTTTAAGCAATATGTTCTATTTTGTATTAATTTTTGCATATTTTTAGTCACAGTTTTGGTAGTTATTCATTTTCCATACATTGTATGATTATCACATTGAGAAAACTTTTAGCATAATTGCAAAATCCGTATTTCCCTGCAAAATTTACCAGTTTAAACATGTTTTAAGTTTCGTGTACTGAAAAAACTACTTATATTAAGACAAACAAAAACAAAATATATGCCCCGCCCACCCAGCCTATCTCAATTGTGATGATTTTTTTTATTTGTAGTGCGCCAGAGGGCGAAGCTTAATAGCAAAATTCTTATTTTTCTGTAAGAAATCATACTCATGTTCTTGGAAAATTATGTTCAAAAGAAACTATAATATTTATTCGGGTATTTTGGGTCTATCAATTCACTAACAACACTACTCCTAAATAGAACGTGAAACAGTAGCTCATCCTTTTCTTTTGTCTATTATCTGCTACCACTTTTATTACATACATAATCTCCTATAAAATTCGGAACTGATCGTTGTGAAATATGCGTAAATGCTAAAACATTATCAAAAATTAATAACGTTATCCCAAAATTTCAGAATTTTTTTAAGTATAATATAGACAACTAGAAATACACTGGTGAATAGAGGTGTATCGACCTATCTACTCTATGATAACAAGGCACCCACGTGACTTTGACATTTCTGAATCTGTCTTGTTTTAAAATTTAAAGGTTATTTTCCATTTAACCAAAAAGGATTGATTGAGAAGATGCTTTTGGAGAAATTGTCTTTTTTATGAAATGGGGTGGCACAGACTTATTTTTTTTAAATATGTTAAAAAACAAAAAGCACCCTGAATAGTTTTATTGATTTTCACCGGCAAGCACGTGGTCGTCAGTTTTGAGGTTAGTACAGCATGTATTAATTTATATTAAATACTAAGTAGGTAATTATTAATTATAGATGCCCGTATCCGAATTAAAATACTGAATTTTTACAATGCATCATAGAAGCGACGAACAAGCCGATCGACATAGCTATAATCTTCTTCATGATGCAGCAGAAGATGGAAGTCTTGAAATAGTTCAAGAATTAATTGAGCGCCGGGGAGTGAACATTAATACAAGGTCTGAAATCCTTCAGAAAACTGCCATATTCATATCTTCTCAAAGGGGGCATCTAGAAGTCGTTAAATATTTAGTACGTCATGGAGCCGCCATAAATCACAAAAGTAGAGGTGGTTTTTCACCTCTGTGGAGTGCAGCGTATAATGGTCATTTAGATGTAGTGGAATATCTCGTTGAAAATGACGCCGACGTCACTACTACATCGAATAATGGTGATGATCTTTTAAACGCAGCGTTAAGAGGAGGACATGACAATACTTTTATGTATCTCAATCAACTTGGCATTAATGTATACAGAAGACAAGGGAAAATTAAAATGCTTCAAAATGCTGTATGCGGTGGGAATTTTAATCTGGTAAAGTATATAGTGGAAAGATACAATATTAACGTCAAGGCTTCTACATCTTTACATAAAGCTGCAGAAAAAGGATATTTAGATATTGTGAAGTATCTTATTGAAAAGGGTGCAAGGATTAATATGCCTGTACAAGACAATGTTACTCCTTTGTATGCAGCATGTCAATCAGGGCAGTTAGAAGTTGTTAAATTTCTTGTCAATCATGGAGCTGATATGCATGCAGCTGTGGGGAAAGGGCGACTGGAAAGAGGGTTAACGCCTCTGGATATTGCAAAAGCGTATGGAAAAACACAGGTGGTTGAGTTCTTGTCAAGCAGGATTGATTCTAATTTGAAAAATTACCCACATGTAACAGAAAATGGTACTAATAATGAAATAAACCCCACAGGTGACACATCCACTTCGAGTGCACCAGATTATGTTGGTTTAAGCAACAAGCATAATGCGATTATTAAACGTTTCCTAAATTGTCCAAGTGATAAGAGCACGCGAGCGCTGCGAATGTTAATCAGAAAAGGCAACATTAATGTAGTGAAAGTTTTACTTGCAGAGGGGATTAACATAAACGGTCGTATTTTAAACGGCGACACATTACTTCTGGAAGCAGCAAGAAGTAGTAATTGTCAAATGATACGTTTTTTGGTTGAAAACGGCGCCGATATTAACCTAAATCCACAAGGAATGGAAGTGCCGTTGTATTCTGCGTGCATAAAAGGGAATTTAAAAGTTGTCAAAAGCCTTGTAGGGCAAGGCGCAGATGTAAATTTTGTGTGCCCTCAAACCCATAGATTTCCCTTAAATCACGCGGTATATAACAACCAGAGTGAAATTGTTGAGTATCTTCTGCAGCAGAACGCCGATGTGAATCAGATAGGTAGAACTAACGGAAATACGTGTTTACATCTAGCAGTTAAGAAGAGAAATCTTGAACTTGTAAAAATGTTGGTACACTGGGGCGCAAAAGTCAATGTTTGTAATAGAGGTGGATTAACACCTCTACAAATTGCTGAGATAGGTTGTCAAACGGATATTATAAATTTCCTTAAGAATTTGCCTAGAGGTCATAAACGGGGTTATGATGATATGCAGGACAGTAGAAAAAGATTTAAAAATGGAGATGGGGCTGGAGTCGTGGTAAATAGAGAATTTGCAGTTGATGATTTTGTACAGTCTGGAGATCAACATCATTGTGAGAAAACTATACAAGCTGAGGACCTCATTCCTAAAACTATGCAAGATACGTTAAATTCTACTTCTTACATGGACCGAGTCAGTCTGATTAGAGACGAAATAAGGAATGGTAATATTAACATTGTAAAATATTTGCTTTCAAAAGGAACTCATGTGGATCAGCGGGTGTTAAATGGCGATACTTTGCTGCTTGAAGCGTCAAGAAGTGGCCAGTATGATATAGTCCAGCTATTAGTTGAAAAAGGAGCAAGTATAAATAAATTCGACCAAGGTAGTGGCATGCCCTTACATGCAGCGTGCGCAAAAGGATACTTTTACATTGTAAAATTACTCGTGGAAAAAGGCGCAGATGTAAATTTGAACTCGCCAACAACTAAACGTGCACCACTACATGACGCTGCATCTCACAACCAAGTAGAAATCGCCGAGTATTTACTGAAAAATAGTGCCATTATTAATAATCCAACTGTAAGAAGTAAGGACACGCCTTTACACTTGGCAGCCCAGAAAGGAAACCTAGAAATGGTTAAGTTTTTAGTGTCTAGAAACGCAGAAGTTGGAGCAGTTAACTCGAGGAGGTTAACACCGTTAGGACTTGCCAATCGATATAAAAACGTTGCAGTTATGCGATTTTTGAAAGTTTTGCATAAATCTTCACAAAACATTTCGAGTGAAGCGTCTGTGGAAGAGCAAGCTTGTGAGAATGTTGAAGTTATGACCCCACAGGAAAAACTTATTGCGAGTCTTTTGACCGGTGAAGACAATCCAGACTCTAATGACGATTTAAAAAAAGAAATTCGGATTGGTAACGTCGCTCTGGTTAAAGATTTAGTTGCAAAAGGTTTCGACGTCAATAAACTGATGTCAGAAGCGTCACGAAGTGGACATTTAGAAATTGTACAATTTTTAGTGGAAAGTGGGGCCAATGTTGATGGTACACACTCCTGCGTGACTCCTTTATATGCAGCATGTGAACAAGGAAATTTTGATATAGCGAAATATCTCGTCGAGAAAGGTGCTGATGTTAATTTCGTGTGTGAGACGAGTAAAACCCCGCCACTGCTTTCAGCGGTCACTGGCAACCATAAACCACTAGTTGAGTACCTTATAAGTCACAATGTCGATGTGAATCAGCGAAATCAAGTAGACGGCAATGCCCCTCTTCATGTTACCGCAGAGAAGGGTCTGCTTGATTTGGTTAAAATTTTAGTCGAAAGTGGTGGAGAACTGGACGTTGTCAATAAATTGGGGCTAACGCCGCTGGAATTGGCTGAAAAAAACAACCAATCGGACGTTATACAGTTCCTGAAGGGTGTCAATGATGACGTAGAGATCGTCTCAGAAGCTAGCACAGTTCCGGTAAGCGATGCCACGTCTCTACACAAAGCGATACAAGGTGGCCACTTAGACACAGCGAAATTTTTAATAGTAACAGCAGCAGATGTCAATACTTTGAATGAATTCGGCGACACGCCTCTGACTCTCGCCATACAAGAAGGATACACCGAGTGTGTCAACCTGTTACTAAATCATGGCGCTGAGGTTAACACCAAAGGTGCTTATAACCCATTGTGGGAGGCCGTGAGACTCGGCGATCTTGACATAATCAAGAGTCTGGTGGCTAAAGGTGCCAACGTCAACGAGCAGCAAAACGGTGAAACCCTCCTTCATAAAACCGCTAGAAGCGGCCAATACGAAATCGTCGAGTTTTTAGTGACAAATCAAGCCGTCGTCAACGTCGTGAACCAACAAGGCTTGACTCCTCTGTACTTCGCGTCAAAAGAAGGCCACTACAAGATCGTCAGTTTTCTCTTGAAAGTAGGAGCCGACGTTAACTTATCTGATTCCAACGCGTTTACACCTCTTCATGGAGCAGTCAGTGTCAACCATCTCAGAATAGTGCGGCTTTTACTCGAGAATAAAAGCAACGTGAACAAGCAATTTACACATGGTGATAGCGTGTTGCACTTGGTTGCAGAAACTGGTAACCATTTAATTTTTGAAACTCTAGTGAAGGCTGACAATGTGAATGTGAATATTATTAATGCGAAAGGATTGACGCCTTTGTATGTCGCATCGAATCGAGGGCATCTGAAAATTGTTGACTTGCTAATAAGTAGGAAAGCTGTTGTCAGTCTGGGGAAATCCATGACTTTTGCACCTATACATGGCGCAGCAGCGGGTGGATTTGTGGAAGTGGTTAGGTTTCTTGTGGAGAAGGGAGCCAATGTGCGGGAAGCTTCCGCCACTGGTGATACAGCTCTTCATAAGGCGGCCCAAGGTGGACACTTAGATGTTGTGAGGTATCTTGTGCAGAAAAGAATTGATGTCATGGCTGTCAATCATGATGGGAAGACCGCGATGGGCGTGGCCGCGCAGGAAGGACACATGCAAGTTGTAAATTTCTTCATTAAGTTTAATAAATCCGATCCTATACTTGTGGAGTGATTCAACTTTTGTGATAAAATCATTGTGAATAAGTAGGAAACTATCTTTTAGTTTTGTTATAATTTTGTTGTTTCAACTGTATTTACATTTTGATATTTTCCAAATGTATAAAACGTATTTTTAATAATATGAGTTATTATTTATGTCACTAGTTTCTTCATTACAGGGTTAAAAAATTGGTCGAAAGTTGTTTCGACAGAACTTCCCTCGCTCCTGAAATACAATTAATTTTTTTTTTGAGTCACCCTGTATACGCAAATCCAAAAAAAAATAATTGGATGATAATTCACAAGTACAGACTCATTATATTTTGTACATTTTAGATGGGATTTATTCGACAAACTTTTGAGCTGACGTTATAAATTTTTTGGAGGGGACGAGTAAATATATTTTGATTATAAATTTATCGTGCTTATCATAACTGTAAACCATCTGCAAGATTTCAAAGCATTCGGTTTTGCAGATTCCAAATTAAATTGCAAAATGTTGTTTCATAATTTTTAATTTTTTTTTCCAAAAATCTGGACGTTTCTGGTAAAAACTCAATTCGGGGTCATAAACTACATGTGTAGGACTATCTTATTTTATACAATTTAAAACCTATTTACTATGTACAATTTTGAAGTGACATGATTACACAAATTTTGGTTAGCGTTTTATCATCTACATGATATTCCTAATATAAATACAAACATTTACCATTTTAGACATGTTTTAAGTTTCTTGTTGTCGAAGTAGGTCTACACATATTAAGAAAAAAAGGCAACATAGAGCCCCGCCCACCCGCCCTATCTCAATTGTGATGATCTTTTTTTTATTCGTCGTTAGCCAAGGAGACGGAGCTTAACTGCAAAATCCTTATTTCTCTACGAGAAATTAAAAACATGTTTTTGACTGTCGTCTTATTGAAAGAATACTAGTATATTAAGAAAAAATTAAAACCAAAGATTAAGCCTGCCCTGGTCTAAATAGTAATGAAGTTTTCATTTGTTGACAGACCTATGGGCGGAGCCTAATTGCAAAAGGCCATATTTCCTTACAAAAATTTACCATTTTCAACGTGTTTTAAGTTTCTAAGAATAAAAAAATCATCACAGTTGAGATGGGGTGGGTGGGCGGGGTTAACATTATGCCTTAATTTCTTAATATACTTATTAGTATTCTTTGAACAACACGATACTCAAAAACATGTTTTTAATCCCTTGTAAAGAAATAAGAATTTTGCAGTTACGGTCAGTCCCCTCGGTTTACGGTGAATAAAAAAATCATCACAATTGAGATAGGGCGGGTGGGCGGGCTTACATTTTGCTTTTTTGTTTTAATATGTAAAGACTTCTTTTCATAACATGAAACTTAAAACATGTTTAAATTGGAAAATTTCTATAAAGAAATATCAATTTTGCAATTACGCTCCGCCCCATAATTGCAAAATTTATATTTCCTTTCAAAAATGTTGTCAGATCGAGGGTCGGGGCGTAATATCAAAATTAATATTTCCCCAAATTTACCATTTTAAACATGTTCTAAGTTTCTTGTTGTGAAAAGATGTCTACGTATATTAAAAAAAAGACACAATGTATGCCCCGCCCACCCACCCTATCTCAGTTGTAATGATTTTTTAATGGTCGAGAGCCAAGGGAGCGAAGTTAAATTGGAAAATTCTTATTATTATTAAGACATGTTATTGAGTATCGTGTTATTCAAAGAATACCATGTATATTAAGTAAAAATTAAAGTTAAAGATTAAGCCCCATCGATTCCAATTGTGATGAATTTTTTATTCGTTGTTAGATTGAGGGGCGGAGCTTAATTGCAAAATCCGCATTTCCTTACAAAAATTTAACATTTCAAACGTGTTTTAAGTTTCTAAGAATAAATAAATCGTCACACTTGAGATAGGGCGGGTCGGCGGGCTTGTTTAGAATGGTAAATTTGTATAAGGAAATATCGATTTTGCATTTAGTCTCCGCCCTATATTTGCAAAAATCCATACTTCCTTGCAAAAATGTACCATTTTAAACATGTTTTAAGTTTCTTGTTGTGAAAAGGTGACTACGTATATTAAGAAAAAAGACAAAATATATGCCCCGCCCACCCACCCTATTCCAGTTGTGATGATTTTTTAATGGTCGAGAGCCAAGTGAGCAGAGTTAAATTGCAAAATCCTTATTCTTTCTCTACAAGAAATTACCATGTAAGACAAAGATTAAACCCCACGTATACGCGCCCCGATCTCAATTCTCAATTGTGATGAATTTTTCCTTCGTTATCAAATCGAGGGGCGGAGCCTAAGCGCAAAATCCATATTTTCTTACAAAAATTTACCATTTTAAACGTGTTTTAGTTTCTAAGAATAAAAAAAATCATCACAATTGAGATGGGGTGAGTGGGCGGGGTTTATATTTTGCTTTTTTTTCTTAATATATATACATAGTATTCTTTGAACAACACGATACTCAAAAACATGTTTTTAATTTCTTGTAAAGAAATAAGTATTTTGCAGTTAAGCCCCGCTCGCTCGGTTCACGGCGAATAAAAAAAAATCATCACAATCGAGATAGGGCGGGTGGGCGGGCTGACATTTTGCCTGTTTGTTTTAATATATGTGGACACCTTTTCACAACATAAAACTTAAAACATGTTCAAAATGAAAAATTTGTGTAAGGAAATATCGATTTTGCAATTAGGCTCCGCCCCATAATTACAAAATCCATATTTTGGTTTAAGCTTCTTGTTGTGAAAAGATGATTACGTATATTAAGAAATTTACCATTTTCAACATGTTTTTTTATTCGCCGTGAACCAAGGGAGCAGAGCTTAACTGCAAAATATTTATTTCTTTACAAAAAATTAAAAACATGTTTTTGAGTATCGTGTTCTTCAAAGAATACTATGTATATACAGGGTGTTTCTTTTATTTGATACAACCCCTGTAACTTTTTTATTCTTAAAGATAAACCTGTAGTTCATTGAGAAAATGTATCATTTTAAAAGATGTATGTGATGGTAACCTCACGTTTATATTATCACTTCCGGTAGAACCGGAAATGACATCAACTTTATTTTTTTTAATGGAACACTAGGTATATTTTTTCATAAATGGAAAGATTGATGATTTTTTTCTAAAAGTCAAAGACAACCAATATTTTTAAAAACAATACTTAAAAAGTTATTAAATAAAATACACGAAAAATTCATATTAATTGATGACAATCTAGTAGCTTGAAAAATTGACAATCATGTCATTTATTCACATAATTGATCTTTTAAAATGATACAAATTTGGTCAAAGAACTATATGTTTATTTTTTTAAATAAAAAAATTACGGGGGTTGTATCAAATAAAAGAAACACGTGGTATATTAAGAAAAAAAGCCAAAATATAACCCCGTCCATCCACTCCATCTGAATTGTGATATTTTTTTTTTTAGAAACTTAAAACACGTTTACAATCGTAAATTTTCGTGGGGAAATATGGATTTTGCAATTAAGCCCCGCCCCTCGATCTGATGAATGAAAAATTCATCACAATTGAGAATTGAGGCCTGGGCGCGAATGGGTGGGGACTAATTCTTTGGCTTTAATTATTACTAATATACATAGTATTCTTTGAATAACATAATACTCAATAACTGTCTTACATGGTAAGTTCTTGTGGAGAAATAATAAGGATTTTGCAATTTAACTCCTTTCCCTTGGCTCTCGACCATTAAAAAATCATCACAAGTGAGACAGGGTGGGTGGGCGGGGCCTATATTTTGTCTTTTTTCTTAATACGTGTAGACATTTTTTCACAACATGAAACTTACAACATGTTTAAAATGGAAAATTTGTATAAAAGAGATATAGATTTTGCAATTAGGCTCCGCCCCATTTGCAAAATCCATATTTCTTTACAAAAATGTACCATTTTAACCATGTTTTAAGTTTCCTGTTGTGAGACGATGCCTTTGCATATTAAGAAAAAAAACGGCAAAATATAAGCCCCACCCACCCGCTCTATCGCAATTTTGATGATTCTTTTATTCGTTGTAAGCCGAGAGGCGGAGCTTAATTGCAAAATTGACACTTTTCTACAAAAATTTACCATGTTAAACATGTTCTATCAGTGGCGGCTCGTGACCTTTTGAAATGGGGGGACACAATTTGATTGATCAGTTAAATATGAAGATATAAAACAGGTTATTATTACCAATTAATAGACGAAATTGTGTGACGGAAATAATTACAAAAATACATTCAATAAAAGTAAACAAGTAGTTGTCCACACACCCACCTTTTTGCCTTCGGTCAAAATTTTACGTTAATGGCATCTAAAGTTCATTTTGGACAGTTTTAGACGTTCCTTTAAAAACCGTTGCTTCTTTCAAATGATCTGATAAAGCAGTGTCCAATTCTGCGGTAAAATCATTCAGACCTCGAAATATACCTGGATTTTGTATATGATTCCCTACTTTCATCATGTCCACGTAAAGCAAGTTCAAACACTCTGTGGCGAGCAAGTTGCCTGCGCTATAGGCAACCAACCGTACGCCTGCAAAGAACACCGCTAATTGGCTGGCGTACCACGCAGAAGCGAAAACGAGAAGCGAGACTAGAAAAGGCCTGATGGAAGCACAACTCGCTCTCTCCGCCATCGTCCACAAAAGCAGCAAGATCACAAGAACACCGCGCTCCTCGTCGCCGCAGAGTTCCAACACAACCACGTTGCTTAAGTGTCATTCGTTGTAAATATGTGTACATAAATAAATCCATACCAAAAACATCCACAACTCCACACAAAATTTAATGCACATTATCAATCGGCGTAATATATGGCGATTTTTGTCGAGCCTTGCGTTATGTGCCCGAATATTATTAATATAGCCAGTGTATAGTTGTTTCCGAATGTCTGTATTACCGAGAAGATTATCCAAGAATATCTATCATACGTGTTTGCGCAGAATGAAAATTAAAACCCGCGATAGTACGGTCGAAATGGGACCCCAGTCCAGTTCTATCAGACGGCTACGACGTGTGGTTTCCATGGCAACGGTGTAAACAAAACATCTAAATCAGCCATGATTCGGTTTCTGTGCCCAGGTTTTATCAGCAATAACATATCATATATTTTATACAAGTGGAGCGAGCTAAAAAAATTAGTTTTTATAATTATGCCACAAATTCCCCGATAATATTTTAAATATTGTAAATTACTATTTTACTGTGTCCAGTGTGACAACACATATTTAAGAAAAAAAGGCAAAATGTGAGCAATTGTAGTTATAATACCCAATCTGTTTTTGAGACGAGTAGCAATAAATCTTGTTGATTTAAACGTTGAGAACTATCTTTAACAATGCATAAGTAGGTACTGACAGAAAGCCGCAGTATAGAAAATGATGGCAGCTATTTAAAATATGAGGGTTTCGGTGAACAGGTTATTAAATGGCTTAATATTAGTGGACTTCGTATCTCTATCAAAGTTTGATTTTCGTGGAATTAGTGGTGTCAACCAGAAAAATGTCCTCCCTATTTCAGGGGATTTTCTTTCATGTTGGCAACATTGCACACCACCGCAATTTGATTGGTTGAAAACCCAATGGCAACGTCAACGGATGATATAAACGTCGCATACCTTTGAGGACTCTTTTGAGAATGAAACAAAATATGTAGAATCTATTTATTTAATATTATTAATTTTTATATACAGATTTTTTATACAGATAAATATCATCTAGATAAATGTTATAGTACACAACTTAGACATCAAACTAATCTAGTTAAATATGTACGGACTGCCGCCTCATGCTAAGAAGCTGAACGTATCCACAAGGCTATCCAATCTTAACTCTAATTGGTACAGTACAAGTTTCAGTTCAACACTCAACAAAGACGTAGGAATGTGCAGTCCGCATAACAGCCTCTAACATTAAATCATTAAATTGACAACTGATATGGCGTGTTCTCTACGCACCTAATTGACATATAGACAAAAACTACAGCCAACGTGACCTTCGCAATTGCTACAACACAATCATATCTCTGTATCCGGCTGCGTAGATCTCAATAAATAAAAAGAACAACACAAAAGGAGAACACCGCTGAGCTTGTCATTCGTTGTTAAGCCAAAGCAACACAGAATGACTATAACTACGCAACAGTCGAACCGCCATTCACTCTGCCCCCTCTCTATCGAAGTACAAAATGACTAGGAGACTAATAAACGATAGACAGCATGTGACAAAGCGACTCCAACGGTTAATAAGGTTAAATATTACAACAATTAAAAATAGACGCGCCGCCTTTCAATTACATGCTGTCCACGATCGGCATCATACACTATAACACAAAATAACAAGCTAATTAAGCGTAACAGACGATACAAAAATAGTAAAATAAAAATGATTACAAGTGAACGGCAGCCGTTATAACTAGTATAAGCTTTAATAACAGTTGTGCGGTAGTGTTGTTGACTACGTCTAAAGCTCCGTCTATTATATGAAAAAGAATCTTTCCTCCTTCCGTGCACGCCTTAACTTAAAATCGATTTTTGATCACATTCAGTCCGTTTCCGCTCTCGCTCAGTTGGAAACGAATGCCCAACACTCGAGCGTCTTCACCACGAAATCCACCTTCGGCGTCAGAGGGTCGTTGCCGTACGTTTTGCAGCTCTCCGATCTACCCAGGTACAGGTCGCCGTCCAACCACAGGCCGAACTTGCCGTCTCCGGCCCCGATGCTCAAGCTCTCATTATTACCCTTGATGAAGTACAAGTTTTCGCCCGTCCAGTTGTACACCTGGAACTCGGGGCTGAACCTGAACAGGAGGGATTCCCCCGTTCCGTAGAAGTGTTCGGAAACTTGTAAGGCGCAGGATGTCAAAGCACCAAATACCTGAAAAATAACAACAAAAACTGAACAACTGCAAAACTAGTAAAATCGAAATTATTTAATGTCTTAGATGACGTCATTAATGTTTTGGAGGGAACGCAATAGATGAATTTTGATCAGTAATTCACCATCTTCACGATCATTTAAGTAATAGTCAAAATTTTAAAGTAATCGGGTTCAAAACGTCAGAAATTTGTATCAGTTTCTTAGATAAATCATAAAATTTGACTTTGCGAATTTAATTTTTTTAAGACCCTCCACATGTTTTAGTTAGTCAATAAAATAATGCACCGAGAGAGCAATAAAAAAAAATAGAATCAAAGACAGCCACAAATTTTTGAAAAGTTGTCTTTGATAGAATATTCGTCTGCCTGATTACCGTCAACTTGAAAATGCAACAATCATAGACAAACTTTCAAAAGTCCACAGCTGTCTTTGATCCTGTTTTCATCATTCCCTTGGTAATTGTAGTGAAATTGAACAGTTTCTAATTTTACAGTATTGTAATGTTGGTTGCATACACATAGAGTTTTTTTTTTAATATAGGGAGAGTCGAGAGTATTAATTTGCATAAGCGAACATTGCAATTTTAATAAAAATAATAATTCGTTTCATTGATTAATCTATTAATATTTATAACATTTAAGTAGGATTTAGTTAGCAAAATTCTGAGATGACGTCATTAAGTGGTTGGTGGGGATGATCACAAAAATTTTGGTTAGCGTTTTACCACCTACACATCTCTCAAATACGTATATGTAAAATTGCATCACAGTAAGTCTAGTAGTTTCGAAGATTTTTATATACAGGATGAGTCAGTGGCGGGCAGTCCTTGATATCTCATTTATTATTAGAGATAGAAAAAAGTCAGACCAAAGTTGCATGGTTCTTTGAACTACTCTAAATTTTTTTAACTATACTATATACAGGGTGTTCAAAAATGATTCAATTCACAAGTCTAATTTCGAGAAAAATCATTAAAAAATTGTTTGCGTTAATTTGACGTTCATTTACAAAAACAAAATATCGATATAGTCGGAAAAAAACGTGAAAATTTAGTCACTGTCGTCAGATTCATCATAAACAATTTTACAGTTTTTTTAATGTTATAAAATGGGGAATTCTATGGATAAAGACAAGATACCACGAAATTTATTTTGAATAATGAATGTACAATTAATTTCAGATACCCAACACAAACTACTGGATTAAAATATGGTGAAATTTCGAAAAAAAAAAAACCTTTGATGGGCAATATCACCTACATTTGGACAAAATCATTTTTTTTCTTCTCCATAAATGGTCCTGAAAAACGTGTCATAGAGTTGGTGCGCCATTTTTTAAATATCCTGTATACCACGTGTTTCTTTTATTTGATACAACCCTGTAATTTTTTTATTTTTAAAGATAAACATAGTTCTTTGAGCAAATTTGTATTGGAGTTTTAACTCCTTTCTTTTCGTGTTATAGAATGCGCGCCGGAATAGGATGTCGAGTTCGACACCGACACCGGTCTGAACTGTGTCTGAACATAGCCATGTAACGCCGCGCTATATTTTTATACAATATTATTATAATAATTAGATACTTGTATATGATAATCAAATAAAAAAAGTATATTTGGATATTTACTTCTATTAACCCCATCATCATCATTAATCATCATTTTGTCAGAAAATACAAGTGCAACATATTTTTGGTTTTTATTACTTTACGCACTTTTTTTTATTTTAAAAGATCACTTATGTGAATAAATGATGAGTGTCAATTTTTCAAGCCACTAGATTGTCATCAATAAACATGAATTTTTCGTCCATTTATTGAATACCTTTTTACAAATTGATTTTAGAATATTGATTGCAATCTTTCCATTTATGAAAAAATATACTTAGTGTTCCACAAAAAAAAGTTGACCAGAAGTGATAATAAAAATGTGAGAATACAAAATTTACAGGGGTTGTATTAAATAAAAGAAACACCCTTTATAATTTAGTTTTTTTTTAAATGAAGCTCTTATTTATTTTTACATATTTTGATTGATATCTTTTTAGACTTTACAACCACAGTTTACTTTTGAAATTCCGATGCGACGTTGCCACTTATTCCAATTTTTTTGAAATTTTTTCGAAAAGTTTACAAAAAAAATCGCTATAAGCTGATTTTTTAAAGGTTATTTACAATATTTTATGCGCAATGAACTCAAATTTGAATATACAGAGTGTTCATAAAAAATAAAAAGTTTACAATTTTTTCAAACGGAATACATCAATGTACAGGGTGAGTCAGTAAGAGCGTTCCTCAATATCTGCTAAACTATTAGAAGTAGAAAAAACATTAAAGACTAAAGATATACAGTTTTTTGAGTAGCCTACACTAAAATTATTTACTACTATACACAGTGGCTTGTTTTTAAAGCATATCAAACAACTTAGTTTGTTTAAATATCATGCCCTATATATTTTTACAGATTCTTATCAGACTCTTTCTAAGTTTTACAACCATGGTTTATTTTTGTAATTCCTACGCGACGTTGCCACGTTATTCCAATTTTTTTGAATTTTTTTTAGCAATTCGCAAAAAAAATCGCAATAACGTGAATTTTTAGGTCTGTGTTGCAATATTTTATGGAGAGATGAACAAATGTACGCGCTTTGCTATGGTGATAATTAAATAAATTTTAATGTACCGAGTGTTAAAAAAAATAAATTTTACAATTTTCAATTATCGATATTTTAGTTTTTTTAAAAACAACAGTCTATATTTTATTACTTTATCGTATTTTTTCTATACAGATGCAGTAATAAAATAAATATAGGGTGTTCTTTTCGAAAAGACTAAAATGTCGATATTAAAAATTGTTATTGTTATTTTCTTATAACAACTTTGCACATTAAAACAAGATTTTATACATAACCCTATTGCAATTTTTTTGTGAACCCTCCATTGTTAAAAAACTGCAAGAAAATTGGAACAACTTGGCAACGCCGCATTGGAATTTCGAAAATAAAGTATGATTATAAAGTCTAGAAAGGAAACAACCAGAATATATAAAAATATATAGGGTATCCAATTTGTAAAATTAATATATGGTTGTCAAAAACCTGTACAAGTTTTGGCTTACACTTTTTCTATTTCTAATAACTAGTGAGGTATCAAGGAGCGAATGCTTAGTGACTCACGCTGTATATAGAACGAACAAAAACAAAAGTACAAGGTGAGCGTAAACGACCAAAAATTAGTAAAGTAGATACTCAAAATAAATATACTAAAAAATAAATTTATTTTAAATATGTTGTAAGATCGTAGAGAAAATTCTGTATGCTACAGATCACCTAAGAGATATATATTTATTATCTTACTCATTGTAATGTGAACAGTCACTACGGTATAAGGGCCTAAAGTAGAATTTATTCACACTTTAAAATGTTAGTATCCCTAATTCTTTTCCAGTAACTATTATCTTAGCAGGTACTAGCCCCGCCCACCCGCCCTCTCTTTTCTTAGACGGTATCTCATTTGCCAAAATCACTCTTATTTTAGCAGGTACTAGCCCCGCCCACCCGCTCTCTATTTTCTTAGCGGGTATGTCATTTGCCAAAGTCGATCTTATCTTAGTTAAGTAATAACCCCGCCCACCCGCCCTCTAATGTCTTAGGGGGATCTCATTTACCAAAATCAGCCTTATCCTAGCCAGTTTCCATTTCACCAACTTCTTTTATTTACTGTAAAATTGAAATTGAATTCTATGTATTTTGACAAGCGGTAGAATCTAAGATTTTAAACAACGTTAAAAGTAGCCCCGCCCACCCACCCCTATTTCATTTTGATCACTCATTTTATTGGCTGAGACGGAAGTGTGATTTTATTTTGACAAATCATGGAATCATGGAAAAACGACCTTGCCGAAAATAGACACAATGAGGTACAATTATTATAAACTCCGCCCCGCTTTTTTCCGAGCCAATGAATTGATTTATTAAGGTGGAGCTTTTGCAAGTGGGAGGAGCATCGCTAATTTTGATTTTGAAATATGATTTTCACGTCTGGTGTGCTATTGCTTGCTTATATGCTAAAAAAATGAGACGAAATTCGAACAACATGGCAACGTTGCATCGTAATTTCCAACATACTGTGGTTGTAAAGCCTAAGAAGAGGTCAATCAAAATATGTAAAAATATATAGGGTGTTTCATTAAATAAAATTAAGTTGTGTGTTACATCTTAAAAACAGAACACCCTGTACAGCTAAAAATGTTTTTAGAGATAGTCCTCAGAGGACCGTACAACTTTGGTTCTGATAAATAATTAATGAAATATCGAGGAACGCGCGCTTATTAACTCACCCTGTATATATATATATATATATATATATATAACGAAATCGTCAACCAATGACAAACAAATAGATGTTTTACAATTTTGGAATACAAAAGTGCACGTTGTTCATTTTCAATTTTTCAGATCGACATTAAAAGTGTCAATTTTAAGCGATTATGATCCTCATCAAAGGGTATATAAAGACGTCAGTGACATACTATGCGATAAATGAACACATTAATAATAAATGACCTCTGTCTCCACTCGTTTGATATTTGTTTATACAAACAGAGCAACAAAAACACGATCGAAGACAGCCGTGGATTTTTAAAGGTTCATGTTGTCAGATTATCGTCGATCAAAGACAAAATTTGAAAAATCCATGGCTGTTTTTGATCGAGTTTTTATTGCTTTCTCAGTATAACGTGATTATAAAAGATTGTGATCAAGTTGGCTTTAAAATTTCGTGAATTTTGCCGTCTCGTCGTGATAATCAAAAAATTACTAGGTAAAAAAAAACATTTATAAAACAAACAATATTTTTCTATAAAAACGACGACTGAGAAAGCTCAACAATAATCAAATTTACTTTAACCAAATAAAACCGCATTTTGTGAGTTGTACTGACTTAAATATTATTACAGCGATACTTAGCACATACTTATGCTCAATTCAATATACAATAAACATATATACAATGGTCAGTCGTCACACATCACAATTATAACAAATTATAATGTTAATTGTGTGATAATTAACAGTTAATTATTACTACATTTATGTGTAGTTACGAAAGCATTAGATCACAAATTACATTAAAAATTTTTATAAAATGGATAAAACGCGTCCACAAAATTGAAAAAAATTACTAATATAGATTCCATATTGTAAAAATCTCAGTGACGCTTAGCGGGATGATAAGGTGCGCGCGCACCAAAAACTCTGAAAGTTTACGATTTTCCACGACACGGAAGCAAGCTTTATTTGGGTCCGAAAATTGAACCCGAATCGAACAAACCAAAACTTAATAATATAAAATCAATTAACAAAAAACTTACATTATTGTCTGTATCTTCGATAACCAGTAGGATAGGTGACTCAAGTTTGTACATTTTCCGGTACATCGAGTTAAGGCTGAAGCCGTGCTGGCTGGTGCTGAACACTAAGGTCCACGAGTACCCCTCTGCCCTGGCCGGCAGATGTCGACACAGAGCCTCCCTGTGGTAGTCCGTCAGGATCTCGGTGGACCCTACCAGGTCCGGTGGTGTCAATTCAACATCGAGTGAGGGCGCCGCCGACGAATACAACGCCCGTCGGTACTCTTCAGACATCGGTATCACCTTAAGCACAACAAATTAGTTTCATCTGGTCAGCGCAACCGACAACACGTATTCTACACCGCGTACAATTAGGCATCTGAAAGTTTCACTAACATCGCACTTTTTCTCCAATTTCGACGAGACGTGAGTCAAATGTACAAGCGGCTCCTTTCGATTTTTATTTACACGCTCACGGTTGCAACAATCTTCTAGTAAATGAAAGTTACGGCGTGGAGTAAGGCCAGACTCTTTTGGTATCAAGCCAAAAGTTCTATTTCTATTTGCTGTTGTATCGGATGGGTACATGCCACTACGGGTTGTTACAGCGGAAAGTTGGGCAGAATTTTCCGAAAAACGAGTGAAGGCGGTTGGCGGGTTTAGATTGAGACGTTGTTTATAACAAGGCACGTTTATGATAAACACGTTTAAATGGAAATGTATGATGATTCGAGGAGTTATAACCTGTTTGGGAACAATATATACGTTTTACTGCTTTTTGCTATTAAATGGACAGGTTCGAAGTCGCTAGAAGATGGTACGTGGTTATACCATAATCATTACTACAAACGTGCAATGTTTAATTAATAGTTTTAACTACGTACATGCAAATTTATATACAACATGGTTCTATCAACCTACCATAAAAAATTACGACATTAGTTTTTTACTATTCCTACAAAGTTCTTAAAACAATTACTTGTTCAACTTCTTTATTCGGTGTGTGTGTTGTATTTATTCATTCATGTCATGTGCGACTTGTTCACGTAATGTAAAAAAAGTTGTTATCAATTACATCAAAACCGAAGCGAACAACACTAGAAAGTGTTACTGTATTATGTGGGACCAAATAAGCTTAAATATACATATTTTAATATGTTTACATTTTTAGAGTAAAAAAAAAATAATTTTGTTGTTTACGTAGCCACGACGCAAAGTTAGAAATAACTAATTTTAACATTCATGAAGTTGCATAATAGGTACAAGTTAATTTGATTTTTTTTTTGGCACTTATTTTTGTTTCACCGAAAGTGATACCAAACTGAATTATACCATCGTTTCAATTATTAATTACCTCATTAAGAGGTGAAAGTCTTTTTTAATTTATTTGTAAATTTTTTTCCTAAAAACCTACTAAATGAAGAATAAAGAAAGGTCTATAAACAGATCAGAGAAAGTTGTTTCCTATTGAATTAAATTTTTTTTTTTGGTTGTGTTGTACTAAGTTAACTATAATTATGGCATTAGTTAGTACGTATTCCATAAACTTCTGTTTCCTACGCCCAATTTAATACAAGGTAAATATACCAACAGCGATCAACAGTCATACATTACAAATTATAACAAACTATTACTACAATGTTAATTATATGATAATTTATAGTCATTTGGTGTTACGAAAGCATTAGGTCAGAATTAGTTGTTTATGCGAAAACATTGTGCTCAGAAAATTGGAACAAATTTAGTAATAAATTCAGTAAGGAAAAAAATCAAGTGGGTCATTATCATTTTTAACTTTCTGCTGAAGTCAGAGTTATAATATCGATTTTTTTCTGTAGTTCTGTAAAAATTTGGAAACTTATTTTGTCTTGGGAAAAGTTTCAAAGAATTTTCTGAGTCACTGGCATTTCTATATTTTATTTACAAGAATTTTGGGAACATGCTGGTGTATTTTTTAAGGAATTTGAAAGAATATATATATAATATCGACTTTTTTCTGTAGTTCTGTAAAAATTTGGAAACTTGTTTTGTCCTGGGAAAAGTTTGGAAGTATCTGGTGTTTGATTTTTCAAAGAAATTTCAAGTAAACTTAGAATTTGAAAGAAGTTGGGAGTCCCTTGTTGTAAAATAAATTTGAAAAAAACCTTTGAAAACACCGATGTTTTTCTTTCAACCCTGAGAGTCCCTATATTTTAGTTTAGAACTAACTTACATGAATTTTGGGAACCTTCTGGTGTTTTTTTAAAGGAATTTGAAAGATTCTTAAAGAACCTTGTTTGTGGGGGGACAGTGTGAAAGCATCTTGGAAGGCTTTGGTGTTTTATTTTTTGAAAAGGAATTTGAAAAAACCTTTGGAATCCCGGTGTTTTGCTTCCAATTCCGAGAGTTCCTATATTTTATTTCAGAACTAATTTATAAGAATCTTGGGAATCCCTGTGGTATTTTTTAAAGATATTTGAGACTCTCAAAAAACTTGTTTTGTAGGGGGAAGAATTTGAAAATATCTTGGAAGTTCCTGGTGTTTTATTTAAGAACTGAATTGAAAGAATCTTAGGATCCTTTGGTGTGTTATTTTTTAAGAGAACTTTCAACTAAACTTGGAATTTGAAAAAACTTTTGGGAACCTTCTGGTGTTTTTTAAGGAATTTGAAAGGTTCTTAAAGAACCTTGTTTTGTGGGGGAAGAGTTTGAAAGCATCTTGGAAGCCTTTGGTGTTTTATTTTTTGAAAAAGAATTTGAAAAAACCTTTGGAATCTCGGTGTTTAGCTTCCAATTCCGAGAGTCCCTATATTTTATTTTAGAACTAATTTATAAGAATCTTGGGAAGCCTGTGGTATTTTTTAAAGGAATTGGAGACTCTCAAAAAACTTGTTTTCTAGGGGAAGAATTTGCAAATATCTTGGGAGTTCCTGGTGTTTTATTTTTTAAAAGAACTTTCAACTAAACTTGGAATTTGAAAAAAACTTTTGGGAACCTTCTGGTGTTTTTTAAGGAATTTGAAAGATTCTTAAAGAACCTTGTTTTGTGGGGGAAGAGTTTGAAAGCATCTTGGAAGCCTTTGGTGTTTTATTTTTTGAAAAGGAATTTGAAAAAACCTTTGGAATCCCGGTGTTTTGCTTCCAATTCCGAGAATCCCTATATTTTATTTTAGAACTAATTTATAAGAATCTTGGGAACCCTGTGGTATTTTTTAAAGGAATTTGAGACTCTCAAAAAACCTTGTTTTGTAGGGGGAAGAATTTGAAAATACCTTGGAAGTTCCTGGTGTTTTATTTAAGAACTGAATTGAAAAATCTTAGGATCCTTTGGTGTTTTATTTTTTAAAAGAACTTTCAACTAAACTTGGAATTTGAAAAAAACTTTTGGGAACCTGGTGTTTTTTAAGGAATTTGAAAGGTTCTTAAAGAACCTTGTTTTGTGGGGGAAGAGTTTGAAAGCATCTTGGAAGCCTTTGGTGTTTTATTTTTTGAAAAGGAATTTGAAAAAACCTTTGGAATCCCGGTGTTTTGCTTCCAATTCCGAGAGTCCCTATATTTTATTTTAGAACTAATTTATAAGAATCTTGGGAACCCAGTGGTATTTTTTAAAGGAGTTTGAGACTCTCAAAAAACTTGTTTTGTAGAGGGAAGAATTTGAAAATATCTTGGAAGTTCCTGGTGTTTTATTTAAGAACTGAATTGAAAGAATCTTGGTGGTATTTTTTAAAAGAACTTTCAACTAAACTTGGAATTTGAAAAAGCTTTTGGGAACCTTCTGGTGTTTTTTTAAGGAATTTGAAAAATTCTGAAAGAACCTTGTTTTGTAGGGGAAGCGTTTGAAAGCATCTTGGAAGTCTTTGGTGTTTTATTTTTTGAAAAGGAATATGAAAAAACCTTTGGAATCCCGGTGTTTTGTTTTCAACTCTGATAATCCCCAATTTTATTTTGGAACTAACTTATAAGAATCTTGGGAACCCTTTGGCATTTTTTCAAGGAATTTGAGACTCTTAAAAAAACTTGTTTTGTAGGGGGAAAAATTGAATTGAAAATTGAAAGTATCCTGGGAGTCCCTGATGGGGATTCAAGAACTAAATTGGAAAAATCCTGTTGAAAATAAGAAGTTGTGGATATGATTCAACGGTAAGTTAGTTAAATTCACAAATAAAAAAAATCAAGTATGTCAAATTTTATCCCAATGGGAATTTTCAAATTTCTGCCGCAGTCAGATTATAACATCATCGATTTTTTCTCTAGTTCTGTAATTTTTTTAATTGTTACGGAAAAACGCACAAGAAAGACCAACCAAAATTTATTTATATTTATAAATTATTTAAAGTTCCTCTAACCATTATTTTGACAAAATCAATCAGAAAATTTAAAATTTGATCTTAAAATTTTGGTCCTCAAAATGAGTTTTGAGTGATTATTTTTTAATTTCGGTTCCATATAACAAACGCACGCCCCCAATATATTTTATTTTTAAAATGCCAATGCAATGTTGTAAAGTTGTTCAATATTTTTGATTTTTTTAAAAATGCAAATTTCACAAAAAAATTAAATACAACTCAATTTTTTCAAACACTTTGTGCATTAAAACTAAATTTTACTTTTATTTATTTATACCTTGTAAAAAATTTCGTAATTATCAATGTTTGTAATGTTTTTAAAATTATGGGTTGCCGAAACAAGTACTTAAGTCAAAAAAAGTGTTGCAAAAACACGTTTAATAGACGCGCATATATTACTTAAAAACTAGGAGTACTAATCCGTGTTAAAAAACCACTCACCCTAATATCCATTTACACGTTATCGAGTGGTACCACAAATTACAATTTGCGCAACAACAATAAAAAACTTACGACTTAAGTCTTGACGCAACGATCAAAAAAAGTTAATATATTCGACGACGATTAATACACCAACACTACATCCAATATCTCGTCTCTTATCATCAAACTCGTGCACCTTACTTAAGTCAAAAATTCTAAAACCGCCTTCACAAATTTTTCGCCCAAACCCTAAAGCCCCCTTACACAAGGAAACCCACTCCGTCCAACAATATAGTAATAATAATAATAATCCATTACCGCCATTTGTGCTACGACAGCTAGCAAGAATCTATTTTCTATTCTAACACCAAAACATCCACTTCATTCTAAAAGCCACTACTGTGTGAAATGTATTCTCATAGATCGTAACACTTATTATTCAGAGCAAGGAACACAGACTGCGCGCTGACAACCTGCACAGCTCCTCCAATCACAACTAACTTAACACAGCGTGCAGCTTGTCAGCGCCAACGTCAACGTGGAAACAGTGTGGCATGTTATAGTGCAGGTGTCAGTCACCTCGTCACTGCCGTCAGCCGACATTGTCTGGGTCTTGATGATGCTGTAGATCTTAACGTAAGGAGCCTTGATTAGCTGCACCCAAACAACGAAATTTCAGATCACCGACGCCAATCAGCTCGAAAATACACGCTGGGTTGTTGTAGGCGACATACGGAACTAGTGACTTTTAGTAACTCTTGCGTTGTAACAACATCCACTAGTTCCGTAAGTCCAAAGACAAACATAAAATCGAAAATGAAACCTACCTCCCAGCTCTCTTTGGTTATTTCGGTAAGTTCCCCGTCTTGACTACCATGGCGACTAGCAGAAGGTGTGGGCTCTTCGCTCCACAGTTCAGTGTCCATTTCCACCAGGGAGAAGTTGCGGCTTTTCACCTACGACAACGATAAACGAATCAATTCGACAGTTTCATTTGTTGACGTGTGTATTTTAAGATCGTTAATTACTGAAAAGTGGGAGATTCAAGGACAATCGAAATGAGTTAATTGAAAATTAAGAAATTGCGGACTTCTCCGTGGGCAACGTAGTCTCCGACGTCATTGATAATCGCCTGTGGGTTTATCAACGCAGTTGCTCCCATGAGTTATTTTGTATTAGCGCAATCGCCCAATTTTATTGGAGTTTGCATTGTTCTTTTGTTATTGTCTCCCCAATGAGATTAACGCATTTGCGGCTGTGGGTGACTTAATGCATATTCTTTTGTGCTTGTAATTAAAAGTAATGGTCAGATAAATTTTACGAAGTTAGTGTGTCGTCATTTTACTAAATCGTATCAAATAAAATATAATCGTTCCACTATAGTTTCGGTTTTGAAACAGCGAATCGTACCTACCTAGATGACTTTGCCCGTCTACTAAATTAGTAGAAAAATACTTCCGAAACTAAGCCAACTCTGATGAAACGTTGGTGAAAATATATATAAATTATAAAAATCGCTCACGAAATAATAGTTATTTATGTTACAAGTGTTGAAAACGGTCCATTGCATTACGAACGGGAATACGGCGCGAGACGCAGTCGAGCGCTGTATGTCAGTGAGTAATGCAATGGAGTTTTCACACGAGTATCATACAATATTTTTTGCGCTGCCTTTTTGAAAAAATAGCATTTTTCAATCGCTAAAAGAATAAATATTACTGAACCGAAATTATGTTGGTATTGAATTTATCACCAAATACGTCAAATATCAATCTGTCAATTTGTCCGGGCTAGATTTTGAATTTCAAAGTTGAAATGGAAATTCGTGCACGTATTCAGAAAATTGCAGATAGAGCAACTGCAAATTTGTTGCCTGCAAAATCCGCAAATGAAGCCAAATATCAAAAATTCATCAAGTGGTGCGAAGAAAATAAAATACGCGAATTTTCTGAAACGACGCTCTTGGTTTATTTCCAAATTAAGTCGGAAATTATGAAAGCATCCACACTGTGGACAATATATTTAGTTCTGAAAAGTACTCTTGGCATCAAACATAACATAAATCATTCGAAATTTTATAAATTAACAGCGTTTTTAAAGCGGCAGAATGACACAAGCCCAAGAAGTCTGAAATACTTTACCAGTGGAAACATTTTTATATACGGCTCCAGATCAGAGAGAATCTTGTGGTTATGATTCAGCGTGAGGTTGCGAATAACGTCAAGTTTAAACGGTTTTTTTAATCAACAAGAACTATTAACAAACAGTATTAACATAATAGTTGTCAACAACATAAACCAAACCACCGATTAGTGTCAACTATCAAATTACTGTAAATCTAAATTTTGATCAACAAATTCCCCTATTTAAGATTACAACTTAAATTGCACTTTTTTTAAATTTCGAGCCACTTTTTGTTATAATAACTTTAGATACATGCTTATCAATTAGTGGTAATTACTTTGTGATAATCAATTTATTTTTTCAAAGCTTAAATTCCTCGTTTGTATTTTGCAACACTAGATAGATCCTTTTTCATTGCCACTGCGACACGCCACGTGTCAACGTAAAATGTCAATTACAACTATGGCAGCGCAAAAATTTTTTTAAACACTGCTATATTTAAACTTTACCCACGAACACTGAATAGATAAAGACAACTCGCAGAGTGCTTATTCGACTTTTGTACTATAAATGAAGTGCCATTTCGTTCGACTTCATTAACCGAACAAAATTCTGAAAACAATCTATTGTCCACTGGATTATTACTGCGAATTGGTGTATATGGAGCGAATATGACGCAAATAATGAGTTTCAATTACAATTGATGCCAATTTTACAGTAATTTGTTTTTTGTAGTTGTTTTTTTCAAACAAAATTGCAAATATTATATTTCAAGTCGTAATGATTTGCCCTCTCTTGGATTTTATTTATTTGTAACGTTTTAATTTGTGGTAACATATCGCAGCACGTTTTAAAGCAGTGTAGGTGTTTGATAAGAAAAAAGTCGTAGCTGTTGATATAATGTTGTGTGCATTATCTTAATTGCTTTTTTTAAAAAATGACATTCCTGTTTATAATGAATAATATGCTACGATGCTTTAGTTGTTTTAACTAGGAATAGATTTTTATAATTACTATGCATTTTTGTTTTTTATATCTAGAAACGACTCGATTATTGCGTCAACATTTGGATTTTAATAACAAATTGTTCACAATTAGTGGATAGGTGACCTTAAATCAAACAAAATACAAAGAAAAGATCGACAACAAATACTAAACCGTGGATTCTTAGTCGCCAACTTTGATAAAATAAAATCAAATAAATTAATACATGACACTATTTTCTGGCTCATTTTAAGTATAATTTTCAGACAGGAAGCATTTGACTTTACCTTGAATTCGTGATTGTTTTGTCACTGTTTTGATCCTAAACACAGTAAATAAGGTAAATAAACAAATACAGTTACATCACCACGTAGTTAAAAAACTTGTTAATGATAATTTTTTTTATTTTGGGTGGTACTGTTACGATGATTCTCTCAACTAATTCTCAAACTAAAACTAAGTGAAAATTGTTTCAAAACTACTACCTGTATCATATACAGGGTGAGTCAGCAAGTGCGCGGTCCTTGATGTATCATTAATTATTAGATAGAGAAAAAATTGGTTGAAAGTCATTTCGACAGAACTTCCCTCGCTTCTGAACTGCTTCTCAGAAAAATCAGAAAATTTCACTTTGCGGAATTTGACTTTTTCATGATAACCTCTATGGAGTAAAAACAATATAGAAGGTACTTGTCATAGTGTAATAGAAAAAAAGACAGTTGTGAGTACCGAGAAGATTTAATATTCTTAAAAAAAAAGACACTTGCGGTCCCCGAGAAGGTTTCGGTTTACTTAAAAAAGGATAGTTGGGACCCCCGCGAAGGTTTACATTAAAAAAAAGACAAATGGGACCTCCGAGAAGGTTTCACATTTTTAAAAGAGACAGTTGGGACCCCCGAGAAGGTTTCACATTTTTAAAAGAGACAGTTGGGACCCCCGAGAAGGTTTACATAAAAAAAAAGACAAATGGGACCACCGAGAAGGATTCACATTTTTAAAAGAGACAGTTGGGACCCCCGAGAAGGTTTCACATTTTTAAAAAAAGACAAATTGGACCCCCGAGAAGGTTTCACATTTTTAAAGGAGACAGTTGGGGCCCCCGAGAAGGTTTTCATTTTTAAAAAAGACAAATGGGTCCCCCGAGAAGGTTTCATATTTTTGAAAGGGACAGTTGGGACCCCCGAGAAGGTTTCGCCTTCTTTAAAAAAGGACAGTTAGGACCCCCGAGAAGGTTTTACATAAAAAAAAAAAGACAAATGGGACCCCCGAGGTTTTACATTAAAAAAAAAGACAAATGGGACCCCCGAGAAGGTTTCGCATTTTTAAAAGAGACAGTTGGGACCCCCGAGAAGGTTTTACATTTTTAAAAAAAGACAAATTCGACTCCCGAGAAGGTTTCACATTTTTAAAAGAGACAGTTGGGACCCCCGAGGTTTTACATTTTTAAAAAAATACAAATTGGACCCCCGAGAACGTTTCAAATTTTTAAAAGAGACAGTTGGGACCCCCGAGGTTTTACATTTTTAAAAAAAGACACATTGGACCCCCGAGAAGGTTTTACATTTTTAAAAAAAGATAAATTGGACTCCCGAGAAGGTTTCAAATTTTTAAAAGAGACAGTTGGGACCCCTGAGAAAGTTTCGCCTTCTTTAAAAAAAGTACAGTTGGGACTCCTGAGAAGGATTTAGATTAAAAAAAAAAGACAAATTGGACCTCCGAGAAGGTTTCACATTTTTAAAAGAGACAGTTGGGACCCCCGAGGTTTTACATTTTTAAAAAAAGACACATTGGACCCCCGAGAAGGTTTTACATTTTTAAAAAAAGATAAATTGGACTCCCGAGAAGGTTTCAAATTTTTAAAAGAGACAGTTGGGACCCCTGAGAAGGTTTCGCCTTTTTTAAAAAAGTACAGTTGGGACCCCTGAGAAGGATTTATATTAAAAAAAAAAAAAGACAAATGGAACCCCCGAGAAGGTTTCACATTTTTAAAAGAGACAGTTGGGATGACCAAGAAGCTCTAATATTTTTAAAAGAGACAGTTGGGACCCCCAGGTTTTACATTTTTAAAAAAAGATAACTTGGACCGCCGAGAAGGTTTTACATTTTTAAAAGAGACATTTGGGACCCCCGAGAAGGTTTTACATTTTTAAAAGAAGACAAATTCGACTCCCGAGAAGGTTTCACATTTTTAAAAGAGACAGTTGGGACCCCCGAGGTTTTACATTTTTAAAAAAATACAAATTGGACCCCCGAGAACGTTTCAAATTTTTAAAAGAGACAGTTGGGACCCCCGAGGTTTTACATTTTTAAAAAAAGACACATTGGACCCCCGAGAAGGTTTTACATTTTTAAAAAAAGATAAATTGGACCCCCGAGAAGGTTTCAAATTTTTAAAAGAGACAGTTGGGACCCCCGAGAAGGTTTTACATAAAAAAAAAAGACAAATTGGACCTCCGAGAAGGTTTCACATTTTTAAAAGAGACAGTTGGGATGCCCAAGAAGCTCTAATATTTTTAAAAGAGACAGTTGGGAACCCCAGGTTTTACATTTTTAAAAAAAGACAATTTGGACCGCCGAGAAAGTTTTACATTTTTAAAAGAGACATTTGGGACCCCCGAGAAGGTTTTACATTTTTAAAAGAAGACAATTTGCACCCCCGAGAAGGTTTCAAATTTTTAAAACAGACAGTTGGGACTCCTGAGAAGGTTTCGCCTTCTTTAAAAAAGTACAGTTGGGACCCCTGAGAAGGATTTATAATAAAAAAAAAGACAAATGGAACCCCTGAGAAGGTTTCACATTTTTAAGAGACAGTTGGGACCCCCTAGAAGGTTTTACATTGAAAAAAAAGACAAATTGGACCTCCGAGAAGGTTTCAGATTTTTAAAAAAGACAGTTGGGACCCCGAGGTTTTACATTTAAAAAAAAAAGACAATTTGGACCGCCGAGAAGGTTTCACATTTTTAAAAGAGACATTTGGGACCCCCGAGAAGGTTTTACATTTTTAAAAAAAGACAATTTGCAACCCCGAGAAGGTTTCACATTTTTAAAAGAGACAATTGGGACCCCCGAGAAAGTTTCGCCTTCTTTAAAAAAAGGACAATTGGGAGCAGGTTTCACATTCTTAAAAAAAACAAACGGAACTCCCAAGGTTTTACATTTTTAAGAGAGACAGTTAGGACCTCCGAGAAGATTTTACATTAAAAAAAAAGACAAATGGAACCTCCGAGAAGGTTTTACATTTTTAAAAGAAGACAATTTGCACCCCCGAGAAGGTTTCAAATTTTTAAAAGAGACAGTTGGGACTCCTGAGAAGGTTTCGCCTTCTTTAAAAAAGTACAGTTGGGACCCCTGAGAAGGATTTATAATAAAAAAAAGATAAATGGAACCCCTGAGAAGGTTTCACATTTTTAAGAGACAGTTGGGACGCCCTAGAAGGTTTTACATTAAAAAAAAAAACAAATTCGACCTCCGAGAAGGTTTCACATTTTTAAGAGACAGTTGGGACGCCCTAGAAGGTTTTACATTAAAAAAAAAGACAAATTGGACCTCCGAGAAGGTTTCACATTTTTAAAAAAGACAGTTGGGACCCCGAGGTTTTACATAAAAAAAAAGACAATTTGGACCGCCGAGAAGGTTTCACATTTTTAAAAGAGACAGTTGGGACCCCCGAGAAGGTTTTACATTTTTAAAAGAAGACAATTTGCACCCCCGAGAAGGTTTCAAATTTTTAAAACAGACAGTTGGGACTCCTGAGAAGGTTTCGCCTTCTTTAAAAAAGTACAGTTGGGACCCCTGAGAAGGATTTATAATAAAAAAAAAGACAAATGGAACCCCTGAGAAGGTTTCACATTTTTAAGAGACAGTTGGGACCCCCTAGAAGGTTTTACATTGAAAAAAAAAGACAAATTGGACCTCCGAGAAGGTTTCAGATTTTTAAAAAAGACAGTTGGGACCCCGAGGTTTTACATTTAAAAAAAAAAGACAATTTGGACCGCCGAGAAGGTTTCACATTTTTAAAAGAGACATTTGGGACCCCCGAGAAGGTTTTACATTTTTAAAAAAAGACAATTTGCAACCCCGAGAAGGTTTCACATTTTTAAAAGAGACAATTGGGACCCCCGAGAAAGTTTCGCCTTCTTTAAAAAAAGGACAATTGGGAGCAGGTTTCACATTCTTAAAAAAAACAAACGGAACTCCCAAGGTTTTACATTTTTAAGAGAGACAGTTAGGACCTCCGAGAAGATTTTACATTAAAAAAAAAGACAAATGGAACCTCCGAGAAGGTTTTACATTTTTAAAAGAAGACAATTTGCACCCCCGAGAAGGTTTCAAATTTTTAAAAGAGACAGTTGGGACTCCTGAGAAGGTTTCGCCTTCTTTAAAAAAGTACAGTTGGGATCCCTGAGAAGGATTTATAATAAAAAAAAGACAAATGGAACCCCTGAGAAGGTTTCACATTTTTAAGAGACAGTTGGGACGCCCTAGAAGGTTTTACATTAAAAAAAAAAACAAATTCGACCTCCGAGAAGGTTTCACATTTTTAAGAGACAGTTGGGACGCCCTAGAAGGTTTTACATTAAAAAAAAGACAAATTGGACCTCCGAGAAGGTTTCACATTTTTAAAAAAGACAGTTGGGACCCCGAGGTTTTACATTAAAAAAAAAGACAATTTGGACCGCCGAGAAGGTTTCACATTTTTAAAAGAGACAGTTGGGACCCCGAGGAGGTTTTACATAAAAAAAAACATTTGGCGTCCCTGAGAAGGTTTCGTCTTCTTTAAAAAAAGGACAATTGGGACCCCCGAGAAGGTTTCACATTTTTAAAGAAGACAGTTGGGACCCCCGAGGTTTTACATAAAAAAAAAAACAAAAAAAAAAAAACAAATGCGACCCCCCGAGGTTTAACATTAAAAAAAAAGTCTTGGGTGCCGGAGTGTTTGGGTCCGCGTGTATCATTTTGGGAGCCCACTGGGATTTTTTAAAATTATTTAAAAGAATTTCGGCGGACTCTGGTTTTTTCTCTATTTTTGGAAAATTTAAAACAATCTTGAGGTTCTAGATATTCCTGTTTGGAAAGAATTTGAACGTTTTTGGAGCCTCTAGTGTCTTTTCTTATAATAAATTTAATTACATTTCTTAGAGGATACGTCACTTGCTAAAATCAGTCTTATCTTAGCAGCAACTAGCCCCGCCCACCCACCCTCTCTTTTTTTAGAGGGTATGTAATTGCCAAAATCAATCATATCTTAGCAGGTACTAGCCCGCCCACCCACCCTCTCTTTTCTTATAGGTTATGTCATTTGCCAAAATCAGTTTTATCTTGGCAAGTACTGATGACTAAGTTTTACAAAAAATGATCAAAATGTGTAAACATTACGAACTTACTTACTCGTATATGCACAACGCAAAAATTTTGAACATCTTCTCTAGTGTTCAGTTGGTTATCCTTTAATGGATTTTTCTTTTGTTGGTTCTGTTTTTGTTTATAATTTATACTTATCTTATGAAATGTTTTGTTTTTGGTTTATTTATTAATGAAACATAACAGCTTGTTTTATTAATGATAATGCACAACGATGGAACGCTACAATTTTCAAATATGATTGTGGGTGTTTGAGAATAAAAGAAAAAGTCGCAATGACTATCAACTTTAAGTATAAAAAATAAAAAAAACAAAAGCTAAAAAACTTTAAAAATACAAACAAAAATTGAAAGAGAACGAAGACAGATCTATCAATATTTGAAAATTGTAATGATTTACAACTTTTCTATAAACACTCTGTATACTGAGAATCAGTTGTATTTAGATCGCAACAAAGAGCGTACCTTTATTTATCTGTGTATAAAGTATTATAAAACAGAGTTCAAAAATAACCCTATTGCGACTTTTTGTGAAGCCCTAACACAACGTGGCAACCTTGCATTAGAATTTCAAAAATATATCCTATATACTCCATTTAAAAAAACTAAGTTGTGTTGCACCTTGAAAACAGAACACTCCGTACAGTTGAAAATAATTTTAGTTTATGTTCGAAAAGTCATGAAATTTATTTTTAAAACAATGACGTTAGCATTTGGCTATTTGATGCTATATTTAACAGTTATTTGACCGCAACTATTAACCGAGCAAGGAATGTGTTGGTGTTGCCGACCTAATTTTTTTTTTTTTAATTAAATTTCGGAGGTTGTTTGACCACTTTTTTTTCAAAAACAACTACCGGATTAATAATTGAGGCAAATTTGTGTGTTGCCAATTCTGAATTATTGGCATCCATGCTAGTACGTCAGTTCACAGTTGTCATACACGTCATTTTTGACAATCAGGTTTGCCATCATAAAATTTTAAATGGGTTGCCAACCTGACAAAAAAATCACAAAAATTAAGTCACTCGTAAAAAATTCGTAAAAAAAAATTCCTGGAAGAGTTAATAAATTTTTCATTATAAAACCAAAAGTAACAGAAAATATTATTCAGATGGCAGTCATTTGACAATTATTAAATTTGATATGCGCGATAAGTTTTTTGAACGGAATCGGTCCCACAAATTTTGGACAGCGTTTACCATCTACAAGATAATCTAAATATATATTTATAATTTGAAAGTAATCAGGTCTGTAATTTCGAGGATCATGTGTCTAAAAGTCTACAGTCAAACATACCATCGGCGTTAACAAAAATTAAAACATTTTGAAATTATTATAGTCGTTTCGGGTATTTTTTGCGAAATGAGTAATTAGGGGCTCTTTATAAGGATTTACCCAAAATGGTTCTTCCAACAATTTGTGGATCACGTCAGTACAACATTTTCCGGAGAAAAGTTTCAAAAACTGATTTCGGTTGTGGCCATTACCAGCACAACTAACACGCGCTTGTCAACTCTGCGCGCACTTCGCAAGACTCAGGAAAAAACTATTAACAATGCAAATCCACACTAACTCATAGGGTCATGGACGCGTGATTGGTGACATTATCCCACAAAGCAACGTCTATAATTAAACCAGAATTATAAACACGTTACAAACCCACTTTTTTGTGTTATATAACATTCGTACCATCATTTTTTGTAAAAAAAAAATCTACATACCTGCTCCTCGTTCAGCTCCCCGTACAAGTGCGGCACCCAAGCCTGTATGAATTTATACAGTTCATCAACCCTATTCCTTGGCACACTGAACCAGTACTCCGGCCGCATCTTCTTCTTCCCATAAGACATCAAAGGCGTCGAGCGGGGAATCGGCTTGTCTAGTGGCTTCCCCATTCGTAAGCGCAAATACAAAGGTGGATCTTCGCAGGAGCGTGCCGGACGAGGTATCAGCTCTAAAATCGAACGGAACTTTAACCTTCGAATTCCTCTAGAAAATCGGCCCCGGCCAAAAACGGCGCCCCCATTTTTGGCCAGAGCCTTTTCAATGTTTGCTGTTTAAGTATTTTATGTCTTTCGTGGCTGAAATTCATGCATCGCACACATGCAAACCTACCAATGGAATCTAGCCCGTAATTGGGAGAGCGCACTGCAGCAATTAAAACGAAATTAAAACACATTACTACATAATAGCACAACCAAATATGACGATGGAATTTAAGTCCGAGACAAACCGTACCACTGAATGGGTCGGTTTGCGTCATAGCTCTCAGTAAGGTACCAGCGGCGCCATATGTAAAACGACCATCGGATGATCCGTCTTCGAAATGTCATTAAAGGAAAACAGATCCGTCCAAGGTGTGGGCGCAAATATACATTCGCTTATTAAAGGAGTGCCTCGACCATGGGCAAAATACCGGTAGAACATCGAAGAACTCATATTTTCTCATAAAAAATGACATTAGTAACTGGTTTAAAGCATTCACATTCTTTGGCTTCCCTGAACTGGAATTCAGCGCGGAAAAGTTGGCGATAGGAATTTTTTTCAACTAATTTTGGCCTGATTTAACTTACGACATTGTTGTACCCACCTGTTAGAGTAGAGCGAAGGTTCTCACAATTGTCACCAAATTAAAACTCAAGTCGACAAAAACTGTTGTGCAATAGTGACGCCACTTTATTTATAAACTTTAATACGTGCAGCAATTACTCTTTAAACAATATTTTTGTTGTGAAACGTAAATAACCATCACTGGTACTGAGCCCAAGATGTACCAAAACTGAACCATTATACATCGTATTATAACGACTGATTACACGACATTATCACAAATGACGGGTTGTACTTGCAAAACAATCCCCGTTTCCCTGAAATTATTCACAATAACTTTTCGTTGTTTACTGTTATTATTGTTTCGATAATTTGTAGTTACTAACTAGTTTGCATTTCGGTATTGTTTTCCAGAAACAGGATGACCTAATACTGCCAACAATGTTTATTGGTAATGAATTCACTTCGAAAAAATTTGTTCAATGGCGATAAAACTGCATTCTACGTAATGGGTTATCCTCGTTTCGGCCAATTAGCCAAAGGCGGTCAGTTTGATCAAGATGATAGCATGACATCACGGACATCGTTTGATCAAATAAATACCGCCACTGGATCACTTGAAGGAACGCACCTAAATCTCAAACACGAGTGGGTATTTCATTTAAGATGTCATTAAACTTATGTTAGAGGAACAAACAAGAACATTAGGCCCACTTTAATTCGACCAAAACAAAATAACAGGAGTATTATATAGTTTCGTTTGACATGGGGATCAAATAGAGCTTTGGAAAAAGGTCGGGGAAGTGTGAAAAACGTCTCCGATCGATCGAATAAGGGACCACAGGATAAAAATAAAGGTTTCGTCGTAAATTAGTTCAAATAGTCGCAGACCGAACTGAGAAAGGTCACCGAAAGGTCACGTTACTTAACGTTATTTTATGTTATAATGTGGCCATAAATTTCGATACCTGAGTGATTTATCGTTTTTTCCGGTGAAAATAAACTTCCGACATGATGAAGGCAGGGATTACATAGTTCAGTTCCGGTTTTATTTTCTTAATTATTGTGGTGAAAATTACAGGTACTTTTATGCCAGTAAATAAATCTTACTCAGAGTAGGTGTTGAGTCAAGTGTGTGACGTTTATCGTACGATTGATTGCATAAATGCATAAAAACAATGGTTTTTACGTCTATGATCTCATTTTTGAATGATTGAATCGTAACTAAAGTGACATCCGAATATAAATTTTATGACAAGATTAATAAAGACACCAACATCGTAATTTCAAGGTAATTATGAAAGTGGGTTCCAAAGTAATAAAATGACTAGATTTGTTCGAATTGTTCGAAAATCACGTCATAAACAATGACACATAAATCAGTGCATATACTAATTTTGTTTTGTACATCCTCTGCAGTAGTACTAATTTAATAATGACGTCATTAATTTTTTGGAGTGGATGAATAAATAAAATGTTATTATCTACTATAACCTCTGGTTATTTCAATGTTACTCACTTACTATAAATTTTAAAAATAATCTCTAAATTTAAAAATTGGTCGAAGGTTATTTCGACAGAACTTCCCAAACAAATACAGCTTCTTTGAAAAAAATATAACATTTTTTCTTTTTCGTTTTTTTTTATAATCTCGAAAAACTGAAAAATCGAAATATGTATTGATACATCGCGAAATCAAAACATTTTTAAAATTGTAAAACCCAAAATCGAAAAATTGAAAAAGTCGAAAAACTGAATAATTCAAGAACCAAAAAATCAAAAAATCCAAAAACAAAAATTGGAAAACTCAAAAATCAAGATTCGAAAATTCAAAAAATCGAAAGATCGAACAATCGAACCGACAAAAAATAGAAAAATCTAAAATTTAAAAAATCGAAAACTTGAAAAATCGGAAAAAATTTAAAAATCGAAAAACCGAATTGTCGAGAAATCGAAGAAATTGAAATTGTTCAAAATCGGAAAATTAGTAACTGAAAAATTGAAATATGAAAAGTCAAAAAATCGAAAGATCGAATCGTTAAATAGTTGAAAAATCTAAAATTTAAAAAATCGAAAAATTGAAAAATCGAGAAATCGAAAAATTGAAATAGCCCAAAATCGAAAAATGAATAACTGAAATTAAAAAAAAAAATCGAAACATCGAAATCTTGGTAAATTGACAAGTCGAAAAACTGAATAATTTAAAAACCGAAAAATTAAAAAATCTGAAAACAAAAATTTTAAAAATCAAAAATTGAAAAACTGAAAAATCGAGATCCGAAAAGTCAAAAAATTGAAAAATCGCACAATCAAACTGCCCAAAAATTTAAAAAATTAAAAATTTAAAAAATCGGAAGATCCAGAAATTGAAACAGTTCAAAGTCGAAAAATTAGCAACCGAAAAATTGAAAAATTTAAAATAAAAAATTGAAAAACTGAAAAATCGAAACCCGAGAAGTCAAAAAATCGAAAAATTGAAAGACCAAAAAACAAAAATTTTAAAAACCAAAAATTAAAAAACTGAAAAATCGAGATCCGAAAAGTCAAAAAAAATCGAAAGATCAAACAATTGAAAGGCCAAAAAATTGAAAAATCTAAAAACAAAAATTTTAAAAATCAAAATTTTAAAAACTGAAAAATCGAAATCCAAAAAGTCAAAAAATCGAAATAATCGAATGGCAAAAAAATCGAAAAATCTGAAACTTAAAAAAGCCGAAAAATTGGAATTTTCAAAAATTTAATAATCGGAAAATCAAAAAATTGAAAAACCAACAAACTGAAAAATAAAAAAAACAGAAATCCAGGAATTGAAAAAAAGAGAAGTCGAAAAATAGAAAAATCTAGAAACAAAAATTTAGAAATAGCCCAAAATCGAAACATCGAAATCTTCATAAATCGAGAAATCGAAAAGTTGAAAAGTCGAAAAACTGAATAATAATTAAAGAACCGAAAAATGAAAAACCTAAAAACAAAAATTTTAACAATCAAAAATTGAAAAACTCAAAAATCGAGATCCGAAAAGCCAAAAAATTGAAAGATCGCACAATCGAACCGCCAAAAATTGAAAAACTTAAAATTTAAAAAATTGAAAATTTGAAGAATCGAGAAACTGAAAAATCGAAAAGCCGAATTATCGAGAAATCGAAGAAACTGAAATAGCTCAAAATCGAAAAATTAGCAACTGAAAAATTACCAAAATCGAGAAATTGAAATAAGTCAAAATCGAAAAATTAATAACCGACAAATTGAAAAATTTGAAATGAAAACAAAAATTCTCGAAATCTCGATTAATTAAGAAAAAAAGCAGACAAATTAAAAAAATATAAAAACAAAAATTTTAAAACTCAAAATTTCAAAAATTGAAAAATCGGAACCCGAAAAGTCAAAAAATCGAAAGATCGAACAATCGAACCGTCAAAAAATTGAAAAATCGAAATCCAAAAAGCAAAAAATAAAAATCCAAGAAATCGATAAATTGAAAAACTAGAATTTCAAAAAAAAAGAGAAATCGGAGAATTGAAAAAATTAAACATGAAAAGATCGAAAAATCGAGAAATTGAAATAAGTCAAAATCGAAAAATTAATAACTGACAAATCTCGAAATCTTGATTGATTGAGAAATCGAAAAATTGAAAAGTTGAAAACTGATTTAAGAGCAGAAAAATTAAAAGATATAAAAACAAAAATTTTAAAACTCAAAATTTCAAAAACTGAAAAATCGGAACCCGAAAAGTCAAAAATTCGAACGATTAATAGCCCAAAATCAAAAAATTAATATGGAAAAATTGAAAAATTTTAAATTTAAAAAAATCGATAAATCCAAAATCGGAAAATTGTAAAATTTTAAAAAATTTTAAATTTTAAAATTTAAAAATTAGGAAAAATGATAGAAAGATCGAAAAATTAAAATAGTGTAAAATTTCAAACCGAAGGATTGAAAAATCGAGAAATCGAAAAATCGTAGAATTTCAAATCGAAGAATCTAAAATTTAAAACATGGAAATATTGAAAAATCTCAAGACTCAAACGTCAAAAAATTAATAAATCGAAAAATAAAACTGAAAAATCCCCAAACTGCAACAATCTGAAAGTCTAGAATGGGAAATAAAAAAATCGAAAACTTAGAACCGCCAAAAAATCGAAAAATTGAAAAATGGAAGATTAAAAAAAATTGAAAAATCGCAAATCTGAAATATCGGAAAATTGGGAAACCGAAAACTTGAAAAATCGAAAAATTGAATAAAAAATCTGAAAATTCCCAAAACTAAATATCGAAAAATTGAGAAATCGAAAATTGAAAAAATTAGAAATCAAAAAATCGAAATACCGAAAGTTCGAAAATTTATAAATCGAAAAATTATTATATATACAGTTTTTTCCAAAAATCTCGATGTCTAGAACACGGATTCGGATAAATATTTATTTAAGGATTTACAGTAAACTCACTTGACTTTTACTTAGTAAAACCTTAAAGCCCTGTTGTTCTCTATTGTCCGTTAATGGGGCTTCCGATAAGTTGTAAAATGTTATATAGTAATTACTATTGAAAAATTTCATTGTTGGTGGGGATGATCACACACAGACGATGCACGGACGGACAGACAGAAAAGAGGGGTCATGAAACGTCGAGACAACTTGTAAGTAGCCAGTTGCCCGATGAACTCGATTACAACACTTCCTTGGCTTTAGGCTTGGGTAGTAAAAATTAAAGTGGGCGAAGATCTTAATACGACATATTGTGTAAATTCCCTAAAAAATCACCGTTTTACTCTGCAATAGTATTTTATCCTACAGAATACACCGACTCTATTTCTAAAGTGATACTGATTTCCACTCCATTGAATATTTAGTTTTAAAAAGTTCTTTGACCCTATTGTATTGGTTAGTTCCAATTAAGTGAATTAAGTCAATCAATTATTCTATTTTTAAATGCTATTTATTGTTGGTCTAAATAAATTTCAAAAGAACGTTTTACTTAGTTAGATCAACATACAATTTTCCTTAATAAAATTTTACTGCTGGTAATGTGGGTTTGAGGCAAACATGTACAACGAAAATGTATACCATAAAATAAAATGTTCCCCCATTAAAACTAGCGCTTTACGGCTGAAATAAATTACTTAATATTGGCATTCTAACAAGCAATGTCGCCAATAGATGAAGACATATTAATTGTTGATATAATTCGCCATTATAAGAATTTATTTGATTAAAGACATACATGCATTTAATCAAGCCACTTGTATTGCAATGTTTTACTAGTTGCATAACAAACGAACCGTCCTTTCTCGTCCAGTAACATACAAATTGATCAATTGACCGCAAAACGACTTAAGCCGCTTAGCTAAATCAATATTAATGAACAGCTCAACGAGTCAGTCACGGTGGCCACGCCCGCTGGTACCTCACTGTTGACCCTTAAGCCATACTGACATTGCACAATGTCTCCACAGAAAATTTCGATCTCCACATTGAAAAAAACAAACGCTATGCTTTAGTGATGCCAATTAGATGAATTTAGAGTGCAATGATGTATTAAACTGGAGGTGTTAACTATGTAGCGTTTTCGGTTTTTCAAAATTACACTACTATTTAAAAATTACTTACTGTCGAACGATACAAACAACTCTGGCATATCGTCGACCGACACCATAGACCGGTAGTCTAATTTAGGTGGTGGCGCCTTCGACGACTTCGTACTCGTTTCCGTCGGTTGTCTTATGAACGTCCCCACAGACGATCGCCTGTAAACAAACCAGAATTACAATTTCCAATCAATACGTCGTCGGTCACACATTGTCATGTTTGAATTAAACAAAAACCATGCCCCTGTTGCTAGCGAATAAAATAAAGTTGAGGTCCTTTGTTACAACGGTGATGTTAGAATAATAAGGCGTTTTCAATTCGACTTGTTCGTTTGACGAGTGGAGTCTTTGAAGAGCTGGGTTTCGTAGCCAAAGCGACGGCAGAGGAAATGCGACCATAACAAAGCGTAATTCAACAAAATAATTTTTTAATTTTGGATAAGGATAAATATTTATTGCAGTAAATTTTAAGGGCTGTAAGCAATTGTAACGTGTTATAATAAGCATTAGCGTTAAATTAATTAATAAATGTGGAAAAAATGTTGTTAATTACAAACACAACTGGTCAATAGCACTCCCAGACAATAAAATCCAGACACCGAAACCACACACTTAAAAATTAATTTGTTCGCTGAAAATATAACGGTGTTTTTTTTTCATGAAAACATTGAAAACTCATTTCTCACACTCGTTATGTAAATAACTGGCTCTTTTGTGCAATGAATTAAATTTCGCATTATGCTGGACAGGCTTGGAAGCCTTTATTGTTACGTAACAAGCGAGTTCTGTCCTTCATTGAAACTAGTTGATTTTTATAGCATTTTATTGTTACACAATTGCTGCATTTTTCGGATTTTAGAATTTTGCGTGTCGAGCAAATCAAGTTGTTTTTACTTCGACATTTCATGACCCCTAGATTACGAAAAAGTGGTCTCCCGTTTCTGTTTGTCTGGGTAAATTTGTTTCTGATTTTATAAAATATGATACTCTTGCACTTGTGGTGTATGAATCCGTGGTGAGTTTTCATCAAATTGTATAAATACATTTTGTAATTAACTCTGAAACTGCAAAACCGAGTGTTCTGAAATCTTGTAAACGGTTTGAAGTTATCGCAATCATGATATATCGTTAATCAAAACTTTTCGTTTATTCCCTCAAAAAATTAATGACGTCATCTAGAAAATTTGTATAATAAATCCTCTTTAAAATATTCAAAATATTAAGTATGATTCTATACTTATACTGATGTCTGATGTGATTCAAAAAAATTAATGAAAGAGGAAATTTATTTTATTGATTAAATGAAGTACCTACGACTCATTCTATTTTCCCGAAAATTTGCGAGTACAGTAGTTATTATTAGCAAAAAAAAAGTTGATAAGGTCATCAAAAATCTTTAGAATTTCTACAATTGCTGGAAACGCTGGAATCTAAAACTTGTGTAATCTTTGGGATTTTAAATTTTTTTACAATTTTTAGAGTGTCCATAATCTTTAGTATCTCCAGAATCTCCAAGGAGTCTAGAATCCCCATATTCTATAGAATCTGTAGAATGACTGGAATCATTGGACTCTAAAACTTGTAAAATCTTTAGAATCTCTACATTCTGTACATTTCTTGAATTACTAGAGTCTTTGGAATCTCTGAATCTCTAGTTCCTACGGAATCTCTAGAATCTTTAGAACGTCTGGAATCTTTAGAGTCTCCAAAACCTTCAGAATCTCTAGAAATTTTACGATCTCTATAATCTTTAGATTCTCTATAATCTTTAGAATCTCTACTATTGCTGGAACTAGTAGACTCCAAACAATTTGGAATCCTTGAATTTTTTAGAATTTTTGCGACTTTTAGAATCTCCAGAATCTGTAGAATCCCTAAAATCTTTAAAATTTTCAGAACTTGTAGAATCTCTAGAATTTTTCTAGCTGGAATCGCTAGACTCTAAACTTGTACAGCCTCTAGAATCTCTAGATTCTGCACAATTCTTGAATTAAGTACTAGAATTTTTGGAATCTCTAGAATCTTTAGAACTTCTGGAATCTTTAGCACGTCTGGAATCTTTAGAACCTTCAAAATCTTCAGAATTTTTACAACTTTTAGAATCTCTAGAAACTTTAGAATAATTAGATTCTCTATAATCTTTAGAATCTCTACTAGTGTTAGAACCAGTAGACTCCAAAAATTTGGAATCCTTGGAATTTTTGCAATTTTTAGAATCTCCGTTTTTTTTACAATTTTTAGAATCCATATAAAATTTTTAGCATGTCTAGAATCTCCAGAACCTCTAGAATCTCTAAAATTTTTAGAATTTTCAGAACTTGAATTCTTAAATTACTAGAATCTTTGGAATCTCTGGAAATGCTGAATCTCTAATTCCTATGAAATCTCTAGAATCTTTAGAATCTCCAAAATCTTCAGAATCTCTAGAATTTTTAGGATTTCCAGAATATTTATAATAACTACAATCTTTAAAATAACTAGAATCTTTAGAATCTATTATTTCTGGAACCAGTAGATTCGAAAAAATCCTTGGAATTTATTGAATTTTTACAATTTTTAGATATCTCCAGAAGCTCTAGAATCTCTGGAATCTTTAGAATAGCTGGAATCGCTAGACTCTAAAACTTGTACAATCTCTAGAATCACTACATTCTGTAGAATATTCGAATTACTAGAATTTTTGGAATCTCTGGAAACTCGGAATCTCTAGAATCTTCAGAACATCTGGAATCTTTAGAATAACTAGAATTTTTAGATTCTTTATAATCTTTAGAATCTCTACTATCACTGGAACCAGTAGACTATAAAACATTTAAAATCCTTGAAATTTTTAGAATTTTTGCAATTTTGAGAATCTCCAGAACCTCTAAAATCTTTAGAATTTTAAAAACCTGCATAATCTTTAAAATAGCTGGAATCGATAGACTCTAAAACTTGTATGATCTCTGGAATCTCTAGATTCTGTACAACTCTTGAATTACTAGAATTTTTGGAATCTCTAGAACCTTTAGAACGTCTGGAATCTTTAGAATCTCCAAAATCTTCAGAATCTCTAGAACTTTTAGGATCTCTAGAATCTTTAGAATAACTAGAATCTTTAAAATAACTAGAATCTTTAGACTCTCTACTATTGCTGGAAGCAGTAGACACCAAACAATTTGGAATCTTTGGAATTTTTAGAATTTTTGCAAATTTTAGTATCTCCAAAACCTCTAGAATCTCTAAAATCTTTAGAAGTTTCAGAACCTGTGGAATCTCTAGAATCTTTAGAATAGCTGAAACCGCTAGACTTATACAACCTCTAGAATCACTAAATTCTATACAATTCTCGAATTACTAGAATTTTTGAAATCTCTGGAAACTCTGAATCTCTAGTTCCTATGGAAATTCTAGAATCTTTAGAATCTCCAAAATCTTCAGAATCTCTAGAAATTTTAGGATCTCTAGAATCGCTAGAATAACTAGAATCTTTAGAATCTCTACTACTGGTAGAACCAGTAGACTCCAAACAATTTAGAATCCTTGGAATTTTTAGAATTTTTCCAATTTTTAGTATCTTCAAAACCTCTAGAATCTATAAAATCTTTAGACTTTTCAGAACCTGTAGAATCTCTAGAATCTCTTGATTCTATACAATTATCGAATTACTAGAATTTTTGAAATCTCCGGAAACTCCGACTCTCTAGTTCCTATGGAATTTCTAGAATCTTTAGAATCTCCAAAATCTTTAAATTCTCTATAATCTTTGGAATCTTTGGAACTATTACTGGAACCGGTAGACTATAAAAAATTTAGAATTTTTTAGGATCTCAGAACCTCTAGAATCTCTAGATTATGTACAATTCTCGAATTACGAAAATCTTTGGAATCTTTGGAAACTCTCAATCTCTGGCTCCTAAGGAATCTCTAGAATCTTTAGAATGTCGGGAATCTTTATAATCTTCAAAATCTTCAAAATCTCTACAACTTTTACGATCTCTAGAATCTTTAGAATCTAGAATTTTTAGATTTTCTAGAATCTTTATTTAGTTTTGCCATTTCTCGATTTCTCTTTCGATTTTTCAGTTTTTCAATTTTTCGATTTCCCAATTTAATTTTTCAATGTTTTCAAATTTTAGTTTTTCGATTTCTCCATTTTTCGATTTTTCTATTTTCCCATTTTTTTAATTTTTTGATGTTTCGTTTTCGCGATCTATCGATTATCGAACTTTTTCGTTTCAAATTTTTCGCTTTTTCAATTTTTCGATTTTCAAAAATTTTGAGTTTTTGACTTTCCCATTTTATCGATTTCTAGATTTACCGACATTTCGACGTTTCAATTATTCGATTGTTCAATTTGCTGATTTTTCAATTTTTGAAAACTATTTTTTCTTTTTCTCGATTTCTCGAAATTTCTTTCAAGTTTACCATGTTTTGGTTTTTACATGGTTCAGTTTTATAGATTTCTCGATTTATCGAGATTTCGATTATTTGATTGTTAAATTCCCAGATCTTCTAATTTTTCAATTTTTAATTTTGCCATTTTGGGTAATTTCGATTTCTCGATTTTTTGACGTCTCGACTTTTCTTCCGAATTTTTCAAGTTTGGATTTCCGATTTTTAAATTTCTCTGTCTGTCGTTTGTGTCAATTTTTATTAGATAAATAATTTCCGAAACTCAGATTGTCAAATATTATAACAATTTTAGAGATATTATGTAGAAAATAAAACAACTTGACGATGTAATTTCAAAATTTTGCGTGGGTGGTTTATGAAACTTTGTATACCACATAACATTAACCAGTCACTCATTGGTGCAACTGGCATTATTTTTTTCTAAAAAACTGAAGTTTGATTATTACTTCAGAAGCGAGGGAAGCTATGTTTGATAATGTGAGACCAATTTTTTACTATTATTAAGAAGTTTTAAAAACTAATATATGTAATATTTCACTTCCTTCAGTTACTTGCAGTTTCGCAGGAAATTTATTCAACTTTGTTTTACATCAAATGCAATACATACTTGACTTTAAAACAAAGAAGGTTTTTTTGAAGATCTTGAATTGAATTCACAAACGTTTTTCGCTTTTGGTTATTTAAATCTTAAAAATATCTTTCGTAATTATTCTTTTAAAACGAATTAGAGTTGGCCTTGCCTGTTAAGCTTTGGGTGGTAGCACTGCTCTCAATTTGACGTAAATCTATGTCAACATAACCTTTAACTGACCACAGCCAACTCTTTTTTATATTTTTATCTTTATAAGAACATTATTGAGTTAACCCCCAAAACTCAAAGGTCACCGACTTTCTTTATTTACACACTTTAAACATTAATTCTAAATGAGTTATTATTTTCTACGATGTACAGATTATGTCATCTGTGTCCTCAAGCGACGAAATACATGTAAATTATGCCACTTGTAAAACACCTACAAATATTTTATAATAATAAACATATTTATTATTCACTGTTGCATGCAAGTTTTGCGTAACGTATAATTTTATGTAAATGTATATTTTAATTTAAATTTATTGCAATAAAATGCTCAAATAGAATTTTTTAAATTTTTCGTTTAGTTTCATTTAGAAACAAATGTCAACAACTAACTACATAAAAGTTGAATAAACTTGTAGAAAATATGTAACTAAATGAGGTTATGCAATACATATTACACACTTGACACTACATACTGAAATTATGTAGTAGTTTTTTGTGCTAGGGTAGTTATTTTTATACCAAAAATACTATAATAATGTCCCACTTGTCAAAACAAACAGCGCCACCTATAGTCGCGCCGCCACACCTTATTACATCAACACCACCTCCACAAGCTTAAGTAAACAGTGTGAGTGTGTCGAGTGTTCTCTGTACACATATTACGTGCAAACATCGGCACATACCCAACAGCCCCAACTGTAGCCCCCACGGCACCGACGGACGCCCCAACTTGAGCACCCACGGCGCCCATCGTGGCGCCCACGGAGGCCCCCATCGCCCCCACCGACGCCCCGACCGCGCCCACGCTCGCCCCCACCGAACTGATGATGTTCGTCGGGAAGAAGCTGGAGCTGTCGGTGCGCGGGGAGTCGCTGAGGGTGGGGCCGCCGCTGCCGGCCGAATGGGGGCCGCCGGAGCCGCCGCTCTCCTCAGACGGCGTCTTGTTGAGGAACAGACCGGTGCCAAAGTCCACCAGATTGATCGGCGAACTGAGCAGCAGCGTTAGTGATGGTAGTTAGTATGGTTATGAGGATGGGGGCGGGAGAGGGTGGCTGTTTACCTGGAGAACACTTTCGAGAAGACCGACGAGTGGTGCACGTCGGCGGAGTGCGGGTGGTTGGGGGGCTTCTCTTCTTCCTTGTCGCCGGCGAGGGTTTCCATCCAGGAGAGGGGATATGACAGTCTTTTTAACATCTAGAACGAAGGAGGAAATTATAATTTATAGTTGGGCGCTGAGGCGATTCTCAGGTGGGATAGTGTACCTTATTTTTCCTAGTGTCAGCCTTTTCAGAATCCTCCTTCGACTCGGAGCAACTCGTCGACAGCGGCACGCCGGTGTCGGCTTCAGAGCTAGAGTCCAAACTAAACGAAACAGAATTGGTCTTTTTCCTGGCAGGGCTCTCGGTGTCGCTGCTACCGGAAACGTGTGTGGGAGCAATGGTGATTGGAGGCACCCAGTCTTTTGAAAGCACAATGTCAGCATCGCTGTACTGTTAAGAGAAGTCAGTGATCAGTAACCAGTAGCTAATTCGTCGCCTGAGGACTGGTTTGATCTACAGACCAGAGGGTGTTCAGGCCAATGTCGACTCAAAGCACTCATAGGCGATTTTCGACCGTAATTTTTGTGGACGATAGTTGTTTGGTCCAATTTTATAACAAATAAGTGAACATTTTTGGTACAAATTCAAAAGCTTTTATTTTGGTAAGTATACTAATCCAGTCCATCGGGCGAATTGCCACTTTCATGGTTTTTCCACGTTTCATGATCTCTTAGAACACGAAAAAAATGATCTCCCGTTTCTGTCTGTATGTCTGTCTGTCGTCTGTATCAATTTTTATTAGACACATTATCTTCAAAACTATGAGACCGATTGTTGTCAAATTTTGTATGTATATTAGGACTATCATGTAGATGGTAAAGCGCCAACCAAAAATTGGCGAATCATCCCCACCAACAATTTGATGACGTCATCTCCAAAATTTAAAACAGTAAATTTGTTTTTATTTTTATAAAATAAGATATTCCTGCACTTGTGGTGTATGAATCCGTATTGAGTTTTCACTCTAGACATCCAGATTTTTGGAAAAAAAATCAAATTATATAAAAACATTTTGCAATTTAACTTTGAAACTGCACAGTTTTTAGTTTTTTCTTTTTCTTCGATTTTACAATTTTTTCATTTCATAATTTTTCGTTTTTCATTTTCTTTATTTTTTCAAATTTTCTATTTTTCAATGTTTCAGTTCTATTATTTTCGGTTTTTCAACTTTAATTTTTCTAATTTCTCGACTTTCAAATTTTTCAATTTTTCGTTTCTTAAATTTTTCGATTTTTCGATTCTTCGTTTCCTCAATTGTTTATGTTATTAATTTTTATTTTCTCTTCGATTTTATTTCACAATTTTTCGTTCTTTCATTCGTTTATTTTTTCAATGTTTCTTTCGATTTTACAGTTTTTGTGGTATATTAACTTTTCAATCTTTGATTTTTGAACTCCTCGGTTTTCCATTTTTTAGACTTTTCAATTTAGCAATTTTTGGATTTCCAGATTTCTTTAATTTTCAAAATTTTGATTTTACAATATTTCATTTTTTCGATTTTCCACTTTTTCGATTCATGTTTCTCAGCTTTTGATCACCCGATTTTTCAATTTTTTGTTTCAATTTTTCAAGCACTTGATTTTCAGTTTTTAGATGTTCATTTTATACTTTTTCGTGATTTCATTTTTGTTTTTTCAATTTTAAAATTTTTGCATTTTTCTCATTCGAAAAAGTTAAAAAAGCGAAAAATTGCAACATCGAAAAACTAAAAATCGAAAAAAATTAATGAACTGAAAAACTGGAAAAAAAACGAATCGAATCGAAAAATTTGAAAATTGAAATATCAAAAAGTAAAAAATTAAAAATCGAAAAATTGAAAAATCTAATGAATGAAAAAGTGAAGCATTTTTAAAATTATAGTTTTTATTACATATTTAAAACGAAAACTAGAAAATTGCAAATCAAAAATTGAATGAACGAAAAATTGAAAAACCGAGAAACTAAAAAATTGCAAATGGAAAAACAGATAATTCCAAAAACTGAATAATTTCGTACTAAAAAAAAGAAAAATTATAAAATCAGAACACTGAAAAAATAAAGTAAATAAAAAACCGAAACGAAAAATTGCAAAATCTAAAAGTTGAAACATTCAAAGTAGGAAAATCGAAAAAATTTAAAAATGAAAAAAAAATTGGAAACGAGAATTTTAAATCGAAAAATTGCAAAATCGAATGTTTTCAATTAAGAAAATAAAAAACCGAAAAGAAAAATTACAAAATGAAAAATTGAAGAAATGAGATTGAAAATTCGAAAAAGTGAAAACTCGCGAAATTGTAAATCGAAAAATTGAAAACTCGTGAAATGTAAATTGAAAATTGCAAAATCCAACAGCTGAAACAACCACCAAGTGGGAAAATGGAAAAATCGAAAAATGAAAATTCGAAGAGTTGCATTTCTTAAAATGAAGAAACAAAAAAGTAAAAAAAAAAACTGAAATTGCAAAAGCAAAATATAAAATCATAACACTGAAAAATCCAATAATTTCAAAAATTAAGAAAATAAAAAATCGAAACGAAAAATTTCGAATCCAAAATTTGAACAAATGAATAATTTAAGAACCGAAAAACGGAAAAATTAAAAATTGAAAACGAGAAATTTTAAATCGAAAAATTCCAAATCTAAAAACTGGAGAAACTAAATGAAAAATTGAAAAAACAAAACACTGAAAAATCGAATGATTTAAAAAATAAAGAAAATAAAAATCCATACGAAAAATTACAAATCGGAAAATTTAAGAAATGAAAAACTGAAAAATAGAAAAAATGAAAACTCGTGAAATAGTAAATCGAAATATAGCAACCTCTAAAAATTGAAACGAGAAAATAAAAATCGCAAATCGAAAAATTAAAGAAATAAAAAATTATAAAAACGGAACATTGAAAAATGGTAAAATAGTAAAAACAAAGAAAATAAAAAACCGAAACGAAGAATTTTAAATCGAAAATTTGAAAAAATGAAAAATTTAAAAACCGAAAATCTGAAAAATGAAAACTTGAAAACGAGACATTTTAAATCGAAAAATTGCAAAATCTAGAAACTGGCGAAACTAAAATGAAAGATTGAAAAAACAAAAAATTATAAAATCGAAAGATCGAAAAATCGAATAATTTAAAAAACAAAGAAAACAAAAAAACCAAAACGAAAAATTACAAATCGAAAACTCGTGAAATTGAAAATCGAAAAATCGCAAAATCTCAAAGAGCTCAAACATCCAAAGGTTAGAAAATCGAAAAACTGAAAAATTAATAAAATGAAAATTCGAAGAGTTGCGTACTGTAAAATGAAGAGACAAAAATTGAAAAAACTGAAATTAAAAAAAAAAACAAAAAATTTAAAATCAGAAATTTGAAGACGTGAAAAATTTAAGAACCGAAAATTTGAAAAATTAAAACTAGAAAACGAAAAATTTTAAGTCGAAAAATTGCAAAATCTAAAAATTGGCGAAACTAAAATGAAAAATTCAAAAAACAAGAAATTATAAAATCGAAACACTGAAAAATGGAATAAATTAAAAAATAAAGAAAATAAAGAAACCAAAACGAAAAATTACAAATCGAAAAATTGAAGAAATGAAAAATTGAAAAATCGAAAAAGTAAAAATTCTTGAAATTGGAAATCGAACAATCGCAAAATCTCAAAGAGCTGGAACATCGAAAGTTTGGAAAACTGAGAAACTGAAAATTGAAAAAACCGAAATTAAAAAAAAAATCAAAAAATTATAAAATAGGAACATTGAAAAATGGAACAAATGTAAAAATAAAGGAAATAAAAAATTTCAAATCGAAAATTTGAAGACATGAAAATTGTAAGAACCGAAAATTTGAAAAACTAAAACTCGAAAACGAAAAATTTTAAATCGAAAAATTGCAAAATCCAAACACTGGAGAAACTAAATTGAAAAATTAAAAAACAAAATATTATAAAATCGAAACACTGAAAAATCGAATAATTTAAAAAATAAAGAAAATAAAGAAACCAAAACGAAAAATTACAAATCGAAAAATTGAAGAAATGAAAAATTGAAAAATCGAAAAAGTAAAAATTCTTGAAATTGGAAATCGAACAATCGCAAAATCTCAAAGAGCTGGAACATCGAAAGTTTGGAAAACTGAGAAACTGAAAATTGAAAAAACCGAAATTAAAAAAAAAAATCAAAAAATTATAAAATAGGAACATTGAAAAATGGAACAAATGTAAAAATAAAGGAAATAAAAAATTTCAAATCGAAAATTTGAAGACATGAAAATTGTAAGAACCGAAAATTTGAAAAACTAAAACTCGAAAACGAAAAATTTTAAATCGAAAAATTGGTGAAACTAAAAAATTCAAAAAACAAAAAATTATAAAATCGAAACACTGAAAAATCGAATAGAAGAAATGAAAAATTGAAAAATCGAAAAAATGTAAACTCGTGAAATAGCAAATCAAAAAACTGAAAATTCGTGAAATTGCAAATCGAAAAATTGCAAAATCCAACAGCTGAAACATCCAAACGTTGGAAAATCGCAAAACTGGAAAATTTAAAAATGAAAATTCGAGGAGTTGCATATCATAAAATGAGGGAACGAAAAATTAAAAAAACAAAAAATTATAAAATGGGAACACTAAAAAATAGAAAAATTGTAAAAATAAAGAAAGTAAAAAACCGAAACGAAAAAGGCCAAATCGAAAATTTGAAGAAATGAAAAATCCAAGAACCGAAAAACTAAAAAATTAAAAATTGAAAACGCGAAATTTTAAATCGAAAAATTGCAAAATCCAAACACTGGAGAAACTAAATTGAAAAATTAAAAAACAAAATATTATAAAATCGAAACACTGAAAAATCGAATAATTTAAAAAATAAAGAAAATAAAAAACCCAAACGAAAAATTATAAATCGAAAAATTTAAGAAATGAAAAACTCAAAAATCGAAAAAATGAAAACTCGTGAAATAGTAAATCGAAAAATTGCAAAATCCAAGAGCTGAAACATCCAAAAGTTGGAAAATCGAAAGAGTGGAAAATGTATAAATGAAAATTCGAAGAGTTGCATATCGTAAAATGAAGAAAAGAAAAATTTAGAACACGGAAATTGAAAAAAAAAAAACAAAAAATTATAAAATCTGAACATAGAAAAACTGTAAAAATAAAGAAAGGAAAAAAGTGAAACTAAAAACTTCAAATTGAAAATTATTGAAAACGAGAAATTAAAAAAAAAATTGCAAAATCTAAAAATTGGGGAAACTCAAACGAAAAATTGAAAAAATAAAAAATTTGAAGACATGAAAAATTAAAGAATCGAAAAATTGCAAATCGAAAATTGGAAGGAATGGAAAATTAAATAGACGAAAAATTGAAAAAATTCAAATTGACGAAACAAAAAAACAGAAGATCGAAACACTGAAAAATCGAATAATCTAAAAAATACCGAAACGAAAAAACTACAGATAGAAAAACAAAATGTAAAAATGGAAATATCCAGATGTTGGAAAAATGAAAAACTGAAAAATTTAAACTTAAATAAAATTGAAGAACAGACAAATTCAAGTCAAAAAAGCTGCGGCAGTCAATTACGCCACTAGTTTTAACTTTATATAGCTTATCAGAAAACAAAAAAGGCAAACAATTTTCATAATTTTTCATAGGTAACGCGGAATTTGTTAGGCTGTACTTCAGGGACGAGGAAAGTTCTGTGAAAATAACCTTCGACCAATTTTTCATACTATAGGGGCAATGAATCGTCAAGAAAACATGAAACTGGCAAGTCGCCCAATGGACTCGATTACTATATTTTCTTAGCTTTCGCTCGGGAAGTAAGACCAGTTGCATGTCAAAATCGAGTGAAACATGTGACATATAACATTACGTTTATAAAAAATGCGATCAATGAATTCTTTCCTGTAGGAATTACGGTTGAAACCGGTTACTTCCGTGCAACATTATCAGAGCCGAAATTAGCATGAGCGCGCTCTGTTCTGTAGATCAAATCAGTCCTCAGGCGACTTTACATTCTCGAAGGCTTACTTTCTTGGTGTGTGGGACTATCGGCGGGATACTGGTTTCCCTAATATCAATTCCGGAATCGTGACAGCTCTCCTTAATTAAACTATCTTCTTCGTCTATTTGATCCTCCTGCAACATCGCCGACGCGATCGTCGGCATCTCGTCCGTGTCTATCGACTGCCGATCTCTCGACGGTATGGCCCAATGATGGTCCAAGAGACTCTTCCTCCTTTCTTCGAGTGACCTGTGTTCGTGCGGATCTTCCTCGATGTTGGTCGGAGTGACCAACTCCCTTTCGAAGGCTTTCGGAAAAGCGTCGCCCTCTCGTTCTGTACACGAACACACAGATTCAGCATCATCGCCGGTAACTACAAACACACCAAGTTACGACCAAAGCGACACCTACCGGAAACACTAGGATGCACCACGCAACACATGCAACAACCTCGCAAGCGTCTAGAGAGAGCAGAGTTTCCACAATCTTAGTCAGAAGAGCACAGAGCGGTACATAGAAAAGTCACTATTCGTTTAGTCTCTCCAAACCCTCCTACGACCCCAGTGCATCCCAGCCCCATCCAACCGTCAAACTCACCCAACTCCGGGAACGTCTCGTCCTTGACCAGCAGCGAGTCCGGCTCGCCCCTACTCTCCGACTTGGGGTAGTAGATCTCCGGCTTCTCGGTGGCGGCGTGCGTCTCGACGCTGTGGCCCACCCTCATGTGGGCGATGTCGTTGTAGATGGCCGCGTTCACCACGAACTCCATGGGCGCGATCACGCCGTACGCCTCCGGCCCGTGCTCGATCACGAGCGGGTCGGAGACGTTCGGGTCGAACATGACGGCGTTCGGCGTCACCAGGAGGACACCGCTGACGACGCCCTGGCCGTCGGTGATGTGCCTCACGTTGATCTTGAGGAAGCGTTCGCGGAAGACCGCGGACTCCTCGTCCAGGTCGGTGGAGCTCTGGTTGCATGACGGCGTCCGGACGCGCTCCACGTGACCTGGCTTCGGGCTGACGGGCCTCAGGTTGTCGAGTAGTTCTGAATTGAAAACGAATTAATTATATAGATTCCTGTATTACCGACATTAAAAGTGACAGAAAAATTTCCAGGTTAGAAAGGAAAAAGAGAGGAAAGTGACGGAAAGAACAGGAAATTCAAGGAAAGATAAGGAACTGGGGAAAGAAAAACTATTAAAACTAGGACACACTTATGGAAAATGACTTAAGTGGGACAAAAACTAGTTGAAAATTACGTCTTAAAAATGTATAATTTGTACATTAAATTTGAGATAATAAATTGGACGCTAAAAATTGTAATTTATCATACAAAGGAAACATATTTGTTTAAAAATGTTTTGATGAATTTAAGTTTTACGTTGACGTTGAAAAAAAGTTATATTTAGTTCACTTCACTGTGATTAAATTTTAAATCCAAAACGTTAGAAAAAAGTACATTTGCTCTGAAGGGAAGACGAAATTTTAATTACATCATTATTCTTTAACAACTCTTCGAACGAAATATTTTTGCTTCTGAAAAAAATTATTAACGTTGATTTAACGTTGTGTAACTACGTCAATTTCATATCGTGCTTCGTGTGACATGTGGACGAAAAACTTTCATTTTATTTTAATAACATACGAGGTTTTAGCAAAAAACACGAACACAATACGCGACGTCGATTTTTAAATCACGTTGTTTTAACGTTGACGCTCTTAAAACATTTTTTATTAAATTATACTATAAAAAGTTTCAGGTGTGTCTGTGAATTTCGTGTACTTTTTATAGTTTATTTTTAAAGAACTCAAAGGACGTTATAGAATTTTAGTTACATATTTAACTACCAAATGAAGATGAAATCAGAAAATAATGGAAAATTACGTTTTAAAAACGTTGTACAATGTCTACATTAAATTTGAGATAATAGTTGGACACCAAAAATTGTAATTTACCATGGACTACACAGAAATATATTTGTTTAACAATGCTTTGATGAATTTAAGTTTTATGTTAACGTTGAAAAAACGTTATATTTAGTTCACTTCACTGTCATTAAATTTTACTTTGAAAACATTAGAAAAAAGTACATTTGCTCTGAAGGGTAGACGAAATTTTAATTAATCATTATTCTTTAACAACTTTTTAAACGAAATATTTTTGCTTCTGAAAAAAATAATTAACGTTGATTTAACGTTGTGTAACTACGTCAATTTCATATCGTGCTCACATGTGGGCGACAAAGTTTAATTTTATTTTAATAACATACGAAGTTTTAGCAAAAAACATGAACACAATACGCGACGTCAATTTTTAAATCACGTTGTTTTAACGTTGACGGTCTTAAAACATTTTTTATTAAATTACACTATAAAAAGTTTCAAGTGTACCTGCGTATTTCGTGTACTTTTTATGGTCTATTTTAAAAGACCTCAAACGATGTTATAGATTTTAGGCACATATTTAACTACCAAATGAAGATGCAATCAGAAATTAATGGAAAATTACGTTTTAAAAACGTTGTACAATGTCTACATTAAATTTGAGATAATAGTTGGACACCAAAAATTGTAATTTACCATGGAACACAGAGAAACATATTTGTTTAAAAATGCTTTGATGAATTTAAGTTCTTTGATAACGTTGAAAAAACGTTATACTTACTTCACTTCACTGTGATTAAATTTTATTTTGAAAACATTAGAAAAAAGTACATTTCCATTGAAGGGTAGACGAAATTTTAATTAATCATTATTCTTTAACAACTCCTCGAACGAAATATTTTTGCTTCTGAAAAAAATTATTAACGTTGATTTAACGTTATGTAACTACGTCAATTTCATATCGTGCTTCTTGTGACATGTGGACGAAAAACTTTCATTGTATTTTAATAACATACGAGGTTTTAGCAAAAAACACGAACACAATAAGCGACGTCGATTTTTAAATCACCTTGTTTTAACGTTGACGCTCTTAAAACATTTTTTATTAAATTATACTATAAAAAGTTTCAGGTGTGTCTGTGAATTTCGTGTACTTTTTATGGTTTATTTTTAAAGAACTCAAAGGACGTTTTAGAATTTGAGGTACATATTTAACTACCAAATGAAGATGAAATCAGAAATTAATAGAAAATTACGTTTTAAAAACGTTGTACAATGTCTACATTAAATTTGAGATAATAGTTGGACGCCAAAAATTGTAATTTACCATGGAATACAGAGAAACCTATTTGTTTAAAAATGCTTTGATGAATTTAAGTTTCATGTTAACGTTGAAAAAACGTTATACTTAGTTCACTTCACTGTGATTAAATTTTACTTTGAAAACATTAGAAAAAAGTACATTTGCTCTGAAGGGTAGACGGAATTTTAATTAATCATTATTCTTTAACAACTCTTCAGACGAAATATTTTTGCTTCTGAAAAAAATAATTAACGTTGATTTAACGTTGTGTAACTACGTCAATTTCATATCGTGCTCACATGTGGGCGACAAAGTTTCATTTTATTTTAATAACATACGAAGTTTTAGCAAAAAACATGAACACATTACGCGAAGTCAATTTTTAAATCACGTTGTTTTAACGTTGACGGTCTTAAAACATTTTTTATTAAATTATACTATAAAAAGTTTCAGGTGTATCTGTGTATTTCGTGTACTTTTTATGGTTTATTTTTAAAAAACTCAAAGGACGTTATAGAATTATAGGTACATATTTAACTACCAAATGAAGATGAAATCAGAAATTAATGGAAAATTACGTTTTCAAACCGTTGTACAATGTCTACATTAAATTTGAGATAATAGTTGGACACCAAAAATTGTAATTTACCATGGAATACAGAGAAACATATTTATTTAAAAATGCTTTGATGAATTTAAGTTTTACAATAACCTTGAAAAAACGTTATACTTGGTTCACTTCACTGTGATTAAATTTTACTTTGAAAACATTAGAAAAAAGTACTTTGCTCTGAAGGGAAGACCAAATTTTAATTAATCGTTATTCTTTAACAACTCTTCGACCGAAATATTTTTGTTTCCAAAAAAAAATATTAACGTTCATTTAACGTTGTGTAACTACGTCAATTTAATATCGTGCATTGTGTCACATGAGGGCGCAAAACTTTTATTTAATATTAATAACAATCGAAGTTTTAGCAAAAAAACACGAACACAACACGCGACGTCAATTTTTAAATGACGTTGTTTTAACGTTGACAGTCCTTGAACATTTTTTATTAAATTATACTGTAAAAAGTTTCAGGTGTATATGTCTCTTTCGTGTACTTTTTATGGTTTATTTTTAATGAACTCAAAGGACACCATAGAATTTTAGGTACATATTAAACTATCAAATGAAAACAAAATCAGAAACTAGTTGAAAATTACGTCTTAAAAACGTTGTACGTTTATACATCAAATTTGAGATAATAGATCGGATGCCAAAAAAATTAATTTACCATGGAATACAGAGTAACATACATGTTTAAAGAATATTTTGATGAATTTAAGTTTTATGTTGACGTCGAAAAAACGTTGTATTTAGTTCACTTCACTGTGATTAAATTTTACGTCGAAAACATTTGAAAAAAGTACATTTGCTCTGAAAGGAAGACCAAATTTTAATTAATCGTTATTCTTTAACAACTCTCCGAACGAAATATTTTTGTTTCCGAAAAAAATTATTAACATTCATTTAACGTTGTGTAACTACGTCAATTTAATATCGTGCATTGTGTCACATGAGGGCGCAAAACTTTTATTTTATATTAATAACAATCGAAGTTTTAGCAAAAAAACACGAACACAACACGCGACGTCAATTTTTAAATGACGTTGTTTTAACGTTGACAATCCTTGAACATTTTTTATTAAATTATACTGCAAAAACTTTCCGGTGTATCTGTCTATTCCGTGTACTTTTTATAGTTTATTTTTAATGAACTCAAAGGACATTATAGAATTTTAGGTACATATTAAACTATCAAATGAAGATAAAATTAGAAACTAGTTGAACATTACGTCTTAAAAACGTTGTACGTTTATACATCAAATTTGAGATAATAGATTGGATGCCAAAAAAATTAATTTATCACGGAATACAGAGTAACATACGTGTTTAAAGAATATTTTGCTGAATTTAAGTTTTATGTTGACGTCGAAAAAATGTTGTATTTAGTTCACTTCACTGTGATTAAATTTTACGTTGAAAACATTAGAAAAAAGTACATTTGCTCTGAAGGGAAGACCAAATTTTAATTAATCGTTATTCTTTAACAACTCTTCGAACGAAATATTTTTGTTTCCGAAAAAAATTATTAACGTTCATTTAACGTTGTGTAACTACGTCAATTTAATATCGTGCATTGTGTCACATGAGGGCGCAAAACTTTTATTTTATATTAATAACAATCGAAGTTTTAGCAAAAAAACACGAACACAACACGCGACGTCAATTTTTAAATGACGTTTTAACGTTGACGGTCCTTGAACATTTTTTATTAAATTATGCTGTAAAAAGTTTCAGGTGTATCTGTCTATTCCGTGCACTTTTTATAGTTTATTTTTAAGGAACTCAAAGGACATTATAGAACTTTAGGTACATATTAAACTATCAAATGAAGATAAAATCAGAAACTATTTGAAAATTACGTCTTAAAAACGTTGTACGTTTATACATCAAATTTGAGATAATAGATTGGATGCCAAAAAAAATTAATTTACCACGGAATACAGAGTAGCATACATGTTTAAAGAATATTTTGATGAATTTAAGTTTTATGTTGACGTCGAAAAAACGTTACATTTAGTTCACTTCACTGTGATTAAATTTTACGTTGAAAACATTAGAAAAAAGTACATTTGCTCTGAAGGGAAGACCAAATTTTAGTTAATCGTTATTCTTTAACAACTCTTCGAACGAAATATTTTTGTTTCCGAAAAAAATTATTAACGTTCATTTAACGTTGTGTAACTACGTCAATTTAATATCGTGCATTGTGTCACAAGAGGGCACAAAACTTTTATTTTATATTAAT